GAGATCGAGTTCTGCAAACGTGCCAACTGCTGCTCGTAGTAGGACGGAAGCGGAGCATCGGGAGTAGCGGGGGCAACCTGGGGAGCGTTCGGCGATCCAGCTGGATTCATATTTACCAAAGACTCGAAGTGGTTTACCAACGGCTCTTCTTGGTTAGGACTGGACAATATTTTAGGAAGTTGCAAAGGAGTTGTTGATGTCGGATCACTATTCGCAACATTCGCGGACGGAGCCGACATGGAGGACAACGGAGGGAGCTTATCGTACCAGTTCTGGGCGGTCGTGGCTCAAACACACGGACAGAAAGGTATAAGCACGAATAATGCAAAAACAAGGAATATGAGCAAGTTAAAACAAATATAAGGAAAAGAATCCTCTCAGAAAGATGGACGGATGTCCGATCAGAGCTCGGACGGGATACGGAAATCAAAAGAAGCTTTTGCGGAGAACACGTCCGCGCAACTGCAAAGGAGGGAAGGTCCAGAGTCACAATGAGAATTCCAAGGGCACTGTAGTCAAAGTAGCTGAAAGCGATGGACTGGAGAACAAGAAAAACGAGGGATAGTAGACTGTGCTTCGTACAAGGATGCGCTCTTGCGAATCGACCACCAGCCTGGGTGAGATGGCTGCAAGAAGAAACTGCCTGCCCGCAAGCGCGACGCAATGCATTTTTGGGCAAAAATGAAACGAGATTTGGTAAGCTGGGGCGGATTCTTTTTTTCGACAGTTGCAACGACGGATTTTTCTGAAGATGTCTTGGCCTCCTCCTGGATTGCTTCATGCCCCAAGAGCGATTGGTGCCAGATTCAAGCTCCTTTGGTACATTTGTGGTATTTGGATCAGCCTTGCATAGCCCAGATCCGACAAAAATTGCAGTGGATCTCAGAAGGTCCAGTTTACAAGCTGTCCCTACACACCCGGGTCGTTTTCCAATCAGTCAACCTGTGGTGAAGGGGAGGTACATAGTTGGAACTTGAGCCTGAGGGTAAGGTATCAAAGTAAAAAGGTGTTTGAGGGCGTGTTACCGGGTGACCCTACAGATACCAGCGACGGGAATGTGGGGTGTCTACAATCGACAAATTCTAATAGATGAGTGGATAGGAATATGACGGCGCAACAGTCTGCCATGTATCAAGGGCCTCCATATTGTAGTTATTCATTCCCAGATTTACATACACGAGGCTCGCATTCACCCCAGAAGTAACAACTTAAAAGAGCTATGAATGAAGTGTCGAGGTTAGCAGAGTTGTAACGTTATGAGATCTCATCGAGTCCTTTGACGTACCAATTTAAAGGGATATGACCCATTTTTGAGTCTGAAGAACCGCAGCAAAAATGAGTACAGCACTATAAATCCAAATACAAATCCTAAAACCGCGGTGCGTTGCATGGCTGGATCCGAGATACCAGGGGTCTTCTTCACCAGAGCCACAAACATTACAGCAGCTGCCGCATCTGTTGCCAAGTATTAATGTCGTCAAGAAGGATTGAACGGATACGACACTTACACAATAGGCCAACAATCTGACTTTCCAAAATAAATTGATTCTGGAAGCCGGGGGCAACGATTTCCGGGCGATTGTTACGTACTCCGGTGTACGGGGGACCACGAATGGAATTCCACATATGTCCGGAGCACATAAGTATTGTCCATCCCTACACCAATGACAAATTAGAACCTATTTTGTCTGAAGAATGAGTAAAGCTCAAAGCGCGTACATACAATAACTGCGGTGGACCAGATTTTGCGATTTTGGACTAGTACTAGTAAGTGGCCAGCTACAAGCTTGAGCAGAGCGAGCAGTCCCAAGATTGATATGGCAACTGTAGCATAATATGCAAAATTGATCGGCCTTCGCAATGGGAACTGATGAACGTAGCATGGAGTAAGAAATAATTCCTTTATATAAGTTAAGTAGACTAGTTTTTACCTTTACGTGGGCCGCCTTTTCTACATGTTCGACGAGGGCTTCTGCAGACAGGCCCCTGTACAACAAAAGGTAACCGACCGGTGAGTTCAAGATCGGTGCTTTAAAGGGACAAGCACGCACCGTCTGTTGAGGTCGTACAGCTCGTACTGGTCTGAACCCGTTGCGTCGGGTCCTTCGGTTGGCGGAAAGTGAAGGACCATTGGTACGTTTGTGACATGGAGCTATCAGCAGCAGATCTCAGCATTCACAACACAGGAGGTACGTGGGACCCTGGTAGTTTACCTTTTGAAAGACCTCGCGTCCATCACTAAAGTCCACTGTCCCAAAGTACAATTTACCTGGGACAGCAACGCGTCCCCATGAGGAAGCGACCAGCTTGAACTCACTATCGAACTGTCTACAACCAACGTCCGCCACAGTTGGCACTCCAAGAGTCGATGATTGCTACAAAAACTTCAATTACCTGCAAGGCGCACATCCCATTTCTGGTGCAAGTGCAGTTAATGTAACAAAGAAAGAGTAGTTTCGCGGTGCCTCCGTGAACAGGTCGAAATCTTCCGCATTAAGTTTGAGTCCATTTCTACTACTCTTCTCCTCAAGTCTCTTGACCTTGTACGCAGAAGAGTACGCGTTGCAGCCTCCAGCCAACAATGCCACGGCAAAAAGGAAACCGGCAAGGTACGCAAGACGGCCGGGAGGACGCATCATGATGCAAAAAGATGGCCCAAACAAGAGGATGGCCAGCGGGGCGACCGCCCACAAACTTCACCTTGGGAATGGCACAGTCATATAAAATAAGATTTACTGTGCCGCTGATAATGTAACTGTGCCTCAGGTCAAATGTCACACTGCTGTGGAGAGTCTTTCTGGTCGTTCTTGAAGTTTTCCTACCCCCAAAGGAAAGCACACATCCGCAAGGAACGATGACGGCGAGTTACGCCCCACGACGGAGTGACGAGAGAACACCGCTTCTCGTATCCCATACGCCCTATCACTCTACAAATCCGCATTCGTCTACCCTGTACTCGACATTGTCCTCTTCCTGCCCGACGAGTCCCCTCCCAAGCCGCGACGACGATAACACACCACTCATATATTCTATACCACCTCGCTTGTCTACATCCGAGTTACAAGGTTACTACGACGATGATCCACCACCATACTATGAAGCCGAGGAGCGACAGGACTTGTTACCTACATACGGCGAAGTTGTGCCACCTGCAGGTATGACAGCCTTTTTGCGACACACAGTTTGAGACGGGGACGGTCGCAAGGACATGGCTTCAGAGTGCTGGTACTGATACATTTCCTTTCTAGCAAACTTTTCAGAATTTGAGGAGGACGATTGGATGGAACGTTGGGGAGGCTACTTCTTTTCTGCCTTTTTTGTGTTGATGTTTGCTGGTGCAACCTTAGTAGCGTTGCTTCCACTGGGGTTCTCTAGTCCAGATTCGCCATCGCTACCAAGCGACCTTCCCTTCCATGCCACTGCACCACTATCGAACAATCCAGACGTCTCTGCTATCATCGCTCAAGTCCCCAGACTTTCCGAATCATCATCATCCTCGGTACACCCATTGGCCTCAGTGCAATCAGTTACCGAAACTGATTCCGGATCAGCTGAATTGGATCTGAGAGAGGCCGATCCATCTGTGAGACTACTGCGAAGACGAAAAGAGCGGATACGACAGCGGACTGAATAGATTTGACCCGAGTATTTAGCACTCATACTCGTTGTATATATCAATCTTTTTTTTTCTTTTTAAATTGAAACCACATTGACTTTGACAATACCATGATTGCGGCAGGCTTACAAGTTCGATTATTGCCTGACTTTGAGACTGCTACCGTTTCTTAAAAGCATAGGAGAAGCCTCTCGCACACCCACATTTGGCGATGAAAGCCAATGAAGGATGCGCGCTGAGAGACTCGTGAAGCAAAGTGTAACAGTCTTGTGTTGGACACTACTTTTACAATCACAAGCGCCCTCAACTGCAGCATTTTTGGTCATCATTTGGAATCTTTCAACACTGCCGATGATCGGAATAGGCGGCCAATGTTCTACAGAAATAACAATGAAGGAATAGAATTGAACGGCCAAGGATCTTGGCATCAAATGAGAGAGATACAGTGGTCTGATGCATATTCCTTTGTACGCTGCATATCATACTTTTTGCTTGGCATTCCTTTTGTTTATTTTGTTTATTTTGCCAATGTTCGTTTGGTTCAAATCACGTGAAATCGTCACCTAAGCCTCAATCAGCCTGCGATTGCGTCGGATACCCGCAAGCAGCTCACCACCACGATCACCGCGACATATCCTACACGCAGAATTAGCAACAGTTGCCTTTGGAACCAAACCCGCATTTCGCCCGTGAAGGATCTAGATTGAGGAGCAGTGAACTGGAATCGAAAGTGCCCTTCAGCTGCCAATGGAAGCGACGCGCGATTGGTTGCGCGGGGTGCTAGGACCGGTAAATTGTTACAAATTGACTTGGTCAGCTTCCCACTACCGAGCACTCATATTCCGCTTCACTTACTCTTTTTTCCAGTATCACCATCGTGACCGTGTTTTTCGAGATGCGGACACTGTTCTCGTCAACTTTAACGGTTTGGCCCCAAAGACCGACACATACAGTAGGTGTCAGGCCAATACTTCTTTTGTTTGTCCTGCTCATCATAGTCCCTACAGCTCACGAGGATGGCAGAACGGTTGTCCTCCTCTGCTTACACGGCACCATTCCTATTAAATTCCGCGGTGTTACCTATAATATACCCATCGCAGCGTGGGTGCCGTACACGTACCCAGCTCAACCTCCAATATGCTTTGTAACTCCAACATCTAGTATGCTTGTACGGGCGAGCAAGCATGTTGATTTGAGTGGAAAGATTTATCATCCCTATTTGGCTTATTGGCATATGAACAGTGAGGTAGGGTACTGGCTGGGGCATCATGTCGAAGGAGGGTGGCTTCTATTGAGCGGTTTACTAAAATCGGATTTGTACAGGAGTCAAATATACTGCAGTTCATGCGTACCCTTCAAGAGATATTTGCTCTGGAACCTCCCGTTTACACCAAGCCCAACAATCCGAATCCTCCAAGCGCGACACCTTCGACCTACCCACCTCCTGGATACGCGAATACTACCCAACCCGTCGGCGGCTCTCCTCAGCCCTATCCAAACGTAAATCGTCAAAACTATGCACAAGCATCCGTCAACTACTACCCCCAGCAGACGCAACAACAATTGAATATGCCCGATCCCCGCCGACACTCTACGCCTCCACCCGGCGCTCAGCCTCCACCAGTACCACCACCTCCCTCTTATGTCCTAACTGGAAGAGCTGGCAGTCCACATCAACAACCTCTACCACACCGATCGCAGAGTACACCTCCACCGCCTATACCAGCTAAACCTCTTGCGGCCGCTCTAGACGGACAGGCATACCAGTCAGCACTAGACGAGCGTGCAGCCAAGTTGAATGCGTTGCGGGAGGCGGTGAAGGACAGACTCCGACATCGCCAACGCGAACTGAATGCCGCAATACCAGCAGACATTGAAAGGCTTTTACTTGTGAATAGGCGACTGACTGAAGGAGAGACCGCAATATCTGAGATGATACAAAAGTTGGGCCAGGAAGAGGTACGTGATTCTAATCAATGAGTTTTATCGACTTTCTAGATTGGATAGAAGCTCAATTTCTTGGCTCTTTCCACAGGCGAACGTAAAGAACAATATTGAGTTATTGCAACAGAAAAACAAAGAATTAAGCGAGTCCATTGACGCGCTGCGCCAGCAACCGGATGTAAATGTTGATGATGTGATTGGAGGTTCTACGGTTGTTTACAACCAGTAAGTTCATGTTTACAAAAATGGACTAGCTATATTTTTAATTCAATTTCTTTCAGATTGTATGAGCTTGTTGCTGAGGATCACGCCATAGATGATGCATTGTATTATCTTGGGAAAGCACTCGACGCGGAAAAGATAGAGTCCGCAGCTTTCTTGAAGGTACGATCTTGCCTCCTTGGGACAATATCAGTATGCTTCGTCAACGCTGACATGCGGTTGCTCGCTGATTCTTTCATAGAATGTACGAAGTCTAGCTAGGGAGCAATTTATGAAGCGTGCATTGATCAAAAAAATTCGACAACATGCCGGGCTGACGGATACTATCTAAATTATGTGTCTACATGGCCCCGTCTGCAATCTATTATCGGCAGCTTTATGTTGCATCTATCGACGACCTATATCCGGCGCCAAAATATCCCTCCCCACTCTTACGCCATGTCATCTACGCGTGTCAAACCTTATCGGCTCCTTTAGCCGGACTTGTTTCCCTATCTTCAAGCCATTTCCTAATAATGATATCCGTTATCACGCCCCCAAAAACGATAGTTCCTAAGGTGACATTTGACTTGAACTTTCCCCACGCATCCTTCGGGTCATCTACTTTTAGCGTTACCAATTGCCAAGCAAAATGGGCGGTTGCCCCGCCGACCGATATGGCATAGAAGGGCAACCCTTGTGAATTCATATAACCCGCCAAGGAGAGGAAACCGACTGTCGAAGCTGCGAATCCTGTCAGCCACGGTTTAGCGTATGCCCCAAACCTCAAGGCTGTTGATTTGACGCCGGCCTTAATGTCATCTGCCTTGTCCTGCGAGGTTGTTTATATCATGGCATTTTGTTAAATTAATAAATGTGGTGACTTACTTGTAGCGCGTATATACTATCGTAGACCAATGTCCAACTGATACCTGCAGCATATAATGGCAGGCACACAGCCCAGTTACAACTTCCAAGCATGGCAGACCATCCTAACATTGCTCCGTAGTTGAAAGTCATGCCTAAAACGGCTTGAGGCCAATAGGTAACCCGTTTCATAAGGGGGTATGTGGTTACCAAAATGAGAGATGCCGAGCCGAGGAAAATGCTAAGTGTCAACCAATCTGTTAGCTCATGAACCATACATAAATTCATGAATCCTCAGAGACTTACCTATACCAATTCAACTGCAGTAACACAGCCAATCCCAAGCTAAGCTGACCACCAAGGAAAACTAGCGCTTTGAAAGGTGTGATGACTCCGGCAGCGAGTGGTCTGGACCTTGTTCTCGAAACCTATGAGAGCAGAACACTCAACAAGCTGTCAATAATGTGACTCCCTGGGTAGTGTCCATACCCTTTTGTCAATATCCCTATCCCACATATCATTGATGGTGCAGCCAGCGCCACGCATGACGAGAGCGCCAGTTCCAAACACAGCGAGATACCACACCGTCGTGGTCGGTGATATTGCACCATGCGCTGCATATGCGGCCATGGCAATCGACCACGTGCATGGGAGGTAGAGAAGATATGTTCCAGCAGGTTTGTCCAAACGGATAAGGTGGAGATAAGGTTGTATGGATGACGGGCATTTTTCTATCCAAGATGGCGAAATGGTCTTTTGGACTTCTGTTGACAATGACGGTGAAGGCTGTATAGATGCAGGTGTGTTTTCCGTGGTGGTGACACTTGTTCGTCTAGTGGTGTGGTGGGAAAGCTCAGACTTTTGGTACTTTGCAATCGACGCTGACGGACGAGTCCAAGGGGTCGCAGATGCACGAATGGGCCGCTGCCTCGGCACAAGAATATCTGTTCGGCTGCAAATTCTTCGACATACTGGTGGCCTTTGCAATAGACGACATTCCACACGGTTCAACGTCAAACGTCCCAATGTCGAATGGACCATCTTTGTGGTCTCGAGAAGCGCCCACGACAAGGCGACCTTCGCGTTTCCTTGTTGCCTTGGAGACCGGACTTTTGGCCTTGATCTGGAGCACCACTTTCGCTGCTTTGTCCATTTGCAAACCCATCGGCGACAATGTCATCCTGTTTGCTTCGAGGCGCCGTTCTTCGGCGGTCTCTTCCGCAACGTGCAACACATGCTCTCCCATTCTCGTCACTTCATCGCTCTGTTCGCACATCCGCTGCCATCCGTGCTCAGGCCGCTTCGATTCCCGTCCCTTCCACCCCACGACCTGGGCTCCTGCATTTGCAACCAGCACCCCCCGCTACTTTCCCCATGTCTGACGGCACGGGTCCTACGCCTAATCCAAAATGGACGCCAAAGTCAAAACGAACGGGTGTAGTTGCCCTCAAGAGAGGAATGACGGCGATCTGGGATGAATGGGGAGTATTGACACCTGTAACAGTTTTGCAAGTAAGGGAAACCCTTCAAGGAGAAGACGGCACGATGATGGTCATTAACAGCATAGCACTTAGATTGTAGATTGTGAAGTCATCCGCACCCGTTGGCACGCCGGCTGCGGCTCATACGTAGTGGAACTTGGTGCTGTCAACCATCCTCGATTACATCGGATAAAGAAGCCCCAGCTCTTCCATTATCGTCGTTGGACAGTTGCACCAAAGCGAATGATGACAGGATTCAAGGTCACACCCGATGCTTGCTTACCAACTGGTGGGTATGAGGAGAACTCGTTCTGAAGGGCGGCTTTATGTTAATGTCGACGTTCGTTTAGGGACAAAAATCAAGGCCGCTCACTTTGTTCCAGGGCAGTATGTGGACTGCCAAGCGAAATCGTATGTAGTCCAGCTACCGCAGAGATTGTCTGGCTTTTTTCTCAATTTCATTCTTGGATAGGACGGCAAAGGGATTCCAAGGTGTTATGAAGCGATGGGGGTTCAAGGGTCAACCGGCCTCTCATGGTGTTTCACTGTCTCATCGCTCTCTCGGATCTACCGGTAACCGTCACGTATGTATCAGCACCGCGAATCGTTCATGGAGTTTCCAGGCACTTATATATAGCCGCCTTGTGTAGGACCCGGGCCGAGTGTGGAAAGGGAAGAAGATGGCGGGAAATATGGGTAATGACACCATTACAGTACAGAATTTGAGGGTGCGTAGATGGAGGTATTCACGCGTGATTGCATTGTGCTGACGGCTAATACGACGCAGGTGTTGAAGATTGATAATGAGAACAACCTATTATACGTGAAGGGTGCTGTACCGGGGACCGATGACCGATATGTCCGCATAAAGGATGCTGTGAAGAAGGGCTGGCATAACAAAGCATTTCCACCTGGAAGCGAAGTTCCGTTCCCTACGTTTCTTGGTGATTCGTCGACGCTACCACGAGAATTACTACCTCTACCACCGCAAAAAGATGAGCGGGATCCATTCTCAAGACAGCGAAGGGAAAAGGAAACTTAGGTTGTGGGATGGTGTGCATAGTGCAGAATTCTGTTATTTAATCATTGGGCACTAAAAAACATTTACATGCATTGAATGACGACATTATGTCAAGCATAGGCTCACTATGTCGATAATAGGCTCATTACCAACAGGCTCTCAGAATGTTAGCAGCGACATCATTGACTGCAACGGCATACGCATTTATGATCCTTCGATTCGCCGGAAGAATTACAAAAAGGCTCACCTGCTTCATGCTCGCAAAATCACGATTTTCCTGTTTTACCAATGTTAACCAACGTCAGTCTGATGTTAATGTGAAGATAATGCCAAGTCAGACCTTGGATAGCTTGGTCACATGTTTCTTAAACGAGGCAACGTCTTTCTGAATTTTGCTCAACAGTTCCGCTGTTTCTGCTGTCTGCCGGACCTCTGTGAAGTCGGCGCTGAAGATGTGAATCAATCGCCAAAGGGCGAATTCGAATGTCTCATGCCACTAACTCAGATCACTCAAGTGTTTATCAAAGGTGCGAAGGCGTTTTAGGATAGCTGTGGTGTTCTTATCAAACATATCCAATAAGGTTGCGACGGACATCTATGTGAGAAAGTTTAACCATTAGCCAGAAGCTAAGACCCGGTTGTGCACAACCTGATGTCGGTCAAATGCTGCTCTCAGCTTCTTCCGAGTGTTGATTTGCTCTTCCGTTACTTCGCTAATCTTTCGCTTGTGTGCATAAAGCCGAGTTCTTCATGAAACAGATTAGAGATGCCGTCAATTGGCCTTTAGGTCTCGTGTTTACTCACAATTGAGTATCCTGAAAATCAAGGAATCCCTGTAAAGTTTCTGCGACCTGTGACAGACGCTCCTCATATATATCGCTAACTTTCCTCATTTGCTCCGACCCCAACGTCTTCTGATAGCGTTCAAACGTCGAAGCCAGTTGCGACGCCCCATCACTGGGAGAGAATGCGAGTGTGAACAGGTTCGCAGCTAATCAAGAAACACTAAACGGCGCTCACTCGTCATGAGCAATCCGCTGGTCGTTGATAACCGGTTCGGCTTCACTTGCCAGCTCGCTCCCGGCGTTATCGTCGCCATCAAGTTCTAAAATATAGGAGGCTTGTTTCTTCACATGAGGAAGTTTTACCTTTCCAAATGGAAGGCGCAAGTTGGAGAATTTGGGGTTTCCTGTGCGTGTGAGAGGAATTGGACCTGGCAACGGAAACCGGAACTTTATAGTCACCGTAAACTAAGGACATTACAAAGAGTAAAACCTACTCGCGACAAGCCTTTGAGCGGCTGATTTGTGAGCTGACGGTGAGAAGCAAACGGACATTGGTTTAGCGGTATTCTCACAAGAATGACTGCGATTTCTAGTAAGATCGTCGTCGGTGCTGCTGGGAGGATGCAGCTGTGGCAAGCAATTCCATCTAACCGAATATGGTAAAATGAGATGACACGCTTGATGTTGGACTGCCCGCTGGCGTTGTGTTCTAAAATTCCTCATATTTTTTGAAAATCCCGACAAGGCGAAACAGAAACAGGACAGTATGCACCATTTGGGCGTCGACTTGCCGGTGTCCTCAGCCATTGGCACGGTCATCGCGGCGACGTTCATTGCCCTTACCTTATTTCGCCGCTCGCGACGCGCAAGTCAGCAACCCAAATCCGCGGATTCCGTCGAATCCAAGAGACTGTCCGTATATTATTTTCAATGCCCTTCGGTTTTTAGTAGTTGACTGATTGCGCGATCCTGAATATTAGGAACGATCATGGGGACCCGATAGCGGAAGAGCATCTCAAAGGACATAATTTCGACGATCAGAATGAAGCTCAAGTGGCCGTGTATGTCGCACGTGTAATAACTGTTATTCCCTGCGGAGTGATTGACGACTGTATAGGGCGGCGGAACCGGATATTATTCCGGCGATAGGCACGGCGGGGTTCGTATAGTGGTGAACGCGACCTAGGAGAGTTGACATCGAAGACTTACTTGGTCTGTAAAGGAACCACGAAATTCTCATGGAGCCTGTTGACGCCGATGTCGAGTGCTTGGAGACGGATGTATCAACCACGCTGGAACTGTCTGCAGACGAATCTCAGTCGAATGAAAGGTGCTCGAATCAATTTTTACTCTTCTCGCCAACTGTTCGCCGAATTCATATTTGAAATGCACAGCCCCGCAAAGAATGTGGATATGAATCCGGAAGCACTTACCTCATCTGAAAATATCCTCGATGATACGGAATCGCCAAGCCTTGACTCAAAAGCAGTAGTTGATTCTACAGCTGCCAACGATGGGTCAACGAAATCTCATGATCCCAAGTATGTATATAATACATGCCTTTCGCGCAAGCTCAACGAAGTATTGAATTGTCTCCAACGCCGTTAGATCATTTTCAGAACGCCTCGAAATTGACCGGGCGGCTCTCCAGGCCACTATTGACATTCAAAGCCTGGCCAAAGTCGCAAATCTGGACAATCTGACCAAGTTAGAACGCGAACGTGAGGAGCTTCGCGTAAATATGGCGACAATTAAGGAGGATATAGATACAGAGCGTTCCTCGCTACTACCAAAGTTTGAAGAACTTGAACAAGAACGTGAAAGACTTCGAGCACGATTGGGGGAGGGAAATTCCATCGTTCCCACTCCCGTCGTCGATTCGGAGAAATTGAGGGAACTGGAACGCCAGAGAATGGAGCTACAAACGAGTGCAGCCCATAACCCTCCAGCTATTCCAGTTTTCGACACGGCAAATCTGTCGAAACTTGAGGAGCTGGAACGAAAGCGAGGTGAGCTTCTGTCGAAAGCAGCCACTGAGGAACCGGTTGCCTCTGAGGTAGGGCTCGCAAACCTGTCAAAAATCGAAGAACTGGAGCGGCGTCGTGCGGAAATGAGAGTGTCAAGCGGTGGCCCTGTTCCGGTCTCCCCGATATTAGAGAGAGCGAACTTATCAAAGTTTGAAGAGCTGGAACGCAAGAGAACTGAAATGAGAAGCGGTCTTGTAAATACTCAGTTTGCCGCTACGCCAGGGGCAAATTTGGAGAAGCTCGAGAAATTAGAAAGAAGGCGGTCACAATTCGGTACCCAAGTTTCTGAAAACAGGCCGGTCTCTAGCATCATCCTCGACGTGTCCAAAATTGCAGAATTAGAAAAGCGCCGTGCTGAGAACGTCGTAGAGTCACCGTCGCCAATCGAAACCGAGGTGTTTCAGAAACTCCCACTGAACCGGAAAGCAAGTCTTACTGATCTCGAGCAAAGCCGTATTGAAGCGCGTCAACGAGCCGAAGCTGATCGTCTAGCAGCGCTACAGAAAGCGGAACAAGAGGCATTCGAAAAGGCTCAACGTAGCAGCATTGCCGATGAAGAGCGCCAGAAGGCGATCAAGTTGGCAGAAGAAGAGAGAGCACGAGAGCTTGCACAGGCGGAACAGGAGGCATTCGAAAAGGCAAAGGCTGCAGCTGAGCGTGTTCAAGCGCTCGAACAGGCGAGAAAGCAAGCTGAAGAGGAGAAGATAAAGGAGGAAGAACGTCTTCGAGAAGAAGCTTCGAAGAAGAGAGCGGAAGCAATGCGCAAGTTCGAAGAGGAACAGAAGCTCAAGGTGTGTCATGGTATTTTTCACTGTGTTTTGGCGCAAATCCTTCAATTGCTATTTTCCTTTTTAAAGAATATGTCAGCCGAAGAACGAGAGATTTACCTATCCACCAAGTTTTAGATGGTTTAAGCCTAACCTCCGACCTCCGACCTCATCAGCACAGGAATTGATTATCTGACTCAGTCCCCATATTTCTAGTTGTGTTTCTGGTTTTTTTTTTTTGATCACTCTGGCAAACTAATGCGATTGTATTTGTAGTAACGTGGTATTTAGTCATAGCGGTTAGTGTCAGCCTGTGTAATGGTCAAGTAGACATGATTTTATTGAATTTGTATACTATGTGCTATACTCGTACGATACTATTCGGTGTTACTGAGCAGCAACCCCAGCATCACGGATTGGAGCTGAACGAGGCTCTTTGATCTCTTCCGCCTCGACTTTCCCACTAGGAAGGTTCTCAAATGGATTTTCCTCCGTTGCAGGAGTCTCCGACAATACCAAGCTCTCGAAGGCATTGGTCTCCGGATTGTAGGCTAACAGATCACCACTTTTAAAATCAAAGTACCATCCATTGATACTGATTTCGCCGGTGGCCAATCTGTCCCGAATCCAAGGATATGTGACAAGATTTTCCAAGGAGCACAAGATGGACGCATGTTCACACGCTCGGGCCTGCACTTCGTGGTCCATATTAGCAAAGTTCTTTAGTGCCGTTTCCTTTGCTTGCTGAGCTATCTTCATCCATGACTCGATGAACTCGTAACCAGCTACATGACCCTTCAAGAGTGCGGAAATTCCTCCGCACTGGGTATGCCCCATCACGATGATATTTTCCACTTTGAGTCCTTTTACCGCAAATTCCATTGCAGCGGACGTTCCATGGAGGGTTTGATCGTCGTTCGGGGAATACGGAGGTATCAAGTTGGCGACGTTCCGAATGACGAACAGATCTCCGGGGTCACAATCTGTAATGATAGCCGGATCACAACGAGAATCGCAGCAACCAATGAGAAGTGTTTTGGGAGCTTGTCCATGTTGAAGATTCTCAAAGAGTGAGTTATTGTTGGCAAAGAAACGTTTGTGAAAGCGACGAAAGCCTGACAGAAATTTGGTCATCTTTGCATGATGGATGTCTATAAAGCGAAAAATTCTATAAGAATCCATGTACTGTTTGTTGATGGAGCTAAAATTACACCACCTACCTCCAGCCGGATTGGGCTTTGGCAAGGTCTTCAAAACGTCACCAGGACTGACCGCTCCTTTGGTGCTGTTCTGCCGAACCCTACTGCCCATTCTGCGAATGGTCGGAGTGCGCGTGGCTCCAGCCTCCCCACCACCTTCTTCCTGATCTCCACCTAGCAGTGCCTCTTTGCTCTGCTGCACTCTCAAACTTGCAAGCGTGTGACTATGGGCAGGAACAATCTCCTCATTTGCGCGACGGATGCGATCGACAATCGTTTCCGCACTGATGGGGCTAAATTCTCTAGGCGACTCGGGAGCTCCCGAGGTTGTCTCGAGAACACGAACGGGCACAGACGAACTTGTTTCGTTGATAGATGACATGGTCGGGTTTTCAACTAAGATCAGAAACTGAGAAGCAAGAGCGATGGTTTACGTGCTAAATGTAGGAGGGATCTAGAAGTTGTCGGGGATTTTACAATGCAAACTAAAACTTCATTACGTAGTCAAAACCGGCCCGTTGGATATGCTTGCTAGATCAGAGACAATACCCTCTTATTAAGACTGTCGAAAATGCATCGACTGGATATATTCATCAAAACAAAGGCATGTCGCATATTGCGGAAAAAAACAAAGCCTAGAAAACCCTTGAAAAAGGCCCCCAAGGTAAGTCTTTTGTTGAAGCTTGCGGAGTTAAGGTCTAAGCCACGCCCAAAATGGTTATATGACACAACACGTCACAGGAGGCTCGTCGTCGTTCGACGCAGCCCTTTTGCCCAGGAAAACAACCTGATTTTGCTTCCAATTTGGACAAGTTCCCCAACGCTGAAAGACACGAAACTCCGTCGTACTGAGGCAGAGCAAAGAGTACTCTCTCGTTCACCTGATTATTCGTGCCCAAGACGGCGCCAGCTGGCGTTCTCCCCCCTTTTCCAAGTCCTCGTCCACCGACGGTTGTCGAATTGCGCCAAATGGGTGACTCTGCCGCTACCATAGCTGTTCATCCCGAGGAGGAGCAGGACGAGGATTGGGAGGATGAGGTGGTGGTCTCCAAGATAAGACAAAAAGAAGAGCTGGGGTTAGGCGGTATGATTTTGTTGACAATATGTTTGACTGGAGTGCAGTTCACATGTGAGTTTGGGCGACTTGTTCTTAGTCTTCAATTGAAGTAAGCTCATCATTTGGTATTGCTGAAATAGGGACGGTAGAGTTGGCATATGGGACACCGTACCTTACTTCTCTCAATCTGCCAAAAGCTTTGACCGCCCTTGTTTGGTTGGCTGGACCTTTATCCGGTTTGTTGATTCAGCCTATTGTTGGAGTGTATAGTGATAAATGTACCCTCCGCTTGGGACGAAGAAGGCCTTTCATGTTAGGTTAGTGACTAGCGCATCAAATTGATCGTTCGTCGTCAGGTTTGCTTATGCTTTTGTAGGCGGCGGCTTGTTGGTACTCATGTCCATTGGAATGATTGCTTATTCTCGCGAGATTGCGCATTTAATTTGGGGGACCTCTCCTGATAAGATGAGCTCGGTTGGCATTTGAGTCTATTGCAGTAGAGCCAATGATACTTGCTAACGTGAGTATCCTTGCAGATACAGGCGGCAACGATTATTGTAGCAGTCACTGGCTTCTACTTCTTGGACTTTTCCATCAATGCTGTCCAGGCCAGTTGTCGCTCACTTATCGTAGACGTCGCGCCGATCTGGCAACAAGAGTCTGCCAACGCCTGGGGAGGTCGAATGATTGGCGTCGGGAATGTCATTGGATACTTTATGGGGTTTCTGGACCTTCCTGTGTACTTCCCATTCCTGGGAGACACCCAGATGAAAGTTCTATGCTGGTTGGCGGGACTGTGGTTCTCCACCTCGCTGGGTCTGACCTGCTGGTTCATCAAAGAGAAGCGATATGTACCCGATCCGGTACAGAAGGCACGAGCTTGGTATAGACCGCTATTAGACATATTCCAAGCTTTAAGGTCACTGCCTGCTCCATTACAGAGCATCTGCAATGTGCAATTTTTTGCGTGGCTGGGCGTTTTTCCTTTCCTGTTCTACAGGTAATCGTGGTTTAGCAAACGGATTACCGCCCATGAGGCTGAGCTGATATCGTTTTCTTTTCCTTAGCACCACGTGGGTAGGCGAGAAGGCCATCAAAAGTCACATTGGCGGTTTTGACGATGACGGCGACATGGAAGGCACGCGTGCTGGTTCCTTTGCTATGCTCTTGTTTGCGATTGTGTCTCTTGTGACCGGATTTCTGTTACCGTTGATTACGGTTCGAGGCGGTGGAGACGATGACACTCGGGACGAAGAAGAGGGCAATGCTTCACGATGTGGAACTTGCCGTAATTACTTGCTACGACTCCTCAGCTTGCCCGCTGTTTGGGCAATAAGCATATGGTTATTTGCGGGATTGATGTTCTCTACTGGATTCATCGACACCTTGAAACCAGCAACTGCCATCATTGCCGCAGTTGGTATATCATGGGGTGGGTATTGCCAGTTCCTTTTCTTGTTCTCATGGTAATGATGGCGACTGAGGGAAGCACAAAATCGAGACGTTGCTCGACTCACGTTGACGTGTCGTGCCGTGAAAGAGCGTGGATCGTCCATTGTTTTTCGTTTTTGCTTCTGAATCACCCTTGCTTACCTGGTGGTTCATCACCATTCGGCGCTCGTTTGTTCTTGCTCGAACGAACCACTACTGCGCTTTTCTTTTCTTTTTACTCATAGGTACGATGCAATGGGTACCCTTCACTCTTCTCGGAGAATGCATCAACTACTACGCGGAAAACGGCGACATTGTAACACCGACCCCGAGCGTTGCGCGAGAAAGGGTAGCCAGGTACGCCGGCGTACCTGAAGATGATGAAGGGTATGATGGTATACCCGAAGATGACGACATAGCGCGGATTGTACGTGATGACGCCACTATGTCTCAAAATGAAGGACTTCTTCCGGATAGCAACGCACCGTCGTGCAGCAGCCATCACTTGGACGCTGGCATGGTGTTGGGTATTCACAATATCTACATTGTCCTTCCCCAGTTCCTTTCAACCTTTCTCTGCAGCGTCGTTTTTGCCATCATTGGATACATAGCCAAACAACATGGGGGAGACGGAAGGAGACTAGGAGGGGATATTGAAGTAGACCCGTATGATTCTGTAGGGTGGGTCCTTAGAATTGGAGCGATATCTAGTATCGTGGCTGGCTTTATGGCTTTAAAAGTTCGGGAAACTCACGGCAAAAGGTCCTCGGAGGTCGTGATCGGAGGCAGTGAGCAATGAGTTACTTTTGTAAAATAATTCTTTGAGTGGATTGGTTTAATTAGATTGCCAAGTTGTATTTTGAGGTTATGTGCAACAAAATACGAATGGTCGGTAGATTACGATATTCGCTCTGCTGATCTACGGTTCCATTAGGACAAGGAGCAAATATGACAAGGGTAGGTCAAATGAGGCACGTCCGTGTTCTCGCTACCAATGTGCTTTCCATTTAACAGTCAGCTATAGATACATCCACCCAGTGTACAAATTCTATGAAGGCAGATGGCCCTACTTTCCCATCAGCATGTACTTCTACGTGGCGCCGCGAATGCAGAGCTGCGGGTTCACTTCGTTGGGCTTGAGGTGTGGCATGGACGGTTTCCAATGGTATTTTTTGTTGATGATTGGTGGAAGATTCTGGGGAGTATATGCGGCTTCCGAGGAGGCTGGAGTGCCTTTAACAGCGTGTGGGGTCGTTGTGTCAAGGGGAAGACTGAAGTGATGACGTGGAAGTTTAGTTGCCAACTACATTATGACAATAGTGCAACTGGATGGGCACATCTCGTAAGACAAAGCAGCGCACCTCTTGGCCTCTACACCACCAGGCAAAAGCCCTTGAAATTCCTCAGCCTTGTACACAACTGTCTGAGGGTATTGACGTCTCGTGTCGCGGGTGAAATAATAGTTTTTGGAAATCTTTTCCTCAGTAGCAGGATTGTATGTCGGTTGAGAGCTAATAAACGAATATTGTTAACGTGATTGAGCAAGGTGTAGGTAAACCTGCTAGAGTTACCCAGGGCTGGTAGTACGGTACTCGTCGGCCTGTAGGGAAGTCTTGTTAGAGTGATGACCTCAACATAAATCCCTCATGGTCCTGTACTGACCTTGCACATGATTGGGGGAAGATCGGGTCTCTGAAACCAACAAGGAATGCGAGTTTAGCCAGCAATCAACAGGACAGGTACGATGCCCTTCTACTACGAGAGACTGAGCCCCACGCAAGTAAACTACTCACCACTCGGATAATCCACTCCAAATCCCTGAAGGACTTGGGGATGCCCCCAAAGTGACGGGCCATAAACTTTTCGAGGAAACCCATGCCTGGTAAATGGTCGTCGTTCAGAACGATGGAGTGGCAGGCGAAACAAGGACGATGCCCGTTGCTTGTTGCTACCAACGATGCGCTTAGTATGGCGCAGAGAATACTAAGCGGCGCAGTAACTATGAGAATTTAATCCGCATCCTAGTTTTTCAACGGGGCCTATGGCCCAATGGATAAGGCGCCTGACTACGGATCAGGAGATTCCAGGTTCGAATCCTGGTAGGCTCGTTTGAAACATGTGCTGTCTTTTTTTGCGCTTCCTTCCATGGCGGTGTGCTTGTGGACACCCCCATTTCATCACTCTCCGTACCTCTGACAAAGATTAAATAGATACCGGCTTGAGAAAAAAAAGTGGTCTGTGCTTTCAAACTGGGAAGCAGATATTGTCAAACATCAAGAGATACCCATTAAATACCCGTCATTTACAGTCATTCGTCCTCTGCGCAGTGGCAGCAGGAAAGTTACCCAAATTTTATACAATCACCTCCACATCTCATCCACTGCACGTCTTCACACGTTTATTTCGCATTCGCCACAGCCAGCTAGAAAACTTAAGCGTTGGCCCTTGATAATCTCCACCCATCTCGGTTCCTTTTGCCGTACGGCATTCACCCCGACACGTTGTGGAACCATCTCAAACAAAGTCGCTTCGCTCACACTCCCGCCGGGGCCAATGTCGGTCATCACGTCCAACTCCATGTTGTTGTTGGCGCCTGTAACATGAACTTCCTCTAGCAAGCCCGCTGGTGGATAACATCCGCGAATCGTTGTCAGTAGACCGCGAAGGGTCAGCTGTGGACAATCCACCACGATGAGATGAGTCAAGGATGCTGCCCGAGGCGTTCGGGTGGAAGAATAAATCGCCCTTTTAAAGGGGTTGGTATTCTCATCGGCAGCAGACGGCTTCTCTTCCGCGGATTTCGCCAAAGCTTCCGCTGCTCTGTCCGTCACCCACTTACAGCCAGATAGATCCAGAAAACTCAAATGCGGCATACATGAGCATTTCGTCAAATGCTCCACCACCGCGTCCGTTACCAGGTGTGTTTTTTTGAGAGATAGATGCGTTAATCGGACGCAGTGCGTCAGCAGGTACTTGAGCGCGACCTCGCTAACGTAAATGCCGTTGATCAAAGAGAACTCCTTTAACAGGGGTCCGCAATTGTCTGCTAATGAGCGAATGCGCTCGTCATCCAGATATTCTGCACGATGAATGTGGAGGCTAGTTAACGTTTTGAAGCATTGTATGGGGAAACTGTGGAAGGTATAATTGGGTGATCCCTAGGCACACAACCGATGAGCCTGCGGGCCTGCAAAGAAGATAATACTCAAGCATGACTCACCTTTGGAGGAACTGGCGTTGAGAACTCGAGTGTATGTAAATCGGGGTTGTTCTTCAACGCTTTGGCCAAAACAGCGTTGAACCCTATTCGAGTAAACCGTCTACACCCACAAAACCGCAGTTCCAGGAGCTTGCCGCGAGATCGCCCCAGTCTCCGAACACGCCTTCCTGAGACTCGTCCAGTTTCAACCTCTTCAACCAAAGTCTTCCCCAGGAAATTCGCCATTCCAGAGTCACTTATACTACGACAATTGCTCACGTCGAGAACTCTCAAAAATGGCGCTAAATGCTCGCCGATGGCAGCCAGCCCGAGATTAGATACCAAGCCCAAGTTTCTCAACACTAGCTTCTGCAGCGTTTTCCATGGCCCGCAGAATTGGGCAACCATCTGAACTCCAATATCGCGGACTTGCCAACAGTTGGTCAGATCGAGCGTCCTCAGCGATGGAGCTACTGAACAAACAATTTGCGAAAGAGCGGCGTCATTCAGCGCATGACAATTTGCCAACGACAAATGATGAAGTTCAGGTCTTGCATCCGCAATCAATGCCAAATGCTTGTGGGTACAAAACACTGGTAAAAAGGCGTTTTCATTCAGATGTAAGGATCGCAGGTTTTCGATCCCCCATCTTGCAATCCATACGGTTTCACTGCCTCTATGTACCACATTTGTCTCGCCGATCCCATCATTACGTTGTCCCATCTTCTTTCGTCTATCGAGTCCAATGCGGTGACATGTCGCAACGAATTTGACAAAACTGTCGAGGTTCGGAAAGGTAGGATGGTTCCACAGCGTAGCAGCCGCAGAAAAGTACCACGCGTGACATACAAGGCAGCATGCATGAAGACTCTTACGGCTGACAAGCATCTCCTCATCGCTATGGCGAAAGGTGTTTGACGACGATCTTTGTAGGAGAGTAAATATTCGGTCGAGGATTTCGGGCGGCAAGTACGACCGCTTGCGTTTGAGAGAGCCTAGGGGTGGCATAGAAGTGTGTTCCCAGGCAGAGCAAATAAGTGGTTGACTTTTCTCGGGCCTTGCGGTGCCATGAGTTCCGCAGAGCAGGTACTGCCTTCAATAGCACATATCACAGACTACCCAAACTGAATCCCCAATTTCCTTTTGTTGACTTGGCAGCGTTACTGTCGTCTGTGTCGGCGTAACAGGCCTGTCCAATGCGCAGATGCGTGTACGTTCGCAGAGTTGGATGGTACGTTACCCTTGCATGCAGGCCAGTGATGATTCCCAGGTTGGAACCAATTGTCGAACCAAAAATGACCAAGTTCATGCCAACAGCGTGGAATGCTTCCCCGAAAAACAATAGCAATGGAGTGCATCTTTCGACAGTGAAAAGTAGACGTTCAAGTGCTTGTTGACAATGATCCACTGGCAATATCTGTCAGAGATCAGCCGACTAACTGACTTGAGTGAATGAGATGTGCCTTTAAAATATCCAGAAGCGCAGTACAACGGTCGCAAAAACGCTATCAAATCTCGCACATTTGATTCTACGGGTAGCACTCGTACATTTCTATAAATTCTACGGGCCGATTCAACAAAAACGTTTGCCCATCTCTTCCAGTCTATATATCCCTCTGTGTGCTCGATTTCATCTAACAATCTGTCTCGCACAGATCCGTACAACTTTTTCATCTAGACCCTCAAAATGCGTGCATGTGCAAGGAGGTACTTTAAGACCTTGCAGAATTCAGATGGCTGTTCTCAACCTCCATTTCATTTCCTCCATTTGAGGCCATTCCGAAACGAGACAGCACGGTTAGGCATCAAAATCCACTCCCTTCCAAAGCGACAACAATCGCCAGTTGCACAGCTTGTAACGACAGCAGAGAATAATCCATCATTGCCATGAATGCATCAATGTTTATAACTTTTGCGATCAATGCATTAATGTTTATCCATAAAAACCAAGGACATGCCCTTTGTTTATATTCATGCAATTTGGGAAATTAATCGGTCACGTGTGCTGATTCATTACTTTGATGCCAAATTGTGATCTATAATTGGCAGGCGCTCCAGAAACGCTGTCGACTTTTTACCTTGAGCAAACGGTGCTCTTTTTCACACTGCCAGTGCCGCATCATTCGTCCGCTCTGCTGGCATCGTGCAACATGGAGCCATCAGGTCCATATCCACTCCCGCCCGAAACTCCACCCGCTGCAATGTCTAGTTGGACGATGGACATTCAAGGGGATGGAGACGATGAGTCCTCCTCGAGTCTCATGGAAATATCGCACTTTGACTCGGATAATAACCCAAGTGCATATGAGTCTGGTGACGATTTGGAAGGGCAACCCAGCAGAAAACGAAGAAAAAGACGAGCGTTACGACTTCCACCAGAAATTCTCACACATGTTCTTCGCTTTGCGTACACCAACTCGAGAAGACAATTTCTGAATAACGCATTAGTAAACAAGGAATGGGCCGCATGCGCTCTACCAGTACTATGGGAGCGAATAGCACCAAGAAGGTACGTAGCTGGAAGTGCGTCGTGTTCAAGCCCAAGTGCTCAGATTCGCCCATAGCAATTTTCCCCTCGGGCTCATTGTTCGTTCATTGGATCGCCTTTGGCGAACATTGTCCATGCCAAACACGAGCCACGATTATGCATCGTTTCCTCGTGCCGTGGCCATACAGCTACACTTGAAAAACAATGAATTCGTATCACGGAGGGTTGTGGAGGAGTTCTCGCGCATCGTAGAGGTAACAGCTGCGGCGATGCGTTTAGATGGTCAAAACTTTCACAAGTTTCTCACGAGTCTGATCTACCTCACAGCTCGTTCCGGGGATCATAAAATGCTTTCCAAAAGTTAAGGATCTTGGGTTGACACTACGAGTGGAGGAAGCGACTATTCCATTGCAAGCAACCGCCACAGCATTTCTCGAACGGCTGATCCGTGTAACGCCACCATCCACATCACTATGGCTGAAGTTGGCAGGCGTTGCAGTCTTGGACTCGCAATGCGCAGCGCTCGCCGAACGGTTTGGGAATGTTATCACAGATTTTCATCTGACAAAGTGCATGGGGTGTACTGCTTCGGGATTGAGATATTTCTTAAAGGTACGTATTTGCGTCGAGTAAATGTAATATATTAGCTTTCACTCATGTTATGTGTAAACAGCGTGCCCCTCGCCTGCAAAGTCTCGCTCTCTATATACCCTCCCTTCACGACCAATTACTTGGCACTATTGCAGAGCACAATAATCAACTGATGGATCTATGGCTTGACTTACCTATGGAAGAGGGGGCACAACCCAACGACGAGGAAAGCCTCCGTACGTTTTGCACTGATCTCCGTCTTTTGATGCAGCGAAGTAGTCGCCTCCGGAGACTGCGCTTGCGTGGAGTTCCCCTTGCGCCAGATCGCGCACATCAGATGCTGCAAACGGTTAGCGAAGAGGGTCGGGAGCTCCGATCTCTTAGTGTTCTAGTGTGGCCACCCGCCCCAATGGGCATGGACATCAACACTGTCACATTCGTCAACCTCAATAAGCTTATCATTTCCAGCAACAGCCGTCTTGCAAATGACTTTATCGTTGCCGTCGCACGAAGCTGTCCAAACCTTTCCTATTTGGACGCGGGTCGAACACGCATCGATGATATGTGTGTAACAGAACTTGCATCTCGATGCCCATACCTGGAATTCTTTGATATATCCCGCTGCGCAAGTCCCACAGTTCAATGTCTCACAAGTTTAGCTCGCTACGCCAAAAACCTCGCCGAATTCGACGTATCCTTTTGTCCCAAAGTCCTCCGCTCCGAAGACGTTGTCCCATTCCTTCACCTCTGTGTCGGTTGCACCCGGCTCAAACGCTTCAGCATCGACTACCCACCAGCAGGCGGCATAGTAGCCCCAGATCCCCCCGCAGATGTTGGTACTGCCTCAGAGACTGTCAGATTACTATATTCACGGTTTGGCACAATAAGTGGTGAAACTGCTGAACGAAAGCGAGTGCTCAATCTGTCTTTAATGCGAGATAATTGGATAGAGACTTGGCGTAGAGTCAGAGAGCGGGATATGGGGAGCACGGATGAGGAGGGATGGCTTTTGGGGGATGAGCTAAGGGACCAGGCGGTTGTTCGGTGGTGGCTAGAGGACGTGCGAAGGGTATTGGAGGGAGATGATACGATAAATGTTGGAGACCTTTTGGAATTTGTACCCCCCCACTGATGGCAGACTACATGTGGAATATACATGTTCCCGGGTACCCAATCTGCTGTTTATGATTGAACATTTGATAGTACATGTGAGGACAAGATTTCTGTAAATTCTGTAAATGCATTGAATACCTGCTTGTATCTGTCAAGGATAGATGGAGCATTCAGGTTACTTTTGCTGAAAAATTGTACATTGTGATCCTTGACCGACCCATTGCATTTGATATTCTCACTGGTAGCATCTAATATATTACATCTATTTTGCACAAACAATCACTCATCCACTCCCGCTACCACCGGGGAGTGGACTAGAAAAGTAATCCGTTATACTTCTTCCAGTGCTCCGTCGGGAGACAGATGCCCCACGACTGTTGTTCCCCCTTGTCTGACGTCGAACGCTGGTCCGTCCACGCGACTGTGGTGTCACACAGCCGACCGGTGGTCCATTATCGCCACGCGAGGTATGGTCAAGTTCTGGAGGATCGTTTTCGGTGTTTTCGTCACGTCGTGCGATCGAAGTTGATTTTCTGGGACGGGACACATCTGGCATAAAAGAGTGATTCAGCATGCTCGGGTTGAGCCAAGATTGATCACCCAATATCGCAACGGTCACACTTACGCAAACGTTTCTCAACCTTCAATTCGCCCTCCTCTGCATGTCCTCTCAAATCCCGATACGCAACCTCTTGTTCTTCCTCCCTGTAATCGTTGTCGATTTTCCACAGGCGCACACTTGCATCGTCCGAACAAGACGCAAGCTGGGGGGAAACGCATGAAGGCCAGCTCATCTGTAAACAACGGAAATTCTCATACCTCCTCCAGCTCATGCTTAGACCAAGAAACACCCGTCACCTCCCCTCTATGCGCTCGTAGGACCAAAGGTGGCTTCTCCGGCGCATCAAGTTCCCATATATACAATCCATAATCGGACGATCCACTGGCTAGGAATCGGTCATCGGGTGATACGGTAGTCTTGATGTAGAAGGAGTCGCATCGATAGGTAGAGGCAGAGAAGCTGTGAATGGGCGTGTTGAGATTGTTTGGATTGAACTCGTATATGCTGCGATCATGAGGTCAGATGCGCCGAGACATCCAAATGTTAATGTGTACAATGGAAACGAACTTGTTGTCTGTGCAGGCAGCATATAACCTGCTTCCTCGTGAGTCCAAGGTAAACGAAGAGAAACCTGCAAGCCCCAGTCGTTTGTTTTATGTCTGTGTTTTTGAACGAAATGGAGATGCTATCCTACCATGCAGACGTTTTTTCCCTTCAATCACGGATGACGTCGCATAAGGGGACGGAAACTCGCGCCGCGTGTGTGAGCCGTGATTTCGCAAGTCCCACACTTTGAGCAAACTTCGATTCGATGTTTCTATCAGCAAACAGGTACTCTCTGTATCAGGGCATACATACGATACGTACCCATCCGCGGCACCAGACGATATTAGCATATTATCCGTATTATTCCAAAATCGTACCGTAGTTACGCTTTGAGATTGATTGGCCTGACCCACAATTTGTTAAGTCTTGTCGTTTTCAAGCATGAGTGATTACGAACTCACCGGTAAAGAGTTAGCGCGGCGGGACTTCTTGTTCATCTGCCCGGCGCCGGAATTAACCAGCGCATGCGCATGTCTGATCGTGTCTGTTGGCCGATGGTACGTTTCTGTCGACAGTATCCATTTTAGATTACCGCCATTGCATGTGAGGGTCCGGAGACAAAAAAGTGACAATGACATTCACCTGTAGAGTCAGAAAATCCGCTACATCGAGTGTCCCAGGTCATGATTTTTCCGTCTCGTGCGGCGGTCGCAAATATACCTTCACCAGGCGTTACGTTATTAGGTCATACATATTTGATTGCGAAATGATAAATACTTACTGGGGCTCCGCGCATTGTGAGCAACTGATTTGATGCTACAATTGTGCCCTTGGAATACACAGACACATGCCTGCCTTTCAACATCCCACAAACGCGCTGTCTGATCGCCTGCTGCGGTAACCTACGGCGTTCAAATTAGTGCCCCCGCCATATTCCCATACTGCAAGCACATTCATGTACCAAGTATTGATCGTCGGATGTCCAGCAGAGATCGAATATGGCATTTTGGTGCGCCAACCATTGCGTTCGAGGATTTTCTGCAAATGAGATAACTATCAGCTACAATCAACTAATGACTCCTTTGCATGAAAGCCCACCTTTCTCCCACACTGCGTCGTGCCTAGTGTCGACAATACCAATTGTACCGTCTTCGTCCGCAATTGCTAAGTATTTGCCGCCATTTGCGACTGCATGTGGAGGTCCGTTTGAGTTGATGCTAACGCTCGGTGCGACCATGGTTCGGCTTACCATTGCAGAAACTACAGGTAAACGGAGGTATATATGTCTCGTCTTCAGAGACAATTCTGTAAATGTCATGCTCAGTGCTAACGAATTTTGAAACATATTTTCTCAACGAAGCTGCCACGAAACGCGTTGTCAGTAACAGTTTATAGGCAAAATGGTCTATACGCACGGGCCTTACGATATATAACACGGCCGGATTTTGATCCAAATAGTTCTCTGCCAGTTATGGCCGTATTGAAAGGAAGTCGCCTCTCAAACCTCGTACCAGAGAACCATGCAGCGGGCGAGAAGAGATTTTTGCGATCTCTGAGGATCGATTCCGGCAGAGCACATACCGGCGGCTCGATATTCAGAGGTTGATGACTTTTCCATACTTTGCCTGTTTGCAGATGATAAGCTTCAGGTTCGGCTTGTTCAGCAGCCCGACAACCGAAGGACTCTTCACGCGGTCGCTTCCTATTCGGTGTTGTAGCACGCAAAGGTGACGAGTCAAGACGCGTTGCTCGGAGAGGGGAGGATAGTGGAGACGTTGGAATATTGGAAAATCCTAATATTATGAAACCAAGACGAGGTGCGCCTTAAGATTGAAGCAAACCTTCGCCGTAGTGTCGATAACTTCGCACTTACCGTCTGAAAACGTATCGAAGCCCACCCCCAAAGATTTTCTAACATCAGCTGTGGGAGTGGAAGGACCAATTGGAGAAGATACTACGGCATGGGACTTTGGTTGAAGAGGACGGCGAGGCGTCGAAGGAAGGGTTGCCTTTGAGAGGTCATTTGGACTTTGGCGCGTACAGCTAACGTTGGTCGAGTCGGTAAATGGCGCTGGCATACTAAACAGATAACTACCCGTTCACAGCACGGAAACCCTTGGGGATGCTACAAATGGGCACGCCTGCTTTGGAGAAGCTGCTTGCAGATGGCAGGATCTTTGGGCGGTCCTGGTCTGGCGTGCCGGACAAAAGAGTCCGACTTGAACGTCAGACATCATTTGTCCTTTTTGGGTTTAAGATATGGCGCAGCCTAAGTGGTGCGAAGAACCCGCGAAGGAGCGAATTACCTCCAGATGAAGAGCGAATTAGAAAAGAGAATCGCATTGAGAGTAACCGAGATCTCGAAGGACGACGGTGGTCTGGTCGAGGTTTACCAGAAAAGGATGAATCCTTTGGCGAGACAGCAAAATACGTGTGATGTCTCCTGAACCCAAACGTCGCGTTGGCTATGTTTTCTCAACCCGGCTGAGGGAGGTTGCGGATAAGCTTCCTTCCAACACTATGAGGGTATAGGATGTTACGCTCTATTGCAGTGCGTCTAGATGTTCGCTGTGTTAAGAAAGAGATATTCATTAGTCTACTTATGTTCATGCACTGGTTACGGCGTATAAATTACACGAACATATGAGGTACTGGGATCTAGGACAAAATATAGAGGTGCATCTGATAACCCTGATGTTCAGGATACTACAACCAGCATTTGCAAGTAAAGAAGATCTGATGGTATTCCATACAGAAGAGTACATTGGTTAGTCAGGTGTATTTTCCCAGCAAAACAGCGATATCAACCAACGGAGTCGATAGACTTCCTCTTAAACGCCGAAGCTGCCGATCCGGAATCTGATGAATACTTGGAGAGCATCGCTCGATTCGGATTGCAATAGTAAGCAAAAGTCGTGCATGATGCGCATACACCAATGGCTAACTGAGTGACAGTGACTGTCCAGTATTCAACGGGTTGAGCTCGTATGTCGCCGGAGTCGCTGGTGGAACACTTGAGGCTGCCAGAGCGCTGGTTGACGGCGACGTCGATATTGCAATTCATTGGGATGGTGGCAGGTATTATTCCGCGGGCCAAACCCGACAGGTAGTCCAACCCTAGATTGATCGAGGTTCATTGTTCTTTAGACACCATGCACATAGGTACGTAGTTAGGCGTTGTCCTCCAGGTCATCAAAAGTTGATGAAACTGGAAAAGAGAGCAGGCTTCAGGATTCTGTTATGTCAACGATATTGTTCTCGGAATGTCTAAGCTGCAGACACGATTTCAAAGAATACTGTATCTAGATATTGATATTCACCACGGGGATGGTTCGTTGAGCAGTTCAATCTTGGGCCTCATGTAATGATCGCAACTACTGACAGTCTGATAGGTGTTGAGGGCGCATATCTGTTCAGTCCGAGGGTCTACACGTGCTCCTTCCATAGAAGCGGCGTGTTCTTTCCCATCACGGGCGCATCAACCACCATCGGGAGCGGCAAAGCTCGATACCACAATCTGAATATTCCTCTCCATCGAGGGCTGCGCGGCGCCCTCTTTTTGGCCTGTTTCCAGCAAATTGTGCAAGCAATCTGTGCAGTTTATGATCCGCAATGTATCGTTCTCCAAGGTGGTGCAGACGGTGCTGCAGGCAACCTGAATACTCCTGAAGTTGATGAAAATGGACGCAGAAAGGAGGATGGGGAAGGATGGAAACTGGATCCAGCAACTTTTGGCAAGATCGTATCGTTCTTGTGCAACTTGCGAAGTCCCACAGTTCGCCCTCTTCTTATTTTGGGTGGAGGGGGGTACGTGAACACAATCACGGCCCGCTGTTGGGCTATGGCCACCGCAGCGGCGATCCCGGTGGAACTGTTGGAAGATATTCCTGAACATGCGCTATGGACTGAGTACTGTAATGAGGCTCCTCTTGGTTTAGCAAGCGATGAGAATCCAAAGTATATAGATGATATTATGAAAACAGCGCTAGAGAGTATAAGACGACTGGCAGAATTAAAGGGCATCCAGTTATAAAAAGCAAAATTCATATAGCTACGGTATTTTATCCCCAAAGGGCTTGTTAGAAGTATTCCCATATGCTGTTCTCTTGTCACAAGCTCTAAATCTCCCATCGAGTACGCTCACATCGAAACCATATCCATTCAAGTTTGTACGGCCAACAGCGGAGATAGGGGCTAATCCTTACAGGCTATCCTCTGTATTCTATTTGGGAAATGTGACGAAATCTATCCAACAATGGCATCCACCTCTATCTCCACCAGTAGGTCTGGATCAATCAGTCCCTTAACTTCGACCATGGTTGCTGCAGGTCGAATGTTACCAAAAATCTCACCGTGCGCCTTTCCAACCTGTTCCCAATCTTTGATATTTGTCACAAACATTCGGGTTCGAATAACGTCTTCTATTGATGCATCCAAGGATTTCAGAGTTTGGCTGATAAGGCTCAGAATGTGCTTGGTCTGACATAACAGAGGTTTACGACTTTGACATAGAGTTATTGCGTTGGAACCGTACCTGCAGATATGCGTCACCTTTATGTGCTACAAGCCCAGTATCTTGGTCGATAGATGTAGTGCCCGAGACGGCGATGTAAGTACCCTTGCGCACAGCTCGACAGTAGCCTACAGTTGCTTCCCAAGGCGAAGACGAAGAGACGCTGCGACGGACTGTACTTTGGGTCATACTTGGTAGGAGGTCGCCGGACACCGGTTGTGCTGGACAGTTAAGCGTTCTGGACATTTTGCGGTGACTCATTCGTGTCCGGACTATGGAAATGCTCATCAGCCTGCACGGCCTGCGATCGTGTATCTTTTAAGAAATTTGAAATATCAAAAGGCACTTTTTCGTCCTTTACCCTATTGCTGGGTAACTGTAGATCATTAAACACGATTGGATTGTTGGTTGTCACACTATTGTTAGGGGCCTGTGACACGGTTTAAGCTCCAGCATGTAAAAGGAGATAGGTTCTCCGAATCGTAGAGGATATGATAATTGAATAAAAGAGCCAGATGTCATGGCAGGATCCGGGTTGCAGGATATTCAGGTCTAAAATTTGAATGAAGCATAAAACAGCAGTCAAGAATCAAATAGTGCAGGGTGGGCGGTGCAAAGTAAGCAAAGTAAGCCCCTTGCACCAGAACGAGTTCTTGGTAAGATATCTCCAGGACCTAATTTCCGTCAGTTCTCAACCGTAGGGTATCCTTCAAACCGATGTGGAGCTCAAGCAGTACATCCCACTCAAAACTTGAATGTCCTTTCCGTCACCCAAACATCTTTGGGCCATTATGTCTATGCGTCTCTCACACCTTTGCCCGTATCCATTTCTGAAAGCCATGTTTCCAAAACATGAGTGTCGCACGCCTTGGAAAACGGCAGATGGTTCGTTCGCATCGGCTATCCTTGGTAAAAATCATCTAAAGAATATTTTTCCAAGAGAATCTGGCTACTGCCTTTCGCCAACTTTCTCAAGCTACATATGCACTGATTCTGCAACATCCATGCCGCAGTAAAGCACAAATGCCAGACAAAGTTCGGACAAGAAGAGCCGCGAGTCTAAGCCACCGTTATGTGACTGTGCCGCACCAATACAGCAGCTTCAACCGCCGACAACCGACGTCCTCAACGGAGGATACCGTCCCAAAAGATAACTAAAAGGTATAGATGTATTGCTATGTGCAGCTCCAATGTTCTATATCCGGCAGTTACCATCTTCAGACCATTCATCGCTTCCCACGCATCTCGTGCAAAAAAATAGACCTTTTGAATCAACCTTGTCCTTAATTTTCTTTAACCTATCGTAGTGATCACCCCAAAACAGCTGTTTCCAGATATCCTCGGTAGCGTCGGCTTCATTCAAGTATGCAGCAGGTTTTGGTCCAGCAATCTCCCAAAGCGGTGTCCCACTAGTGGGGAATACTGCCACGACATGCAAAAGTGTATTACGCCATCCCGGATGCGCAGCAATGTGGTCCGGGGGATAGCGTGCTACCGCTCCTCCTGCAACCAGGTGAAGGATAAGAATAGTTGACGGCGCTTTCATGCTTGTGAATGCCTTTGCAACCTTCTCCGGCGATTGTAAAAACGCGTCCCGAGGGATAAGACGGCTGGTCACAAGGGAGGAGGAACCGTCATTCGGATCCGGAGCAGGGGAGCTTTCGTTTGATCCGGGCATTGGGAGAGTCTGCATATTGAAGGTGAGGTTGAAGTATGCGTAGAACGAAGGGAGGGTCAGAATTTGTACATCGACGTTGACTTCCGAGGAAGGACGGGTTCTCTTATAGTTGGTCAAAAAGGCCAGGGACTCTGATGCCGCTGACGTTCCGTTTGCAAGATTTAAAAACGCTCCGAGAAAGTTATTGCCGGCATAGTACAGGTACCCTGCCCATCCCGCATCCGAGAGTCGCGGGAACTCAGCAGTCAAGTCGCCAACGAATGTCTCAAAATCAGTGGAGGAATTCGATGTCGCAGTAATTCCTGCCACAATTTGCGGGGGAGTAGGAAATGTTGTGAAGGTTGTGCTTGTCACTACTCCAAATGTGCCACCACCTCCACCTCGCAGAGCCCAAAACAGGTCCGAGTTTTGGCATGCGTTAACCGTCACTTCCTTGCCCTTCGCCGTAACAACTGTGTACTGCAATACGAGATCAGCCGCTAATCCTTTATAGGGACTCAGTGCACTGTGACCTCCGCCCTGAATGTAACCACCGGATGCTCCCACTGTCGGATTTTGTCCTCCAACTACGGCTAATCCCCTTTGATCTGCAGCTTTATATACCTCCCCCCATTGAGCGCCTGCTCCAACGGTGACAGCGGTATTGCCGTTTCCCCTGCATCCCGCCGGCACGAAATTGTCAGAAAAAGTTATGGCTTTCAGGTGGTGGACCCAGATAGACAGAGCGTCAGGTACACTGCTCTTCCCCCTAAATTCATGGCCAGTGTTCTTAACCACCAGCCGTAACCGGTATTTATCGGCGAAACGGACGGCAAGGCTGATTTGCTGGCTCGTCGTCGCGACTACCGCGTATGTTGGCACGTTTCCCTGTCCGCAAGGGGTGGCTCTGTCTGTGGTCACAGAGCATGTTTCTGTGCGATTCGTGCCTTCCCAGCTGGGATCAACCATGGCCCCCGGCTGATCCGAACGCCAAGAGGGATTATACCATTGGGCTTTTGCAACGGAACATGCTTCTTGGTCGTAATACGGATCGTGGCAGACAGCGCCAGGTGGTAGGAGTTTGATGAGGGCACCATTGATTGTTGCATTGAAGGCGGACCAAATGCTAGGCGAGGGCCAACATTCATCAGCTGGAAGACAGCGACAGTTCTTCTTAGAATGTGGTGCTGCAAATGAATGGAGGAGGCATGTAGCCAATAATACAAAGAAAACGTGAAGCATAGACAAGGCTTGCATCTTAACAATCAACAACGTTGGAGTGGATGTCTGGGTTCAAGTCTTTTGAAGCACCAGCTGCCTTTTATATGGAATACAAGGTAACCTTGACAAGGTTTGACATGCCTTGGCAATTCCTCGCTCTGTACATGTCATGGACATTTTAAAAGGTTTGATGACGTCCTTGGCCACCTTTTGGCAGAAAATGGCAGGTCGATAAACAAGCGTTCGCTCGTGCTTGACGTCCAATTTCCCTTTGGTTAGGGGCACTTGCAATTCACATGGTGCCAGAGCGCAGGATACGTCAATATGCCGAGTGTCAACTTCAGCCAGGGCGTGCGTCGTCCCCGCGCGCGCGTTTTGGGGGCCATCGACGGGCACAGAAAGCCAAGGCGTTGGCCAAGGCATTCTTGGCCAAGGCATTCATGTTGAGGGTCAAAGTCACCAAGAATTGTAACAATACTATTATGGAATATGTAGGCGGGAGGGTCAAGATGCGATAAGAAAATCATTCTAAGTACATTTTATCCAATGGCTTTTTGCTTTGCCAGTGAGTTACATTCCGCTTTAGAACACTCCAACCTGCTTCTTCACTTTTTCACGCTTCCACGGCTGTAGTGATACATATTCGCCTTTTTGCATTTTAAATAACGCCTCAAAGTCTTCCTCCGATAGGTACATCTAGACAAGAAAACTATGAGCTGCCAGCAAATCATTAAAAAAAACATGGCAACATTTAGTACCTCCAGTTTAGTGGGGTCCAAATGTTCAGGTAGATGCTCACTGAGCAACACCTCAAGCGGGTACGTTTCGCGATTGTATTCTGCCAGAACCTCAGGAAGGGGACGTGTCTTTTTGGGGAGATCCCTCTGGGCGCAACGAGAGTGTTATACTCTCAATTTAGAGTGCCTCAGGAACTTGGGCCAGGTCGTACCTTGTCCTTTGGAATCTTTTGTCTGGTCCATCCATAAAAGTGTCTGGTGAAGTCAGCGGGCTCTTGATGTGCAAAGGTAACGAGCAGCGCTGTCCGTTGCTTGTCATGGAGTGTAGATTGCTCGAGGTATTGCTTCAGACCCATTTCAAAAATCATAAAGCTGTCCTGTTTGTGTGCTTTGGGAACGGAGGACTTACCAGTGCAGTTTCCATGCCAATGATCTTTTCATTGACCTTAGCGGAAGTACCGAACCGTACAAATATAGTTGAGAATGTATCCAATATATGGACAATATTGGGGTCGAGGTCTTCCTGGACAAATAGTGGGATTTCCTCAATCTGATGCAAGGAAAACCTTGTTAAAGATCATCCAAGCGGAGAAAAGGCAGGTTTTGTACTTCCTAGACATGCGTTTGAGACTGGACCTACCTGGACCACTCCACTCCCAGATGAGCATGAGAACAGCCTGGCAAGATATCTTCTGTCCAAGCTTGTTGTAGGCCGGATTGAAATATGATGCTGACCTAGCAAATCTTGCAGCGCCTTAGGTAGTATATCGCTCTCTTTGACAGGAATATGCTTTGTCCCTTTGACACAGTAACGTTGCGCCACCTGCTCCGCAAACGTTCGTTCAGACAAAAGCGAGTGCTGACCGGTCCAGATATAAGATATTGCAGGAAAAAGGATGAGATAACAATGGTTGCTATTGAGGGTAAGGTCTACTGGAAGTCAGATCAAGAGGAACAAATGCGCTGAATTCAAAGCACAGCATACCGGCAGATTCTGTTTCAATAGCTTTACATATGCCTTCATAGCACTCACGTATGTCAAAGATGAGAGGATCGGTTTCGGCTACCTGCTTTCCAGGCGGAGAACCCAACCGAATCACAAAACCGAGCTCTCCAAAAAGAAGGCACAAGTGCTTAGGCTCTGCACCGCCGACGCAGTATCGGATTTGCCTAAATTATTACCAGATTTTGCAATACAACAAGGTTGGGAAGACTCACCCTTGCCCTCGACAACTCTGATATGCTGTACGTCACCCGCAATCCCGTCGCTCAATTCAATCGTCATCAATGCACTCGTTCCTTTCTGAGTAACGGAACTCAGACCTCCCTGCCAAAAGTAACTGATACATTTCTCCACGCCGCTTGTGGGAGGCCTATAAGAGTAGAGAGAGACGTAGCTTTCCGATCGAAAGAATTGGCCTTGAAGTGCGGTGGGAATGGGATGTCGGACAAAGTTCTCAACGCGATAAATGCTGAGACGGCCACATTGGGTGGTTTCCGGCAGTGCGATCAGGTGCGCGGGCAGCGGAGAGCGAGCGAGCAGCGAGGGAATAGAGATGGGTGGTTGCTCGAGAGCTGGCGCAATGTTACCCTTTGTTTCCACATCAATGCGCATACTGATAGGAAGGGATCCTTCATAGTCGATAAACTTTTCCTGTTTGGATATGATAGCATTTGTATGGTGAATTCAAGGATTGAAATGGAGAGCAGTCGCGAATTGCACCTTCCATATAGCTGATTCTCTTTCCTCGTACTCCTTCCTCACCAGAACAGCTCCCTCATTCAATGAGTCTCTTATCCATCTTGCTGCTCTTCTTGCCACTACCGATCCCAGCGCCCTCTCCTCACTACCGGCCTTACATCCAATCCAGAGGAAGACTTCGCTTGCAGCCAAAACTATAAACACCTTTTCACTTTCTAACATTTTCCGACTTGGACTTCCTCCTTGGTATATAAATTTCACTTTTCTCCGACGCAAATCTGAATCGACAATCTTGAAAACCCGAATAAGAGCTGAAATATTTCCATCACTAGGAGGAAAGGGTGATTGTATAGGCAATGAAGCGCCAAGATGATTGAAAAAAACTGTCATGAGCTCCTTATCGTCAGGCTCAACAAGAAGTACACGAGGACGGTTTGCCCGAAGCTTTCGAATCCTTGTTGCAACGTCCATCGCGCGTGCACGACAGACGCGAGATGACGCTGGACCATTCCAGTGGTAGATGGTCATTCCTATGGGAAAGAACATTATTGACCTCGTTAGGCAAGCCGTTTGGCAAGCACAAGGTTCGTGGCATACATACCCGTATCTAGTACAAAAGCCCCATCTGCTTTTAGGCTCCTCACGTTACAATGTATGCCGGATATTACCAATTTCACCTTCCCATAGACTCCAATAAGGACCTTTTGTTCCCCCCTTTCAATCCTCTTTTCGTCAACGAATTCCACGCGATCCGCTTCATCTTTCAAATCCACCCCGCGTTGTTCATCAGCTTTCGCTTTCGCCATGTCGTCTCGAAGGATATTGTCCGTATTTAAGCCTATCCGTCCGAGGAGATCGTATGATGCCATTCGAATGCGGGAAAGGCCGTCGACCCATGCATTGCGCTTGTCGATGGATGATGTTACGTGAATGCAGGTGACATCCGGAATAAAGTGCAGGACAAACGATGCGGTATCGAGAATCTGATGAGCACCGGATGTACTTGCGATTGCTTCATCGTTACTAATGTCATCAAATGCGCTCGCAGGGATAACGCTACTAGCCGACGTACTGGTCCTTTCATCAAAATAATAGAAGGTCCCATCAATCACTTCCAACCAATATCTCCGAGGAGCGAGTTTAACCCGCTCACCTCCACTTTTTACTTCCACCCAACCCTCAAGAACGTCGTCGCTCACAATCTCCTTGGCGGGAACAAATCCCTTGCTGACGACCACCCTCCGAATTTGCAAGACCCAATTCGCTGCTTCATGTGCATTTCGCGACCGAAACAATAATTTACGCTTTGTGGTGTTTATTTGGAAGCATGTGAGGTTGCTGGTGTGTATCTGACTGTCAGCAAGTAGGTCAAGTGGGGTTGTGTCTGATGACAAGTCAGCCAGCCTCACAGAGATTGCTGCACTAAGGTTGAAGCTTTCGAGGGGCGGCTTATTTTCGGTATATGCTTTTATGTCTGGTGGGTACAAGTGAAGGAGACCTTCTTCATCCAGCACGGCAAAGCGTGCAGTCCAAGTGGGTTTACTAGGCCTCGAACTTGGACCGCTGGAGATGAGACACTGTATATTTCCAATCAAAGATGCCCCTTCCCTATTTCCGACGACCAGAGTCGACGACCGATTCGCCAACCGAGTCTGCGACTCTTTCTTCGGTAATGAAGGGAGTGGAGCACTACTCACGCCAAGCGATCCCTGAACCGTTAGCAGGGATGTCAACGTATTGAACCACATATCCCGTTCTGGTTTTGACCCGGCCTTGAACCTCCAGACCCTTTCTGAAGTCTCAATAACGAGTCCCAGATGATGTGATCCATCCCCCCTATCTGGCCCAAGACTGAACACATCAAGCTTTCGAATGCTGGCCAAGGGAATAAAATACAGGGGCATTTCTGCGTCCTGATCCAAACCCACGTACAGACGTGATTTTTTCAGCGAAAGATAGTGCCGCTCCCATACGGTTCCAAACCACCCTCTGCGCTCAATATCGATTGTTCCGTCTAGATAAACGGTAGTAGTAGCTTGAGAAGGTTCAGATTGCGTGGATCCCAGGGCCGACAGCGAAGCACCTGAACTTGATCGGCTGATGGGATGAGATTTTGCAGTTGGAGCGCGACGTATTTGCGTACTCTGCCGTCGAAGAGTGTCTTTCCTTTGCAATAGCAATTCTTCAACTGTTGGGCCACTTCCCTTTGTTTGAAATTTCAACACGTCCTCGTCGTCCGGCGCTGAAATTACCGTCACCTGAACAGGCTCAGGGGCGACCACATCAACCATCATCGGTTCGATGGAATCACCGGCATCAAACCATTGATGGGAGCTCGCTGCCGGGTTGACTATAGGTATTGGCGGGTATAAATCGGCTTGAAAGGTCTTTTCGCCGTCAACTCGTGGCACATGAATGGAGGTTGTTTCTACCGCGTTGTCCGTACTGTCGGGACGAATAAGTAGGCAAGAACTTGTCTAACCCAGAGTCCATCCCAAATCACATACCCTAGTCTCAAGAATCTGGCGATTTCGCATTTCCGACTATCACAAAGGGGTTTAGGCAGAAGTTCTACCGCTGTCTACGGAATGGATCAGGGTCGGATGGATTAAACATTCGGAACTTCTCATTGCATTGCTCACCGCTTGTTTTTCGACCTTTACAGCATTTACATATTTCAACGTCCCTTCCATTAACTCGTACACCCTTATGCCCTCGCCTTTCGACCCAAAGTACACTAACGGGAGAGCAGGATCCCAAAACGGCTGCAGTACCCCGACACCGGTTCCCGTAGTCTCGAGCACCTGAATGGGTTTTTGCAAGCTTCTTGTGTCCCAGACCGCAATCTCACGGGCACTCTGCTTGTTGAAGCCCGTTGTCACAACAGTGGGATCGGGCGCAAGCCAACAAGTTCGACAGGGTTTGGAGGCTACATGATCTGCTTGCGTGGTGTAGACGGGATCGGTGCTTGCGCGGGGATCGTACACCACAAGAACTCCCGCAGAAGTGATCGCGGTTACCATGTCCCCACAGTAGTCGAAGCTGATACTTTGCGCTACGGTGTCGTTGGGACAAGTCAGCGCTAGTCGATCTTGCATGTGTTCAATGTCCCACAGACGGATCGTAGAGTCACTTGAAGAAAGCAAAGTAATTCTGAGACACTGCCTCGCACTCCAAGCAACTATTGTATGCCAAACTGCAAACATCGGCATGACCGCTTGGCTCACACTTACGCTGAACTTGTGGCCAAGATGTTGCCGACAGTTGGATGAAACTTTATCAACTCCACTTTCCTTTCATGTGCAGCCAAATATATGGTTGCAGCATCTATTTCTCTGCCAACTGGATGCGTACTAATATCTGTTGGTATTTTCCACAGCCGCACGACACCATCTGACCGAGTTGAAGAGGCAATAATGGTCGGCTCAAGCGGAGAAAATTCATAGTCCTGTAATTGTCTTCCATGGACTTTTTCGAGTATAGATTGGTTAGGAACTGGACAAGAATTGCTCTAGCAAGGAGGTATTTACGCAGTAACAGCGGTGCAGAGCTTTCGATTTTGATGGTTTCCACAACGGAAGTACGTGGAATTGGAAATACTCCGATACTCCCAGTGCCAAAAGGCACTGAAAAGAACAATTCATTGCACTGGAGGAGTGGAGATCAGTTTTCTATCCGAGTATCAGTCCGGAGAGAGCAGCAACTCTAAACCTTGAGTTTCGTTGTTGCAGTTCCGTCTATCTTGAGATGCGTGTATAGCGTTTTTGTTGGCGTCGATGAGAATATGTTTTTATATTTTGAAGCATTCTGTATAATGCTTGAAGGACTCTTTTTTAAATTGGATGGTGCCGAAAGCTGGTCCATTTCGAAATGGCAAACCATCGACCTTCAAAGGTTTCCAGACGAAGCGGAGTTTGCCAATGGTGGCACAGTCATGGTATGATCCAAGAGTTCCAAGTGTTCCAGCAATGCGGCTGACTTAGCCACGCTCCGTAATCTGCCCGCGGGTTGAAACGACTTTGGATGTGTTTTCACCAATCCGTGTCCCAAAACTCTTCACCTCCACGATGGGCTCCCTCGTATCAAGCATCACCAGTCCTGCCATCGACAAGGCCAAAGATGCCCTAATGATGCAACAAGTCGCTGCGATAAAGCAGAACAAAGAGCAACGCGATAGACAACTTGCGATGAATATTGCTGCTACCCGAGACAGGGTTTACTGGATGTCAGGCACCGCGGTGACAATAATTGGCTTGGCGGGACTGCAAAAGGCTATGGGACGTAAGCCAGCTCTGGCAATACTGCCTGTGACAGCCTTTACCGCGCTAGTGGCCTATCAAGTGGATCTTGCATGGGGAACGAAAAGTATGTAGCAATTCGTGCTATTTCTTTTGTTACCGTCAAGGTCTTATGTGTTTTGCTTTCTGGATAGTAAACCGCCTCTCTCGTGAAGTGCAAGCGATCCGAGCCGAACCTAATTGGTGGTTCAATGAACCTTTAGATTTGCCTCCTGTCATGAGAGGTCCGTATAGGAAGTTTATGGACGAGCAGAACGCAAAGCTCAAAGCAATGGGAGAACCTCCAGAAAAGGATTGGGCACGTTAAAGGACATTCTTATATTATAAACTAATGGACAACAGCAAGATACGATACTTGCTTTTTGACCATCCTCCAATTAAACGATGATTTGCATCGAATAAATAGCAGCCTTGATATCTGGAAAGCCACGTGATCATCCGATTGACAGACATGCCGACCAAAGCATGTCCCCAGATCGCGGTCATGGGAAAATGACCGGCGCATCTTTCTCCATCCCACAGTTGTCGTGCACCATTTTCAAGAATGGAACCGCTGCATAGAGCTGAGGATAATGCACGACCTCTGGAACCACTGATATCGATTCGGATCATCACTCTAGATCACTATCTGGCGTACCCGAATCCACTCACAGATCATTGCGCAACGCAGTTTTCCGCCCCGGGAGCCAAGGGGTTTAAAGTTCCCATTATTCGCATATTTGGTGTTACTGAAAATGGTCAGAAGGCCTGTGTCCATGTACATCAGGTAACTACAAATGAAAAACTACAAAAAAACCTTGAGGAGGCGCCAGAATGAGCAGAGCTCGTTTCCGCTCGTTATATACTTGTGCAAGAGTAAAAAGAGATGTCTAATACTTCTGAATTGCGCTCCTTGCTAGGCCTATCCATATATCTATATTCCCTATGACGGGCCACTTGACCCGCAAGGAGGTAAATATGCAGATACAGCCAGACAAACTGCGGGTAGACAAATCCCCCCCTTTCTCACATCCTTGGTTACATAGTACGGCTCTATATTCATAAGCTTGGCACGAGTCTGAATCATGCCACTGCCCTCGCTCTTGGCCAAAATCAGCGAAACACCGGAAAGAGCCTGTACATTGCATCCATTATACTTGTTAAAGGCATTCCTTTTTACGGATTCCATGCCGAATACCAATTCTTTCTCAAAATCAATCTATATCCTTCTTCACAAAATTAGTGGTCTTTTCGTTTGTTTTGTCTTTCCCTTTGGCTTCTTTGCTTTATCATCTCTTTAACTCCTATAAAACCCTCAATCCTAATTTGGTCAATAGGATAGTCGCGATATTGGAAAGTGGAAGTGTTCTAGGAAAGGCCTTTCAACCTTTTGAAGCCCATATACCCTACCTTCACCAATTCTTCATTGATTACAATCTCTACGGCATGGATTTTATGCGATTGGCTGATGCAAGATTTCGGATGCCTATACTGGGTAAGTGGGGAGAACCATCGCACATTCGGCTTGAGCGTAGTAAACTAATTGGGAAGAAGTATAGATATTTCCCGTGGAGAGCATCCCCTTATTCCACTGAGCGGAACCCAAATTTTTAAGGACGAGCACCTCGACGGTCGATACAAGTGGCCCTCACGTTACGGGATAAGGCGGCAGAGCTATTGCGAATTGGAACTAGATACATGGGTGACGGATATCTTGAATCGCCATACAATAGAAGAGCGACCAGCAACTGCACTTGTAGATATTGCAAAGGGCCAGTTAAACCTGGAAGACACCAAACTTGTTCCATCATTAGCTGCGATTTGGCAGGTAACGGGAGGTCCTCCCCTACTTTAAAGCAAAAGGCTACCGCTCTCTGCTCACCGTGTATTTAGGATGAGCGCGACCGGCGGCTGGCCAAGGGTTTAGAGGCGAACTTGTCAATGAATGCAACTCCATTTGGTGAACGACTCCCATACTCCCCTTGGAGCAATGAAGAGCGACTGCGTGACCAGATTCGTCGCGCATGTGGGGAGCTGGATGAACATAGAAAAGCGAATGGACAAGCACGATCTGTTCAGCAGTCTGTCTCTGCGCTAATGGACGACGTGCTCACTGCCTTTCAATCAGTTCCCGCTGTCCGAGCTGATAGAGTCCGACCCATAGAGTCCGGTGATGATGCTAGTAGGAAGGAGCAACAGTTACAGTCGTCACCTGTTCATGCGGGTAACAGCTTATCAGCGCAAGACTACTCGCAGTTATTTGATGACGTGGAGATCGAAGTAGATATCGACAGGATAACACAAGCGTTTCCCTCCCAACAGGTATGTAGATGTCTCTAATATTGGATTAGAGTACGTAGGACGGAATATAAAGTAATCCCTTCTAGTCTCAAGGAGAAAAAGAGGCTGCTGAGATCCTTGATTGGATGGCGAATGGTCAGGATGAAGATGAGATGATTGACCAGGCTTGGCCGGATCAGTTCCAGCGGGAAAACTTTGAGGATGGTGGAGAGGATCGAGATTCCGAACCGCAGGATTTGCAACGCGAGGAAGAAGAAGAACTGGAGGATTTATCATTGATCTACGATGATCCGCGCACGCCCACGTCGACACCGGCAAAATCAGTCCAGGAAGCTTCGTCAGTGACTCAGAGGACAACCCCGACCACCAAGCGAAATGTATTTCTGGCTACGTCTCCCACATCGCCTACACCGAAGAGCCGTGGGAGCGCACCAAAGCATTGGTAAGAGGATCCACATTGCCCTTGAAAAAACGTCTGTCTACCCATTTTGAGTCATCTGGAACTTAAAATAGTGACCCTGGCTCCAGCCACACCAGTTCTTCATTACCCCTCTGTTCGGAGCAACGGATTGGCACCCACCCACTGAGCCGAGACAGTACACCAAAAACATTGTTTCACTTGGCTGCCGGTACCCCGTGGTCTGAGAAGCTGCTCTCAACACCGCGCGATTATATGCGCGTGCAGACGTCATTTGATGCATTAGTCCGGAGTCCTGTTGAGAATGAAATTGATGACAGGGGCCATGCTGTTGGGGAGAGTTCGCATGTGGATGATTCTCCAGTGATTGGACAGCAAATTGTTAGTGGGCATGATCGTGAGGAGAGGTTGACAGATTCTCCAACTTCACCGCGAGCTTCTCCTCATACCTCGTTCAACAGGCGTATCCCGCAAGTGGATGGAGCGGGTGATACTCCACCGACGTCTCTACTGCAGAAGAACACTCGATACTCGGGGACTCAAGATTCTCAGACCAATATCGCAGATGTTGACTCTTGCCCGCACGACGTTCCACTTTCAAGCTCTCCACTTCCATTCTCAGCCGCACGCCGCAAACGTCCGATTCGTTACGTGGATGATTCCTCAGACGACCTGCATGAACCAAATGATGTGGCTAATACCGCTAGACCCCCCTCCTATCGATGCCATCCATCCCGCCCAGTTCCTCGATCTGGCTCTTTCGTATGCATCGAAATACCGGTCAAACGTCGCCGCATTGTGGCTGGGAGCCCCAAGCCGTTGTCATCTTCTCACGAGCGGTCTCCCATACATTCTGTCCAGAATAGTTCACGGAAACGCGTCGATGACGAGCTATGTTTTCCTCCATCCAGTCCCCGGTCAGTTACTACTGAGCTGTCTGGACCAGATGATTTTTTTGCCGAATTCGTCCACGAGAACCCGGCGGGTGCCACTAGCATACTTCAGAATGAAGCATACTGTGATGCTCTGGAAAGATCGCCCGTACGCTTGACTGACTCAGTGAACTGGTCCGACAGCAGCTCGGACAGCGGCGACCAGATGGATCACTTCCGTTCCCAGTCTGACCGAGATGAGTCGGTCCCTTCTTCTACGTACTTTACTTCGTCAATATTGGGTATGTGGTCTCCTCCAGCAGTTGAGGAGATCCCTTTTGAGTTATCCTCCTTCATCTGCGACCCACCCTCTGTCGGCTCCCCTTCTGAACTCCCAAATCAGAAAACATTTTTGGAGGAGACAGTGCATGAGGCAGCACGTGGTGACCCCGAACAACCATCTTCACATGCTGATGCCCCTCAAAGTGTCTCCAAAACAGTTCACTTTGCGGAGTATGACCAGACGATACATGGATCAGACCAGTACGATCCTGGGGGACACTCTGGGTCCCCGATGGAGACTGACAGCGATAGTGAGGGTTCTATCGACGATGGAATAAGCTCTACCACCGCGGAGCAGATGGAAACTGAGGAGCAAGAGGTCGCGACCAAAAGACTCAATTCCGAGATGCAATCATTAGTTTCTGAGACCAAGGCCACACCGATATTGGATGGCATGCAAACATCTCCTTCGTCATCTGGCAGCATCGTAGATAAGGATCGGCAGGATCCTCCTCCTTGTGATGATGAAGTCAACCGGGACACTTGTGAGACAACATCGTTCGCTGGCGGCAACAGACTTCCTTCAACACTTCTCATGGAGGCACCACCTTCGCGAACTCATTTACAATCGTTTGTCTCGCAGTTGGAACTTGCTCCAAGTAGTACTCCGTCGGAAAGATTCTCCCTATCTGCGGAAGAAAGACATTCAACGGCCTGTTACCGGTTTGCACCTCCTCCCTCCGCGGATGAGCTCGTTCTCTCTCTTGCCACTTATGATATTCCCAAAGTTCTCTACCGGGAACCACATTTCAGCAATCCTCTTGATGTTCCTCCACGGCCGAAAGTATTTGCTGGAAGGGAGTTTAAATTCAAACCGGAAGATACTGAGCATTTATCAGAATTCGATACTTCCGGCTGTCATTCCTCGACATTACAGAGCTCTACTGGAGTTCCGGGTGAGCTAATCAAAGGATTGGCATTCTGGAAGGAGGAGATCAACGTATTTGAGGGTGATAGGTAATTATGAACTGATTGTTCATTATCCTCAGACGCCGAGCATATGAACTAAATTTGTGGATAGGAGCTTCATTCCAAGTTCTTTGTTCGTGTGGACATTAGCGTCATGTCCACCTTCCCGCACCCATGTGATGGAGTGGCTAAAGAACAATCCGTCAAGAAAGGAAACTAACGTCAAGGGAGATGTCGTTGTTGAAAGTGAACGTGCGTAATTGTTGCCCACTAGCAAAAGGTTTCATTGTATTCAACGTTGTCCGTTGTAGCTATTGCGGCACAGAAGAGTCTCTCTGTACGGCGAAAGCCAGAAGATGTATCACAAGTACGATAGAGGAAACCAGATAATGCCTGCCTCTAGACAACAATTTCGAAGCTTACTCACTATCTTGGTCTAGATTGAAGCCCCAACGCCTAAGAACCCTTATGGGTTCAAATATAGTCAGATCAACGTCAACAAAGTTCATCAGGAAAAAGAGTATATTTGCACAATGAGTTTGGAGCTGCACGGTAAGAACATGCGGGAGTTCCTCATTTAGCGTATGTTGACATCACCTCAATGTTTAGCACGATCCCGAGAGGACTTTATGCCTGATCCGAGGCATGATCCAGTTTGTGCGGTTTTCTACTGCTTGCAGAATGAGGACGAACGTCGATATAAGAGCAATGGACATAGACCTGGGTACGCCTTTAAATCGGTTGTAGGGGGAAGTTTATGACATTTTAAATCTCTCTCTATGATGTGATTCCGCTTTCGTCAGATCCCATGTTGGTGTAATAATGATACAAGACGACTTTCACCTCAACAAAACTGGAATCAGTGGTATGAGAAGCAAAGTATCTTTAGAATACAGTACGGCCTGACATTCACTTTTGAAAAGGTTACGTGGTAGATTCAGTTTCAAGCGAGAAAGACTTGTTTGAAAAACTTGTGGACCGAGTGCGATCATTCGATCCCGATTTGCTTATAGGGTACGAGATACACAATTCGTCCTGGGGTTATCTCGTTGAGCGCGCTCGAGTCGCACTTGGTAACGTCTATCAATTGGACTAAGGCAAATGCCGCTCATCTGACAATCATTTTGAAATCAGATATTGATTTATGCACTGAGCTCTCTCGAGTTTTGCCGGATAACGCAAACACCAAGTTTGGACGAGACGAGGATTCGTGGGGCTTCCGCAAGCAGTCACACTTGCACTGCACTGGGCGTATCTTTCTCAATGTGTGGCGATTAATGCGATCAGAGCTCAACCTGACGTCGTACAGCCTGGAGAGTACGGCGTATCATGTTTTGCACAAGAGGTTTGGAGTTCCCTATGCTAGTTTTGGGCAAGGAGCACCGATTTACTCATGCTGACTAGAGTTCCAAAATATGCCCATCGGACTCTGACGGAATGGTACGACAAAGGAATGCTGTATAAATGGCGAACTATCAAATACTACATCAGCCGTACGCAGTACAATGTTGAACTGCTGGAAGATACACAAATGATAAGTCGTACAAGGTATGTACTGCCTGCTCTTGTGGGAGATAAAGCGCCGCTAATAGTGGAGTGTGGTACCCTGTTTGACTAGCGAGTTCGCTCGTGTTTTTGGTATTGATTTCTACTCGGTCATTACGCGAGGATCACAGTTCAAAGTTGAATCCATCATGGCTCGGATCGTAAAGCCAGAGAATTTCATTATGGTGTCTCCCAGCAGAAAGCAGGTTTGTTCAGGAGGGCGGTTCTAGGTATTACCCCACGCACCTAAGAGCTTTCTTTGCAGGTGGCAGCGCAACGCGCGTGTGAATGCATCCCGCTCGTCATGGAGCCACAGTCTCGGTTCTACAACAGTCCGTTGCTGGTACTCGATTTCCAATCATTATATCCCTCCGTAATGATTGCATACAATTATTGGTACGGCAATGGTGCATGTATGCGCTGTTCAAAGTGAGCGATAGCTTACAGAATTTACTTTGTCAGTTATTCGACTTGCTTGGGGCGGATTCAGTCCGTTGGGAAGCCGCACAAGTTTGGCGTTTTAGACGACTTTGAAGTACCGGTAGAATTCGTGGAAATGTTCAAGGATCACTTGAACGGTAGGCCGTCAAAAGCTTTGTTTGTCATCAGCCGTCTCCCTCTTTATTAACCCTACATTAGTATCTCCGAATGGTCTCGTATTTGTCCAGCCTCACATTCGCGAAGGTACACTAAGGCGAATGCTATCAGAAATCTTGGATACTCGAGTTATGGTCAAGCAGTCAATGAAGATTCATAAGGATGATAAAGTATGACTCCCAGAAGAGAAATTGTAATTTCTGATGTTAAACCTCATACCTTAAAGGCCGTGCTGCGGACTCTAGAAGCGCGACAATTGGGCTTGAAGTTCATCGCAAACGTCACTTATGGTTACACGGGTGCCAGCTTTTCAGGTCGCATGCCATGCGTTGACATTGCTGATGCTATAGTGCAAACTGGCCGAGCTACTTTGGAAAAGGTCTGCAAAGGCCTCAATTGTTAACCATGAATTTGGATTGAAGGTGATTGACGCAATTGCAATCCCAGGCTATTGAACGGATCCACAGCACCGCGAAATGGGGCGCAAAAGTGGTTTATGGAGACACTGACTCTCTTTTTGTCTATCTTCCAAACGTGAGCAAGGACGATGCTTTCCGCATCGGTAAAGACATCGTCGATACCATCACAAAAATGAACCCCGAGCCTGTGAAACTCAAATTCGAGAAGGTAGCGCGCCAGGTTCTTAAGCAGTTGCTTTGGTTGCTTTGGTTCATTTACAAGGATCGGCAGGTATACCATCCATGTGTTCTCCTAGCGAAGAAGCGGTATGTGGGATTCAAATACGAAAGTCCAGATGAAAAGGAGCCCGGTTTCGATGCTAAGGGAATCGAAACTGTGCGAAGGGACGGCTGCCCCGCGGTAGCGAAGACTATGGAACAATGTCTGAAGTGAGCAGTGACCTTTTCGTATCAATGTTTATTTAGTCCTGACGGACGGTCCACTGCCGCAGGATCCTGTTCCGCACTCAAGACCTGTCAAGAGTGAAGGAGCACCTCTATCGACAATGGACAAAAATCTTGTCGGGTCGCGTGTCTATACAGGATTTCATCATCGCGAAAGAAGTAAAGCTCGGAACGTACAGGTAAAGTTGGCCGTTGGTTTATATGCCAGGATTGAGAGTTCATATAGTTGTACCGTTCAACAGTGCCCGGGGTCCCCCACCACCTGGCGCACTGATCAGTACCAAAAAGATGGCCGTGGATGGACGATCTGAACCTCAATATGGGGAGAGAGTGCCGTATGTGGTCGTTCATGGCGGACCGGGTTATCGTTTGATAGATTCTGTTGTACCTCCAGAAGAGCTCCTAAATAGCAGGTACGTGACGCAAGTTGATTTGTCGACACTATGCGCTCATTAATTTCGCGGGGAAGGACACTGCAATTACATGGGACGTATTATATTACAAGACAGATAATCCCGGCTTTGTCGAGAGTCTTCGCTCTTGTAGGGGCAGGTATGGAGACTCCCATTGTTCATAAAGTGCCGGTGCGCTCCTGAACCAAAGAAATTTCTACTAGACGTCGAAAGCTGGTTCAACGAGATGCCTAAGGTACAACGAGCAATTCAGTTTACCGCATCGCAAATGCGGCCCGAATTGCAACAACAGTTGAGAAATGGTCCTGGGCAAACCATTGATCAATATTATGTGGCTAAGCATTGTCTCGTGTGTCATGAGTTGACACATAACGGTTTGTACATTTCTTTCTACAAGGGGCGAGAATATATCTTTTTCTAATGAGGATTGCTAGAGATCTGTGGCTCATGCGCAAGGGATCCTCAGACGTCTGCATCCAAGCTCGCGCGTCGCATAAGCGAATCGGAAAAACGATATATCCAATTGCAGCGTGTCTGTCGTTCTTGCTCTGGACACAGTACCGCCCTAGATTTGGATTCGGCGTGCATATCATTGGATTGTCCAGTGTACTATGCTCGTGTGAAGGCTAAACATGGGGTCAAACTGAACGCAAAGATACTTAATGGTATGGAGAAATTAGGTATCATGATGGAGGAGCAATAAACATGGTACATGAATATATACAATTGCAATTGCACAGATCTACTGTAGATATCGCTGTAAATTTCCCCTACAAAAGGGATCTTGGGTATGACCGTACTTTAGAGAAATAAAAGGTCCGAAGTGTTCTAGTGGGTACATCTGACCGATACGACGAGTCACTATCCCGCTCTTGCCAATACTCCACTGTGAAAATATTGATGAGGACAGCGAACCGATTCTTGTCTAGCAGAATGCTTGCTTACCCCATTTGAGCTTATTATGTTTGCCTCGGCGGCTGCTGGCGAGTGTCAGATTGCACTTGAAAGACACTCCCGGTCGATCGTGCGCCCGCATATGTAGGTACAGATGATTGGAGGAAAGGAGATATTCGCCCGACATTGAACCCTTTTGCAACACTTCGTCCGATAGTAGCACTTGTACGGCTTTCGCCGGTTCTACTGTCGTTGTCCAACAGACAACTTTATGCGGGAAGAATCGGAGGTACCGATAATATGTCACCAGATGAACCGGTGCGTAAAACGATTGCGCTTCACCCGTTCGTACATAGTTTACTCGGGATATGTACAGCCCATCTCTTCTAAGCCTCGGTCTGTCTAACCACATATTGAACCAGTTGCCCTTGTACAGTGGCAATTCCTCAGCCACAGAACGGAATCCCATCCCAGGATAATGGACTTTTTCGCATACAAATCGCCATACAGACTGTTCGCGGCATAAGAGAAGCATTTTCCTGGACACCAAGGACAGCGAGCAAAATGTGTCATGACCATGCAAAAGGAGCGCCCAGTGTATGATCTGAGTTACGATTTCGGAAGGCAGTTTGGCGAGTGTTATTTTACGGTCCAGGATGTGTGGCATGAACGCCACATCCAAAGCTTGAAAGCGTTCAACCAGATCGGTTATCTCGTTCGCATGATCATTGTGGGTTGTGTGGGTGTGTTCGTGAAAATCATAGTACGTATAGAATTCAGAATTCGGGTCTGATTCTTTCTCTTGATGGGTGTGTATTGGGTGAGAAGGTTGTAAAAGCATCTTGCGGAAGCGCTGCTCTACATGCGGGTCCAGACGGACGGCATCTCGATATGAGGTCAACGCTGCTGATAAATTCCCCATCCTGTGACATTTGCATGTTATGGAAGCACATTCGGAGAAGCAATACACCGTAAAACAAACCTTTCATATTTAGTTCCCAACAGATAGGCCTCCAAACTTGGATCCTCTGCTTCACTAGGCAGCTCTTTGCCCTGTTCCGAGATCGACTCAACCAGGCTGCTTTGCGTGAGCTTCCCAACGGCGACAGAAGGCATTGCGGCGAAGGACGAAGACGCCAAAGGTGGTGCGACAGAGGCTGCGGATTTCTGAAGTGTGGCATTTGGAGTTCGTTCCAAAGCTTTGTCCGACAAGGACGCCGGGGACGTCGTGCTGTACGGAGCTGCCGCGACCTTTGCACTCACTTCCTCTCGCCATTTCTGACGAAAATCGACAAGCTCTTCTTCTACCACAGGGATTTGCAAATCCATATCTGCTTCAGAGCCTTCCTATGACACTGGAGTTCCAATATTGCGGAGATTGTTTCAACAAAGCGAACGCTCTACACGATTTTCCGCCGATAGTCGCCGTGGCTTACTCTGGTTTGTCATCGCGCGCATCATTATGTCGTGGCTTAGTCGATATGAACAAGTATGCAGAGGGGATAAACGCTGTGCTATCGTTGTGGGCAGTACAATTTGCAGTACTTTTACCAACTGCCGCCAAGATGGTCTACTGTAATGTCAAGAGAAGTTTGCGGTATGACCGATTATTGATCATTTGGAGCAAAGGCAGCTGTCATTTTCCATCGACGACTCGTCGATCATTCTTGAATGTCTTGAAAGCCTTGACTATTTTCCCAGTCCTAATTGTTAAAAAGAGTCCAAGTCCTGCTGCATTGCTGCATTTTGCCTGCGCCTTTGCTGTCGGTGTCGTCTTCGTTGTCCTCCAACGATTTTTGCTGGCGGGGATTGGAGGATCGTCATTTGTCCCGATTTGGAACGCATTATCCCTTGCATGGGACGTACGCGACCAGCCTGGACGACTTGACAAAAACAACCCGACGATTTCTTCGCGGCCAAACGTTACATGGGAGAAAGGTCAGCCTGACGCGATATAGACTCCTCACCTATTCGCTATCACCATCGTAGCAAGACGAAGGCGTCCCTTCATAGGACGAGATTCGTTCGGACGCGTGCGATCAGGCAGTTTCTGTGTTCTCTTGCTCACCACCGAACGGTCAACGCTCTCACAACCATCACAAATCCTGCGAGCTGCACACCACGAGTGATCTCGACACATTCCCACTTCTGTTCTGCTTATACAAGCTATGTCGGGATCCGCTGCACAACAAGCAAGTCGAGGCAGCGCGGGGATATCGCAGGGGACGACTGTACTTAACGACAGCAACGGTTCTGCTACTGGGGTTGCAACATATACTTTGCCCGGTGTTCTACATTTTCTTCAAGTAGAGTGGCGAAAATTTGAAAGAGAGCGAAATGAATGGGAAATAGAAAGGGCTGACCTGAAGGTTAGTCATTCATGTCTCTGAGCTGACAAGTTTGGCGGGGCAAATTGACAGAAATCGAAACTCTCTGCGTGAGCGACCTCTATTAGCAGCGCTGTGACGCTTTCAATTGATGCGGATACACGAAGCTAATGGATTAATCGTTTGGATTTTCTCAGGCGCGAATAGCACTACTGGAGGGTGAGCGGAGGGGAATGGAGAATCTTCGGACCGATTTGATGCGAAGGGTTAAGATGTTAGAATACGCCTTGCGACAGGAAAGGTAGCATCGATGAAATTGTTCTTGAAGGTGGCTCGCCGTCATGACAGCTATTTACCTCATGGTTGTTAGGAATAAGTTCACCAAATTACGACAAGAGAAGCAAACCGTATCACCATCATCAGAAGATGCAGTGGCAGCGGCTACGCAGCCGAATGCAGTAACTTCAGGCATGTCGGCTCCAACAGAAAATGTACCGACTCTTCCTGAGGCGGTGCTATCCGCTCCTTCCAACTATGGTACTCTCAACTTCTCTGGTGGTGGGATGGGGACGTTGTTGAACTTTTCGAAAGGATATGGACATGTGCGAAGTAAAGAGATCTTAAAAAAGTGGGCAATTGTCTCCGAAAAACCACTGGTTAGCCTGTTTGATTGACGCTTGTGTTTTATAGTTACCTGCGGGAAATGAGCTACTTGTTGACAACATCCACAACCGGAGGTAATGTCTCCCCTTCGGTGAACCCGAAAACCGCGGCAAGCGGCAATGAAGATCCTTCTGGGCTCGAATCTACTGCGGACCCGGAAGCATTGGGAAGAGTGATTGGAAAGCGGGAGGCGGCAAGGGCTCGCGGGACGTTACCAACAGCGCGGCAATTTGCCGCGGCTGCCTCGGAAGAATCTGCATCAGAAGTCATTCAAGGTGAACCGCAGCGCGTCATTACCAAGATAAAGCGCGAGACGCCGGCAGCTGCAGAACATACTGAAGGAAGCAAAGTGCCAAAGGTGGACACCAGCCCGCCAGAAGCACAAGAAAATGCTCCCAATGATGCGCGCATCCAATCCCCGGAGGAGGCAGTGGAAGGCAAAGAGCCAGCAGTAAAATCCCTTGTTGATAAGGCATCCAATCAAGACTCTAAGAAACCGAAGGATAAGCAAGGCCAGGAGCGGAAAGAAAGCCGTGTTAATGACGGACGATTGGTATGACGAATACTGCTGTGCAACCCCATGACGCAGATTAGACGATGTGAATTAAGATCCCTGCGAATTATTAGACGCCAGATGAGATGCAAGAGCTGAAGCTGACTCCTGAGAAAGTTAGCAAAGTCATGAGCCGCTTAGAAGGAAAGGGTGCTCATGCCAAACGAAAAAGTCCTGGTATGTAAACATATCCTGCAAGTTTATTTCTCTCTGATGACCAAACAACCCGATCTTGCAGCAGAGGCAAAGCCGGGCGGTATTCCGTCCGTCGTTGCCAATACTTTGTCTTTGGATGGGGGATTGGCCACACTGACTTTGAACGAAGACGATGTGGACGAAGGGGCCAAGGTGGGTTTAGTGCAGAGTGATTGTGGGCATCGCAAACAGTCTGACAGTTGAACATGTGCACCGCGCAACCAGAAAAAGGGTTCGGCAAAACCCGCCAACCAAAAAATCTGGCGGCCCAAAGCGGTATTGAGAAAGTATGTCATTCCCCAATCTTAGTTAACCAGAAATCACGCATTGAAATCTTTCTCCTTAGTCACATGGATTCCATTCGCGCTGTGGCATTCTCAACCAATGATGGTGCCCTGGTTACTGCGTCTGAGGATAATACCGCGAAACTCTGGAATATCGGCAAATTGGAAGATCGTAGCAAGTGAGCATTTGTATGCACTTTTGGAGGCTGAGGCTAGATTTGTAACAATTGTGCATTTTCTATCTGTTTTTCAGAATGCTACCGGAGCTGGAGCCCGTTTATACCTTCCGCGGGCATACTGAACCGTTGACGTCACTCGCTGTTTCAGCGGATGGACAAACATGTTATACAGGAAGTGTCGATGCAACTATCCGTGTGTGGCGCATACCACCATTGACAAGAGATCCATATGCTAGCTACCGTACGTTCGCAACTAGCGTTCCGGTTCGAGACGCCACCTTTTACTGATGACAATTCCTTTCTCATATAGAGAATACCAAGCAGTTTAAGTTGCATACATATGTCGGCCACTCTGACGTTGTTTGGGATATGAAATTACATCCGCTGCAGCAGCAATGCCCATGGCTGGCTTCCGTTTCGAGTGATGGTGCTTTGAAGATATGGAATACAACACCAGGGCACTGGCAACTGCGCAGCACGCTATGGTATGAGAACGCAAATAGGGGAGGTACAAATGACGTGGTAAAAGAAGCGGAAAGCAGCGGGCTGCAAAATCCGACGTCCGTGGACTGGGTGTATACCAATTTGAACAGGATAGCGGTGTCGTATCAGAACAGCATCGTAAAGATTTTCGACGCTGAAACTGGACAGGAAACGTTGCAATGCCGACATGACGGAACCTTTGGTACACTACCATAGCTTTCTGTTGACTTGTTCACCATGTTGCTGATGAATGAACTCTATCTACTAGATAACACCACATCTGGACAGATCAACAAGGTTGTTTGCCATCCCACCCTCCCGCTACTCATTACCGCGCATGAAGACCGATATATTCGGATATTTGACACAAATACAGGTGGGTACAAGCCGTGGTCATTGTCAGATGATATTTTCACTAATTCGTGCGAGTAGGACAATGTGCGCATTCGATGGTCGCTCATCAAGATTCAGTTTCAGCCCTGGATATCTCGCCAGATGGGCTTACTCTGGTCTCAGGGGGTAAGACTTTTTGACTGTGGCGATTGCAAGTAAAGCGACTTCTGACTCCTGGTACTGTTTCTAGGTCATGACTGTTCAATACGATGGTGGGATCTGACAACACGAAAGTGTGTCCAAGAATATACTTCGCACCGAAAAAAGAATGACGAGGGAATATGGGCGGTCAACTTTCATCCTGAAGCCTCAAATTGCATGGCTTCTGCAGGCGCTGATGCGGTCTGTAAACTATATAGTTTTGGGACAGCATGAGGACTTGGAAAGGGTTGAATGTGCAGGGATGAATGTTCAAGGATACAGTTTATATAATTAGCGGATGTATTTAGGCGGAACAAACACTCTCGCCTTTGCGCACATGATTGCACCTTGTTACCTCGGAGGAGATTCCGTCATGGGACTCATTATTCTTACTCAATGATATACAATTGTAGGCCCATATAAAATTGCCCATGGTATCTCACGAATGGTGAAAATGTCTTTGCGCATAGAAAGTTGAAAGACGGCGGGAACAACATCAAGTTTCTTGAATGATGACTAAGCAGCCGTGAGTCATCACCGGTCACCTCGATACCACAGCGCTTGCCATGCACAGTTCCTAAAGACCCATCGGCGTTGCATTTCCCGCATTTTTACAAGCAACTATGCATATCGGCAGAGCGATGCGGGGTCGAATTCTATCACCTTCTTCTTCTCGAGCATCGATTTATCGCACGCTCCTTACCCGCACTGGAAAAACACCTATCGTATGTACCACAGCCGAAGAGGCCGTGGCGAATATAAAGTCACACTCTCGAGTATTCGTACATGGTGTTGCAGCTGTTCCAGGGACATTGCTAGAGGGTAAGAATAATATTGCGATAGATGTAACTTTGAAATATGCAGAATTCGCCCTAAAGTGCGGGCGGCCTGCCTTTTGTTTATCCTTAATGCCAAATTAACTGGGCGATTTTCCTAGCTCTGTCAAAACGCGCATCGGAATTGAAAGATGTAGAGTTCTGCCACCTCCATCTCGAAAAGCCAAATCCGTAAGTGTGGATGCTAATGATTATCACCCTGAGATGGCAGTTCATGACAATATATATATACCGATCTAGATGCAACGTACCAGGCAACATGGCTTCATTCTACACTAATCACTTCTTCATTGGAGCCAACGCACGAGCATCTGTCGCTGCAGGTGCTGGGAGCTACGTGCCCGTCTTCCTTCACGAAGTTCCAAAGCTCATGCGAACGGGGATCATGAAGCCTGATGTAGCCATCCTCAACGTCTCCCCTCCTGACCGGCATGGATACTGCTCCTTGGGGGTAGAAGTAGCCACCTCTTTGGCTGCGGCTCAAGTTTCTCCTATACTGATTGCGCAAATTAATCCATCCATGCCTCGAACCCACGGCGCAAGTTCGATACATTATTCATCGCTTGATTACGTATTCCATGTAGATGAATCTTTACCTGAGCGCAAAGTTGGCGTGGGGCCCACCGAGGTGGAACAGGCTATTGGAAAACATATTGCCGGGCTGGTTAAGGATGGTGCTACGTTGCAAATGGGGATAGGGGCGATTCCAAATGCAGTTTTGTCTCAGCTTGGAGGACATAAGGATCTCGGTATCCATACGGGTATGTCACTTAATCTTATTGTCGCATATTCCTTTCGTTCCTACAAGAACCAGGAAATGAAAATTGCTTCCTTCTTACCTACTTACCTACTAGAAATGTTCGAAGAGGGAGTAATTGACTTGATTGACAAGGGCGTTATAACAAACTTCAACAAAAGTTTCATGCCGGGAAAGATTGTCACTTCCTTCGTGATGGTACTTGATGACCTGTGGGAGAATACCGGCTGTCAACTTGTACTCAAGCTATATATTTGAATCGCAGGGCTCTCGTCGCGTCTACGATTTTGTAAATGACAATCCCACGGTTTCCTTTCTTGACGCATCAGTGACAAATAACCCGAGCCTTATCGGTAGTAATCCGCGGGTTACAGCCATAAACTCAGCAGTGGAAGTAGATTTGACCGGTCAAGTGTGTGCAGGTGAGGATACTGGTATAGTTAATGGTGTAGGCCATTCCTAACTTTTGCCGGCAAGATTCCATCGGTACCCGTATGATATCTGGAGTAGGAGGGCAAGTCGATTTCGAACGAGGTGCGGCATTGAGTCGTGAAGGCGTGCCGATCATCTGCCTTCCCTCCACCGACAAATATGGAGGTTCTCGCATTGTTTCCATTCTTAAACCCGGTGCAGGGGTCATTACGACAAGGCCCCGTAAGTACCGTACAGTCATCTAGACAGGGTCGTATGCTGATGTGGTTTTGTACATCCTAGATGTTCACTATGTAGTGACCGAATACGGAATTGCGTATCTTTTCGGAAAATCACTCGTCCAACGCGCAAAAGCTCTAATTGAAGTTGCCCATCCAAACCACCGGGCTGATCTTGAGCGAGGCGCGTTTGAACGGTTTGGGTTGAAAAGTTGGCGGGTTGGCTCTTGACATGTATTTAGATATAGATACGTAGACCACATAGACGGGGAAATTTCGCATGTTCTATAGGAGACTACATTAATGCCTTTTGCCAAAGGTCGTTGAGCCCTCTGGGCTGAAAATATTTCAGTCGGAGAATAAACTGTCGCGAACCCATGGTACGGGCAAGTGTGGCTTTCTTCTTGCTTACGTTACAGATCCAAGGACGCGAAGCTCAGCAGAAGTGGTCTCCGCTCTCTCATTGTTCCAACCTGCACCTTCTAGTTTGAGTAAGAGACAGTATGAGCGATTCACCCAGCAGCCCAGCAGGGGGGCCTCCTACGCTTCCTACGAGGTCTATAAAGTAAGTGATCAGCGGAACCCTCTTACTTTGAGCTTCAATCTTACTGGATTTGCAACGAACGTGTGTTTATTCAGACCTAACAAGAGTAAAGCGAAGCTCTCACCGAAATCGTCCACGGCAAATATTAGCTCAAAAGCAGAATACTCTGATATTGTCGATGGTCTAAAAAGAATTTACAAAGTTCGTGTTGAGTCGTCTCCGTTAACCTGTACCGCATAATATTGACCAGTTATGCATTCCATACTAGACCAAGATTCGACCATTGGAGCAAACTTATAACTTTGAACAATTTCATTCCCCTTACCTTACCGATGCCGATATCGAGGCAAAACCGATGGTACTGCTTATCGGGCAATACAGTGTTGGAAAGTCCACATTCGTCAAGTACATTCTGGATAAGGAGTACCCAGGATTGCACATTGGACCGGAACCCACGGTATGTATAGAAAGTGCAGAAGTGGTTGGCAATGAGAGTCCTAATATGAACACTGATCAATACTAGACTGACCGGTTTGTTGCGGTCATGAACGGCGACGAGAGGATCATTCCAGGCAATGCTGCTGCAGTCAGTGCAGAGTTGCCTTTCACTGCCATGACGCGATTTGGATCATCTTTCCTCCAGAAGTTCCAGGTACGAGCGATAGGTTTCCATCTGCTTACTAGACTCTTTGGCACTTGATATTCACATGTTCTGCTTGGCATATAGGTTTCTCTTGTCAACTCTCCCGTCTTGGAAAATGTCATCCTGATTGATACTCCCGGAATTCTGAGCGGAGAGAAACAGAGCATTGGGCGATCTTATGACTTTACATCCGTCGTGGAATGGTTCGCCGGACGGAGTCAACTCATCCTCTTATTGTTTGATGTTGCGAAGCTGGACATTGGAGATGAATTTAAACGTGCAATCATGTCCTTGAAAGGAAATGACGAAAAAATTCGTGTCGTACTCAACAAGGCGGACACTGTTACTGGACAGCAATTGATGCGTGTGTATGTATGACTATTCTGGATCAGCGATGCCACATGACTCTGATCTAAAGAGAATATTAGATACGGTGCTCTGATGTGGTCCCTTGGAAAGGTGCTAGGGACCCCAGAGGTACCGCGGGTGTGTACGTATTTTCTCCTTTGATTGCCATACATTCCGCCGGTCCTGACATGAAAGATATTGTTCTTTCTACATTGCTCTCTTAGACATCGGTTCCTTCTGGGATCAACCACTTCAGAACGTTGATTGTGCTGCTCTGCTCAAAGCCGAGCAACAGGATCTGTTGAATGATTTGAAGGCGCTTCCACGGAACGCTGTAGTCAGAAAAATCAATGAGATTGTAAAAAGAACGCGCATGGCAAAGGTGGGTAAATGTCGTTGCCAAAGTCCAGATACATTATTGACTGGATATGGGGACTATTTTCAAAGGTGCACGCCCTCATCATTTCTCATCTGCGCCAAGAAATGCCCAGCTTCTTTGGACGTAAGGACAAGCAAGACAGCTTGATTACCAACTTGGAAGCGGAGTTCTTAAAGCTTGAACGTATTCACGGATTAACACGAGGAGACTTTCCTGATCCCGAAAAATTCAAGGAGAAGCTAGCCATGTTCAAGTTGGAAAAGTTCTCCAAACTCAATGACAAGATGTTGCAAGCTGTCAATGAGGTATGCCCTTATTTATACTATATGAGATTATTCATTCTCAATAAACTCATCGGTGCTCCCTAGGCCCTATCGATCGATTTCCCTAAACTAATGTCAGAGTATCCAGCTGCCCAGCCGACGATTGCTGCACCGGAAAGAAACCCGTTCGAGAGTCCAATCTCTCCCACACCTGGAAGTCCAGGCAAAGCGCAGACTGAGGAAATATGGCTATATGGTTGGCTTTTTATCCATTTTTAGTTGGCAAGCCTGGATTTGCATTCATGCGCAAGCTCTCGTTCTTTTAGATGCCATTGACCGCCGAAAATATCTGGAGCGCTTCCGCACCCTGGCAGGAGTAGACGGAAAGGTATCTGGTGCCACGGTCAAACCAATCTTGGAATCCACTGGCTTGGACACCCAACTGCTTGCCAAAGTGTGGAGATTGGCAGACTGGACCCAAGGTATGGTTTTACTGGTTTTACCACGCTTTCTAATTACCACAAGAACAATGCTCATATTTTTATGACTTGTGTTTTCATTGTTTATTTAGATGGATATCTGGATTCTGATGAGTTTGTTGTTGCTATGCATTTATGTGATATTCATAAAAAGGGATGGGCGGAAGTGCCAGATGTACTGCCAACGACCCTTATTCCAAAGCGTAAAATATAGAATCCTAATGTTAAACACTGTCATTTAGTCGATAAATAAACGTTCTGCAATCTGGAAACGGGAGGTCGGGGAATGCGATGTCTGCTGACTTAAGCCACCTGATGATAATGCGAAACCTTTTTATCATCGGGTCAGTGCCGTTTACAAAGCCCGCAATCCGCAGCTTTTAGTCGACACGTTTCTTGTTGGGCTGCGAACGCCATCTCACGTTTTTCCTTCCCACTAAACTCGCGAAACATCCTTTTGAAAGCCATCGGCATTAGAAAGAGAGAAGGAAGAGACTGCCCTCGCTCTTCAATAACGAAAAAGACCTCAGTTTGAGCCTAGACGGACTGCATAACCGCGTTCTTATTTCACAATCGCATTCCATCTCTTTATAATCTTGTGTCAAGTGGTAAGTTGGAACCAAAGTCGCTTACAAGTGATGGAAGGCTTTATTCTGAGCCGGAGATTTTTGCATGGTGGCATGACGGGGACGTGAGCAACACGGGCATAGTTGACCCTGGCGGCTGTAATTGCGGTGTCTCATGACATGACTGACATAACCTCTTCTGAACTCCCAATACAGTCTGATATCCTTTTGCAATTATGAATCCTGAATAGTAAGTAGTCTACTGCATCGAAATGGAGGCTTTCTATTACGTGTGTTTGTGATGGAGATTGCACTGGCACTACCAACCGCTACAGTGGAGTGGATGACTTGCAGATACTGGAGTAGACCTGGGCTGGCATACAATCCGAGAGCATTTGCGTGCAGAGAATATGTAAACTTTGGGAAATAGGCTAGCTATGGACATTCGTTGTGAGGAAATGCTTATGAACCTTGTTATCCCTTCCAGCGACTACCTCTTTAAGCTGTTGCTTATTGGCGACTCCGGTGTGGGAAAGTCTTGCTTGCTTCTCCGGTTTGCCGTGAGTAGTGCGATGCACTTTTTTGTTCTGTGAAAACGGGGAGCTAACATTTTTGTTGAAACAGGATGATACCTACACTGAAAGTTATATCAGTACCATCGGTGTCGACTTTGTAAGTAGTGGCATTACGGAAATTACTCCGTGTTGTATTTGGATATCTAACACATCATCTATCCATCAGAAAATTCGTACCATTGAATTAGAGGGGAAGACCGTGAAGCTACAAATTGTAAGCTTTAGAACCTGTCGTCCGCCAATCATGACATTTCTGTCAGGGGAAGGAAGACTAATGCAGAGTCCTTCCCTAGTGGGACACTGCCGGCCAGGAGCGATTCCGTACTATCACTTCTAGTTACTACCGTGGTGCGCACGGTATCATTGTCGTCTACGACGTGACAGATCAGGATACCTTCACCAACGTGAAACAGTGGCTCCAGGAGATTGATCGGTACGCTTGCGAAGGGGTCAACAAGCTTTTGGTTGGAAATAAGAGCGATTTGACAAACAAGAAGGTTGTGGAGTACAACACGGCAAAGGTATAAAACGACGAAAAAGATGCGTATGGCAAATTGGAATATCTCTAAATGAAATCGATGCTCGCTTTGAAAATTTAGGAGTTTGCAGACAACCTGCAGATCCCATTTTTGGAGACCAGTGCAAAGAACGCCACGAATGTTGAGCAGGCTTTCCTGACAATGGCAAAGCAGATCAAAGACAGGTATATGGACGGGGTCAGGTGTTTGCACAAGAGATATGCGCAAGCGGCTCACTCTCTTGTTTAACTTCAGGATGGGCAGTTCCGCTGCTGCGGCGCCAGCCAACAAGGCCAATGTCAAGGTTGGCGGCGGTGCTCCAGTGCAAGCTCAGCAAGGTGGTGGTTGCTGCTAAATTGTTTGGGAAATAGTGTTGTATGGAATATCAGTTATTGCTTTGTAAACAAGCTGCTATACAGTCTTGCTATTAATGGTTAAGTCATGTTGGTCAAACGCGGGTACCAATTACCACTATATGACGAGTATCAGGAGAATACTGAACGCATGTTTGAATGTCTACCATCCATACAAAAACCGTGAAAACTTGCTAGTACTCGAAAGGCCGCAGAGTGTTGCATCCGTGTTGTGCATCAGTATCCAGGGTATTGTTCTTCTGTACCGCTATTTCTTCCAAACCATAAAATCATGGATCTGCATGGTTAAAGTAGAGCAAATCATTCACTATATATTAGTAAAATGGCAGGACGAGCAAAGCCTCCATCGCTTGACATCCCTTCGGCAAGCATGCAGCAAAACACGAAAGGAAGCTACTCACGAGACGAAAATAAGGAAATTCTGTGCAGCAATGCAGATACCAAAGTAGAATGCGTCGCCCTTATACCCCGGTAGGATGTACTTTAAGCTTGTTACTGCCTGCACCAAGAGATTAATATACGCCTGTATCGGACGGTGGTAAGACCTGCAATATCGAGCTCACCAAGGCTCCCCCCAACGCCCCTAAAGCCATAGACACTCCCACAAAAGCACATCCACGAGCTTTTGTTGCCACATTTGTTCCACTGAACGAGCTATCGTCTGCGCTCAACATATCTCTATTGATCAAATTGACACTGGTTTGATAACAGCCAGATGAGTTAGCAAAAAACCTGAGAGTATTTAATAATTTCTTACAAAAAGGACAGAGCCTTACATGATCAGCGCTATTGTGGATAGCACTCCTGGGATCCAATCCTCAAAACGGATTTGAACGGGCAACGGAGGATCGCGTGTAGATGAGAAGACGACACCGTCGATGAAAACCCACCATCCTATCGCAAACTAATAGGAAGGCTCTATCAGCATATCGACCTGCGTCCAAGGTTCTTCTCTTTAAGTAGAGCGCAAGACTAAGAACTGGCTCGACAGAGCTTGCCATTGCCGGTGCGGCAACGCTCCTTTCCCTCAAGGATAAGCAGTCTCAACGTACCAATCCGCCAGACAAATATCCTACTATCTCCATCCGTGTTGGCAGCTTATGAGATACGCCTTCGAATACTTGTAGGCAAAAGTCCCCACACCCTTGGCAATAAAAAGCGGCTCGGGACCGCCTCCTAGCAGCTGAAGGCTCTACAGACAGCGGCTGATATCGTGACATATTTGCAAACTACGAAGTTGACACCAGCTTCTACGCTCAATAGTTATGGGTTATTTGGAAATGCTTTTGTGGACGGATTGTTGGGAGATGATACGACGGAACGAAACTTGCAAGCGGATGATGGATGACTTGCTTCATCACGTGCGAGGCAGAGATATGATACTACAAGTTTAAACTTGGATGAGTTTGCATGAAATCCTACTTGGAAAAAAGATGAACAATTCCAAAACTTGGAATCATTGAAATATACAGACAATGAAGGTGTATGTAGTTTAAAACAGTAATGATATCTCAACCAAAAAGTCTAGTTGAAAGCTTGAAAATTGGTGGAAAGTTGAATTACAAGTTGACTCACCCAGCACAGCACGGAAAGCACAGCGTAAGCGTCCTTCTCGCCACTCCTGGCCAAAGTTGCGGGAGAGTCCTCCCGCTGTGGGTTTCCGAAAAGAAAAAGTGTGCATGAATCCCATCATACCAAACACAATCAGGAACTCTTTCACAGCTTCTCGTGCGACAAGTTTATTCCGCATCACAAACATCCAGCGTTGCTTTTCATTCGCACCAAACAAGATGGGTTCAACATCCTCCGCAGGTACAGGCTTTGCACCAGACCCCCAGGGAAAATACGATCTCGCAACCTTTGCGGCAGGTTGCTTTTGGGGTGTTGAGAAATCCTTTGAAAAGAAATTTGGGCAAAATGGCATAGAAACGCTGGTGGGATATGCTGGTGGTTCGGCAGAACGTCCCACGTACAAGCAAGTGTGCAGTGGAACAACGGGTCACTCCGAGGCGCTACAGATCAAGTATGATCCGACGAAGCTGTCCTATGAAGAATTAGTGGACTTCTTGTAGGTTTCGGAGATGTAAAATCGGTGACTTCAACCTAAGTTGACCTGCTTGATGTGTTGCGTACAGCTTCCGTATGCACGACCCAACGACAAAGAATCGACAAGGGGGAGACATTGGTACGCAGTACAGGTCGGCCATTCTGTACCATAATGAGCAGCAGCAGAAGATTGCGCGAGAGCAAGTGAAAGCGGTCCAACACCATTTTGGCAGTCACCCGGTATCAACGACGGTAGAGCCTGTGGGGACATTTTGGAATGCGGAAGACTATCATCAGGTAGTAGGATGAAATTCAGCGAGCAATTTAGATGCCGAATATAACTGATTTATTGTTCTTAGGATTACCTGACCAAGAACCCACACGGGTATGAGTGCCCCACCCACTTCGAGCGCACTTGGGACCGGATCCATGAACTATATGGTGGTCAATAGACTGGAGCTACGGTCGTGATAAATATTACGGGACACAAAGTGTGCTTTTTTTTGTATACAGGATTCTGGCATCTGCAACTCACACAATAAAAGTTATCACCTTCAAATATACAAGTATATTCATATGTGTATTTACAAATTATATCCAGCTTTACGATAACACCAATTGCCTGCTTTGATGTTTGTGCTACTGTAATTGTCACGCTCACATTAGAGTCTTCAAGTACCATTCTTCTTGAGGCCAGTAACAGCTTATGCGATGATCGTCGAGATACGTTTCCGCTACAATATGCACCCACATTATTCATCACCAATGACTTTCGCAAACCAAATTGGAGTGCCCTCTTACCGCATTCGGTGTACTCTTCAACGTGGCCATTTGGTCCAAACAAGCCACCAAATAAGCTTGTTATAGGTCGGGGCTTTAGAAGGCACTTTCTTCGACAAGCGCCGCGGTCCACGAGTATTTGAAGGATCTCTGCCAGTTCTACTCTCGTCATGACACTTCCCAAGCGCCGATACAGCTTCGCCTGTCAGCCGACATGACATTCAATTGTGTGCTGCAATGACTTGCCAACTAACGCACAACGTACCTCGTATATCCCAGGTTTCTGCACTATAGTGCCCAAAACAGCTTCCATGCAGGCCCGCTTTACACTATCAACTTGCTTTCCATTGATATCGTACCACATTCGCGCCGCTGTAAAATCATCCGAGCCCATTTTGGGAGCGCGCGGGGCATCAAGCTGCATTGATTCCACAACTATGTCCCCGCTCTGTTCATAAGCTTGTCGGGTAGTGGCGACTGTCCATCGAGATAGATTGTCGTCGGAGACGTATCGAATGTCGGAAAATCCGACTTGTGATACGAGTGGTACTGGTGGTTTTGCCAATCGAAACGTTGTCGAAAACATACGCAAGTATTTGTCCAGTTGATTGCCGTCAATGCCAAAACCACGGAATGTGGACTGAAACCGTAAAAAGCACATGAACTTTATTCTCTGCGTAACAACTACATCCCAGACTACATACCTGCAAGTTCAACGCCGAAACCCCACAAATGCCAGCCTCTTTGACCACTTCGTAGATCTTGCGCATCCAAATACGATCGCTCTCCTTCGCAATGGGCGCGTTATTCAGCACCTCCTCCGCTGTTTCACCATAACACGCCGTCGTACTGATCGTTCCCACTTCCTCGTCCACCTCAGGACGCGGTGGTTCGGTATGACCATCCTTGGTTCGTTTGGCATCTGATGGGACTTCAATATCATCTGCTTTCCGTTTTCCCTTGTCAGTTGTCGTTGTCCTTGAAACGAGTAACTCGGTGGCCGGAGGCAGAATGCATACGTCGGCATTCCCCATTGACGGGTCTGCAAAAGCAGATTAAACACACCAGGTAAACGAACTCTATCTCTGCTGATCACTCACTATCATATAATTCAAAAACTCCGTGCGTTTCCAGTCGAATATTGAATTTAGGTTGTAATCTGATCAACCGAGCAGCGACGGCCTCCAGGAGAGCCGCCATTGCCCCGCTATTGGCAAATGGGGAAAACATTGACTGCCCATTCTTGAGTTCTCCAAAAAGTTCTCTATGGTATGCCACTGCTTGGGGGAGCAAACGATCCGGAAGAGGTCCTGCGATTGTAGAAAGGAACCTAGCCATTTATCTCAGAAACAATTGCATGAATGTGAAAAAAAAGCGAGCCACACACTTGTCTGACAAAACGAATCCACGACCAGGCACTCTGCGATCAGTGCTCCCCTTGATCTTTACAATGGACTGATCTTCATTCATTTTGCGAAGTGCGTTCGCAATCACATGGTGAGGGAAAGCATGAAGGATCCAAAATGCATGAGTAGGGTCGTATGCTGACTCGGGAGTCATCAAGATCATCTATGATCCTGGGCTTCAGAAACAATACAAAGATTTGAGAGTGCTATGCAATTACCTTGATGACAGCCTTGACCACATTCTCCTCTACTTGCTCACATGTCGGGTCAGAGGACACAGCAAAATCAACTTGATCTTCATTCGTAAGCAACCCTGTCAGTGACCTGGCGTACAAAACAGACATTTTGCTTCGCGAGCTGTATCGTTCATCCAGCTCATCCTCCAGATCCGTCAGCGCCTGGATACTCCGGCTTAGTTTATTTTTCACGACAAAGAACCTTTCGAGCTCTTGAGAAGTCGAAGGAAGTGGTATCAACGGTGCGGAGTCCGTTTTTGACCTGCTCGGGATTTATTGAGTAATTTTTAGAACTCAAGTCATGTCTGAATACGCCCATATACATACTTGGCCAAGGCTGCATTGGTTGTGATGAAGTATTCAATCATGGGAGCCAGGTTGAGGTTCTGGATATCCACATTTTCCTGTGCTTCCAGCTTGTTCTCCGCAACACCTTTCGCGAGAATCGCAGGCCACTGAGAAGTCAAATTATTCAACCGGTCTTGTGTGACTGGGGATTTCAGAAGAACGTTCATCCTCCGGCGACACAGCTCAGTCATTCTGCTGCCCTTCCTGGCTGACAGGTCGCTGCCTTCAAAGAGAGCTGCAAGCGGTATCCACTGGAAGCGGGGGCCTGATCGATTATGCATAATTGCATATGCATGAAGAAGCGTTTCGTCATCTTGCGCAGTCCAATTGGGCCGTACTCGTTTGGCGACTTGTTGATACTGAGTTTGGAAACGATCTTCGTCAGCAATAACCGGGATGTTTTCCTCATTCAGTTCCTCCAGACCCGAGGCAACGGCAACAACAGGCCCTCTGCCGGCAGCTGGGCCATTTCCTGCACCGGCACGGAAAGATCTGCGTCCTGGAACCCGGCTTTCACGCTGTCGTTGGAGGACCTCTCGCACTTTGCGCCCAGCACGTTGGACTTGCTCTTTGCCGCCCGCTTCCTCCTGCCCTTCGTGGTCAAATGTGGCGCGAGCCGCTCTAGTAATTCTCCCGGTCTTCAAAGATCTCGGTCTTATGCCAACAGCATATCGCCCTACACCAAGCTCCTGGCGCCTCTTTTCAAGCGTTAACTTTCTCTTCTCCCGAGCCTGTTGTTGAAGTGCAACCTTGGCTTGATACATATCCTCCGCTCGCTTAAAGTAATACTTTACTCTGGCGATGCCGAGTCCGGTATCCTCGGCGAGCTGCCTGCACAAGAGGTCATTGTCAAGAGGGGTTTCACCTGTTCTGCGATCCACGTGCGACTCAAGAATATTTCTTTGATGTGCGGAATAGGGGAAAGTAGTGTGCCAATTGCGCACGTTATTCAAATGAGCGAGTGGATGACTATCCTTCATCAAATAACCTGGACGCTCAGAGCGAACTTTTAAGGAATAATTCTCTTCAGTGGTGAGGTCAATGGGGCCATTGTCGTGCTGCTCCAACGATTCCTCAGTTTGTCCCTCCTCGTAAGCTCTCCACCGCTGGATCCGTTGCGTATCCTTTCGTGAACAAGTAAACTCCAATTGGAACCAATACTGCTTTAAATCCTCCAAACTTTCAATCGTATAATGCCGCAACAGCCGTTGATCATCTGCTCCCCAGTCATACAGTGGTACTCTCCATTCCAGCCGATACACGGGATGGAGATAGTCAGCGGCCATCGCAGCAATACTCGCCCTTTCGTCTCCAAGACCTGCATGTACGTACTTGCCGTTTTCGTCAAGGCGAGGCATGGGCATTACAATGTGTAGGGCCTCTAAAATATCCAGTATTTGCTTAAGTGATCGCCGGTATCGGGTCTTCCCTCCAAATACCACAGTGCGTAAGGCAGGTGGCAGGTCCCCAATCTTCACATCTGCATAATCCGGACGCCGCATAAATTCATCGACAACCGGACTTGCCACGGTTTGTCCAACAATTTTCAGAAACATGTCAAAGGACAACTCACGGAACAGCATTGCGGCCTGGAATATACCCCCATTCTTATACGGACCTCCGGAAATGGACGCAGGTGTGCGCTCAGACTGATCTTTCCTATCTAACACCCGGTTCCACAGCCATTCGTGAAGGTATCTTGCACGTAGCATCTTCGCGTTGATATATCCATAGTGTTGTGCAACGTTGAGCCAAAACTGATCCGAATCGGGATCTTGGCTGCCTGGCAGTTTTTTCTTGGATTCGGTTTGCCTTTGCAAGTCCAGACTCTGGCCCGTTGGTGTTTTGACATCGATCTCGTTATTTGGCGACACGTGGGTACCAGCTCCAACCGCAGGACTTGATACTCGGGTCTGTGAATTCTGAATCCCTTCCATGATGTGGGACCCGCCAGAACCAAGGGTATTAGCCATATGCGCCAGCTCGTCTCCATTCACCCCTCTGAAGACCCCAACTTGCCCCCACATTGTTGGCGTCGCTGATCGACTATATTCCTTTTCAATCATGGCCCGTTTGTGAAGATCTTCCAATCGCTCAACCTCAAGATCCTCGATCTCAACTTTGGCGGGTTTATACTTGCCGCCTAGTAACACATGACGATCGTGCATCATAGCAATGTACTCTTGAACTCTGTTATCTGTTGGCTCCAGCGACCGGTGGAGGAATAGCATCTTGCTACTATATCCGCCGTTCATCTGAGGTAGCGTGATAGTGTGAATCTTAAGTAACCCATCCGCCTCCATGGCCTTTGCGGTCCGGACCAAGGTCTTTTTGTCAACAGTGTGAACAGGAGTGGATCCGTCTTGCTGTGACGACACTAGATCCTGGTACGCCTTCACTAACAAATGTCCAACTTCAAGAATCTTCTTGTCCTCAACCAGCTGTAACAAATGGTTGCGACGACGGACCGCAGTGATCGATGTGCGGTTGTATAGGCCAGAGCCAGGAGTGGTTGCGCCTGTTAATAATATCCTTGGTCAAATATGCCACGCCATTGAATACTTTTCAACGCAGAATACCTGATGGTATGGCGGTGGTCGTTGGTGTACTTATTGCGGTTTTAGACCTTGCTATCGGCGACACAGGCAGGGGCTGTGTCACACTTTGTTGCTCTGTCCAGTCACAACCATCAAAAACAGTGCTACAATCAACATGCTGTCACAACTGCACTGACCAGTGGAAGAGTCAACGTCCATAGGATCAAATTGTGAGGATTGGGTAGCGGATCCCTGTTCTCCAGTCGGTTTCACGCTTTTTCTACATGTTGAGCTGCAGAAAAAGTCTCCTTGCGGTATCGCGGTCAACGGTGGGTTGTGGCAGTATGTGTGAATTCCCGATTTGCAATGATGACACAGCAGTATCTGATCTTCATTGTCACTCTTGTAGCAGAGGGTGCAAATGACCTGTGAAGCATTAATAGGGCACAGCGCAAGAACTACAACGAATACGATGCAAACTTACGTCTCCGAGCGATGATAAGCAATCGGCCGTGTTGGAGTTGCGGCTCCCATCTGAGCAGCGTGCAACGGTAAGCACACATGGGACGATCGTCATAGTCATGCAAATCTCACCTGCTAGCTGCTCAGGCGCCGATTCCACAGTATTTGCAGTACTCGCATTCACCAATCGTCTCTTCTTCTCCGGAGGCCCCTTCGAGTTGGGCGTGCTCCGTGTCTCACCTTGACCACCAGATGCCACCATTTTCTCTAGCAAGCCCAGCTCAGCAGCTTGTTCGGTATGTCCCATCATATGGTTGTACGCTTCTGAAGAGTAGTACCGGTACCGACGCTCGCGGCCAACAAATTCGGCAACTCGATTGGCCCCAATGGAAGTCACTGGGGCATCCGGAGGTTTTAACAGCTTCGTCAAGATTTTATTCAATAAACGGCTACCGACGTTATTTAACGAGCGTTGAACGACCTGGTCAAAGAGATCAGATTAACAAACCGAGAAGGTATGTACAAGATATGATATGCATACCCCTGCCGTAACACCCTTTTTGCCAGAGAGTGCAATAAGACGATACACTTGCCACTCAAATGGTAGATCAGCCAAAACTCCTCCTTCACCCATAATGATATCTCTTTCAGGATCTGCCGTCTGCTGTTTCGACTGATACTGCAATGACGTTCTCGAGGGCAAATCAAGTCCAATATTGACACCGCCGGATGGCAAATACATTTTCAAGAGGCGGACGCATCGATCATGACCCTTGCATTCCCATCCATCTCGTCTCCGGGGTACATTAACGCGTTCAAGGAATCCGCCCTTGACGAGTGTTTCGATAAGGCGGTTAAACCATTTACGCTCAAAGCGGCTTTTACTAGTATCGAGTTTCTGCAAAAGAGTCGATCACCATGATTGTTTCCTCAGATTGTTGTATTCTGTCAGCATACCAGTGCCTGCATTAAATCCTGAACGACCATGACGTGGTTCTTGGCTGCCCTGAGCAACGTAGTGATTTGTTCCTTAACGAGCTCGCTGTGATATGAGACTGCGTTGTGTCCAGCTGAGTGACTAACCGCCGTCTGGGGATTATATTTGCATATGGTACTATTGGCAACGGCAGAGTCAAGGCCTTCGATCTTGGCGGGTCCCACCATCTGTTCAGTTCGCTTTTTGTACTCTTGGTATGTATTATTTTGATCCGCAAACCGTTTGTGGATACAAAGGTTGGTGTAGGTGCCTTTTGTTACAAGAGGAAACTTGACACTGACAAAGGGTAAGTAACCAATCATATGTCTCCCTGTCAGATACATGATCTTACATAAATTTCATCTCCCCCAGCACTTTGATGTAGTGGAACAACGACCGAGGATCGTAATGTAGAACTTTTGAAAGCTCCATTTGCGTGATGCCGGCACTTCGACACTTTGCAATCAGGGAAAGCGTCGCAAATAATGCTGCGCTGAGTTTCACGGTTGGCTACGCCGTAATCGCATGAGATGAACTCTTCTGCCCAAGGGACCAAAAAAAGCGCATGCTACTAACGTCATAATGGCCAAGAATTGCAATCCGCCGGACTTCCTCGCTTGCGACAATGTGCAATCCATCGCCATACTTTTCTAAAGCTTGTCGCAACGACATGGATGTCAACTCATTCGTAGGGATTGGAGTGGTATTATCCACATCAAGGGTCGATTCGGCGGGCTCCTGTAGCAATGTTAGGCTGTTTGAAGCAAAAGCGTGAAGCGTTCCTAGAGCCTAAGACAGCACACACCTGTTCTGATTTTCGTTTTCCTTTGCCCTTCTTTGCGCTTTTCGGCGTTGCCACTGAATGGACATTACCAACCTGCCGATTTACACACCGTATATCGTCCACGGATATTATAAAAGACCATAAATATTCTTTCATGTGGCTGTCCAGCTGCACATATCTCCTGATCGAATCTGCTAATGTGAGAATATGTGGTCAGAATATGCGAATTAGAAAACGATCACTTATTAGAGAAAACAACATGCATCCCTACCATTTCCGGCCATTCTTCTCAGCTCCAAAGCATCGTCATCGGTGTCGTCTTCTGCGTTTTGATCTTTGCTACGGCGTTCCTCCAGTAAGCTCCACAGTCTTTCGGGTGTGCAACCTGGTACAGGATAGGTTAGTTCGTCGATAGAGCTATTTTTAACAGGATTTTCTCTAGAATTAACGCGACAGCGACAAGAGTTTAGGCAAGAAAGACACTGAGTGCTTTCCATCGGGGAGTGTTCCCACCGAGACCCGAACCTCGCACCTTCCACCAACAAGGCTCTCCTCTTGGTGCGTGCATCCACAGTCTTTCTTGGCGTATCAACGATACCCCCCAACTAACAATGCACTTTTAACTGTTGCTTCCAAGGATATGATCAATGATACGAGATTTATCCTTTGCGAGTTTATAACCAACCTTGGCTCTCTTCCAAAGCCACTTCCTCCAGGACGATCTTTAAAAGGTCGTCCATACCAGGCGGCATTGAAGAACGGCAACCTCACAAAGTCACCACTGGCGTGTGATTCAAGTCAGTGCGTGAGTACAATCTGCCAATGGAGTAATTCTAAATGTCGCTTCAAGAATGGTGTAAGTTGAACAAGAAACCCTTGACCAGAACTTGTGAATTGCCTCAAGCGAGAATCGAAACCGTCACTGTCATGTGACCCGTCCACGTGATGCAATTTTCTTTTCGCTGTGGTTTTTGAGCGACGAATTCGCCCCGACAGCCAAGGCTTCTTTCCCTGCATTCGCCCTCTTGTTCTTCCTCTTTGCGAAGTTCCTGGGACACGATCACAAGGATGGCACCAACACCCAAGTCCGGAATTGCCACTGGCATCAACAAGGGTCACGTCACCACCAAGCGTGAACTCAAGGCCAAGCCCGTTAACCGCAAGGGGGTAAGCATTTTGGGAGATGACGGCACGGGGCGGTGGAAAGATTGTTGGGAACTGGTGGTGCGGGGCGTCGCTCTCGGCGGAATCAACGGATATGGGGAGGGTATCGGTCGCAGAAAAGAGACCATGTCTGACGAGTTCTCTCGTCCCACTTGTAGGTGCTCGCCAAACGCACAAAGTTTGTCCGTGACCTCGTCCGTGAGGTTGCCGGATACTCTCCCTACGAAAAACGCATTATGGAATTGCTCAAGAACTCTGCCGACAAGCGTGCAAGAAAGTTGGCAAAGAGGAGGGTATGTAGCACAGCAGTTTGGCGGAATTCTGTTGTGGCGACGTTGAAATTTATTTGTATGAAATTCTTTTCTGTAGCTCGGTACCTTTGGCCGTGCCAAGCGCAAGGTCGAAGAGATGTCCAACGTCATTGCCGAGTCTCGTCGTGCCCACTAAGGGGAATGCCTTGTATGGAGGGACGGGAGTTGCGTGAGGGTCCACAATATAATTGTTCTACCTGTTTTCACCTGCTGCGAATGTTTGGACACTCATGGCGACTGCGGTACCTGTTCCGTGTTTGACTGAATACGAATGTGTACGGAGATCCATGCAATGTACAAACGAGATGAAATGCCTCTTTTTAATACAAGGGTATCGCATGAGCTCTAGCCTAAAGTACAGACTACATAAATGATGATATATACAATGAAGCAATCCAATTCGACGATTTCCCAGTAACGGTTTACAGCTCATCGACACGCCTCTCCAATCCACTGATTTCTTCCGCAATCATGGCAAATTCAAGGAACTGATCCAGGTTTGGAACGCACTTTTGAACTTGCGAAGGCGTCTGTGCATCGGCCAAGCAACGAGTGATGTTTGCGGGAAAGAGCTTTGGACCAAATTCGGGGTGGGTGCAGGCAGCTTCACAGGCGTCTTGTAAGTTTGAAGTGACAGACGTGACCAGCTGCTCGACTCCACTAATGAATGGACGGGTCATGGCCTGGAAGGGCGAGCCTCTGATTTGAATCTCCCCTTTGGGGGTGACTTTGAATGTAAAACCCTCCTCTTCCTCCTCCTCTGCGACCAAGAGAGCGGGAGGAGGAGAGGGGGAACCGAAAAAGATTGTGTGGAGAAGCTTTCCACATGCAGCGCGGCATTCTGAGGGGTGAGCGGGAGGTCCTCCCTTCAACCCTTTTTGCTCCAGCTTTGAAGACAACTTTGTCTTTACCTCTTCCACTCGTTCCCGCAACGTCTCTCGAAGTGATGCATCGCCTTCTTTGCCCATGATTACAGTCCAACAAAGAAGCGACACACGAAAAGATCTTTGTTCGTAACCTGCCCTCGAGTCACGTGATAAAAATGTGTTACGTGATCAGTTCCTGGCCATCAACGCCCCTGGAAGGCCCTCCGGTCCTCCGGAGCGACGTTAACTGGGGGAACAACAATCCAGGCAAAAACGTCAAGTGATCTCGTGTTCCTTGTCCGTTAAGGTAATACGTATGTGTGCGCCTATTTCGGCGTATTCTGAGGGAATGTGGCCCATGATGGAACCCAAGTGCGCGGGTACCCGACTGAAGAGGATCGAAAAGTGGGGCGTTCCTGCGCTGTGTATTGAATATTCCATCACTGGTTGTCGATGAACTGTTTTGTCCATAACATAAACTCTTTGCAAATGGCGTATCGTTGACAGCTGAAAACCTCCCTCCCCAAAACTCTTCAAATGCCAAGTCCAATTGAATGGAGAGCCCAAAAACCAACGACGCGTCAAACACGTGTACAGGTCGGTTGGACGCGTTTCCAAAGCGCTTGTCCCCCCCCTCCCTTCCCTTTGGTGTTGTTTATCGCTCTGGCATTTTGTGTTTTTAAAGCCCCCATTCTTCTGGCTCTCGTCTTTTCCCCCCGGCATTTCAGCACTTTTCACGACACTGAACGATAATGGAACGGTCGCCGCTCGCATCTCCTTCCATGGACGCTGGGGAATTCAGCTTTTCTGAAGTCGCTCCCCCGGTAAACGGAAGCAAGTCTCCAAGCCCTCCAAACAGCTCTTCAAGCATCGTATCCGATTCTGAAGAGGTAAATGGAAAAATAGTTCCTGGGGCCGAACCCCCAAAACCAAAAAAGAAGAAAACAGGCCTCGACGCCCGTCCTGTAAATACAGGCGACTTTGAACCAGAGCGCCACTTTTATCCTCGAGTCCTCAACGCAAACATTCATCCTCTCGTCGCTTCATTCTTTACCCTCGGCAACGAGCGCATTCTAGCTCGATATACCCATCTCAATCCCCAAGTCAACATTGCCGCTCTCAAAGAGCTCCTTGCATACAAGCCAAAGTATTTTCTATGGGCCGGCTCAGACTTGTTTAACGTAACAACCGCAAGCGGGCACCGGCAAATGATCATTGTTGAAACGAATTCATGCCCGTCCGGTCAGAAATCCATGCCACTTTTGTCCGACCCTGAAGAGCACGGCGGTTACGGCGTCGTAATCGACCTCACTTTCAAAGAATTGATTCTGCAAGCAGACAAATCTCTAGGAGACCTCGCTGTCGTCTGTGACAAAAACATGATGGAAGCAAGCGGATATGCTGCTGTCATGGCAGAGTCAACTGGGGAACGCGTCTGGATCGCAGAATACTATTTGGAGGACCCAGATCCTCCAGTCAAATGGGAAGATGGCATTATGTACATTCGCGATGACAAAAAAGGCAAGCTTTAAGCATGCGTTTGGTGTACATGGTCAAAAGTCCATTAATCCCTCGTAATTCTTTCCACCAGAATGGCATCCAATCCGCGCGTGCTTCCGCTATGTAACGCAAAAACCCTGGAATCGCTTCCCTATCAATGCGAAAACCATCGTCCTCAACAGTGTGAGCCCTCCTGTATCTGAATTTTGGGCTAATATGCACAAGCTGACACGAGCAATAGGTCGTGTCCTGTCTTGCTGGCGGCCGAAACAAGATGATGGCCGCTCGCGCGTATGATTTCCTCAACTCTGAGTTGGCTGGGACCGGGCTCGCCGTCCGCATGCCAGAAACTATTCGCAATGTATCAAAGAGCGAAATACCGCTTTGGCTGGATAGTATGGGCGGACACGCCGTCATCAAAGTCCCCTACTCAAATGCAGGTGAAGGAAAATCATCAACCCACCCTCTTTAATTCCATCCATCTAATTGCCAGGTCCCATTCTGTTATAGGTCAAGGCGTCTACACTATAACCAACAAAAAGGAACTGGAGGCCTTTATGGAAACGGACCACTTTTACGACAAGTTTATTGTTCAGTCCCTCGTCGGCAATGCATCTTGGAGCAGTGTCACCCGAGCCGGAAGGTTCTACCATGTTGGAACCATCCCAAATAAAAAGAACCATACCTTTGTCAGCGATCTCCGCATGATGGTCACAGCCAATGCCTGTGGTTTCAAGCCTGTCGCATGCTATGCTCGGAGGGCCCGAAAGCCCTTGTTGAGACATTTGGAAGATGATCCCAATGGTAAGAACCAATATTATTTATACCGCGTGGTTGAACACATCCTTATTCTCGATTGTTATCAGTAACATCCTGGGAAATGCTTGGCACCAATCTTTCCGTCAAAGTCGACGATGAATGGACAACAGAAGCCCAACGTCTCCTCCTCATGGACCGCAAAGACTTTAATCAACTCGGTATCGGGGTTGACGACCTGATTGACGCGTACATACAAACAGTTCTGAGCGTCATTGCGATTGACAAGATGGCTCAACGGCTCATGAAAGACAATGCGGCAAAGGAGGGCGTCGATTCAAAGTATCCGTGGTTTAATGAAAAGTTTTTTGATTTCGATCTCTTTGAGGCGCTCAACCCGGACAAGGCTCTACTGAGCGAAATTATTCACTAGTCAAGGGACAAGGAGGGGAGAGTGACGGTCGTCAGTAGCCTACTTCTTGTATTTTTTGATCGGTAGATTTGTTTGCAGCATGTGTGGATTAAAACAGGAGGAAGTGTGAATACTTCCAAACACAATACAACTCCACACGCAGATATGGGTCCGTGTTTTCAAAATACATCTTCTCCGAGCTCACATATCAGGATATACATAACATAATACAAAATCAAATGGGATCACCATCTTGGCCACTAGCAGACCCACTAGGTACGAAATGCAAGGTCACAAAACGCGCAACAGACAAAACTCACACTGACTGCAGCTCTCTTCCCCCTTCCGGCACCGTGCTCCTCCCCCCTTTGGCCTTGCCACACTCCAATAACCGTTCTAGCAAGCCAAGAACCTCTTGCGGTCCAGTCAAGAACCACTTTGCCGCACTGCTCTTTTTTCCTACTGTTGCTGTTATCACGCAGCGGCGCCGTCGAGTGGTGTATGAATTGAGAGGTAAAGCCTGAGGGCTCGTAACCCCTCGATGCGATGGCATTTCAAGGGAAAAGGGTAGAGAGGACATGTCGGACATGGTAGGAAATGCGTCCGTAAAGCTTGTGTGACCAGAGAGAGATTGTGAATGGCTCAAGCCAGACAATCCGTCCTCAAACGCCTGTTCTTCCTCCGTTTGGGCGTCCATCCCACTTTTACCTTGCAGATCCGCACTAAGAGAGGATTCATTGAAGGATATGTTGGAAACCGGTAGCTCGGACGGACTTTGGGCCACTCTGTGCTCGCTAAAGTCTGAAAAGAAAGGCGCAGAGAGATACGCTGGAGAAGGGAAAGTCGAGGACCCAATGCTTCGAATGTCATCCAAACCCCCAAAGAGATCACCAGACAGATCACCGCCGCGGGCAAGTTCCTTCTTGTGCGAGTGAAGCTCAAGCCGCCTCAGGTACTCAAACATATACTCGTCCGCTCGATCATCGCCAACACAAAATATGAAGTCTACGCGTTCGCGAGTGGGCAGCGCCAGGGCCACATCTTGGCTGTCGGTCTCTCCTCCATGTCCGTCTTCGACATGACCATCCCCTTGTTCCTGTGTATTCTCTGTGTCGGTGTCATGTGCGCTACTTCCAGAAAAGCTGCGTCGCTTGTCCAGCGATCGCTCTGCCAAATCCACAGCCTGTCCCGAAATTGCTGATTGTGCTCGCTTGATCCGACGATGATATGGGCCACGCCCTTGGTGATGCTCCAGCACTCTACGGATCACGGTCCCCTTGTTTACATTTCGTGGCATCACCTCAATGCTGCGTTTCTTTGCCAAAGCATGAATCGCATAGGACGCTGTCAGAGCTTGCTCAATATGATTTTGACATTCGGCTGCCTGCCATGAACCGAAACTCATGTCCGCGTGTCCATAATGCCATACCATGCCTATCTCCTTCTGCTCTATATAAGAGCCTGGTGTTCGACTAGTACATAGGTTATGTGCATGGAGACAGATCGTGAATGCATCCTCACGAACTTACTCTGTGTAATACTCGAAGATTTCCAGCACCTGCTTTCGCCAGGATAAATCGTGATCAGGTAACATAGTTTCCCACTTGTGTCGATTCGCATATTTCAAAAAGCAGCCATTCTCAGCACTGCATGATCGACGGCTTCAGATTTCCGCTCATCAGTAATCAGGCCATTGATACTTACCACAATCCGACATTCGGTATTCTTGCGAAGTCATTCATCTCCGCTTTACAGCGCCCGCTCATGATATATACAATATTTCGTGGATCATTGGCTAGAGCTTTCACGAGATTTACAACTTTTTCAGTAGGGATTCGGTTTGATAGCAAATTGCTCGATGAATGTTTGTTGAAATTCATGATCGTTCCATCTTGATCTAAGAACTACTAAGACATACTTGTTTAGTCAAGGCTCCATACACTATCAGCGCGCTCTAAATTACATACAAAGATTCGTTTCCGAGTTTGCGCGTACTCTGCCACTACATGATCTGTTGGCAGAGGAGGTATACTGGTGGAAACAGTTTGCGCAACTTCTTCGTGCGCTTTCACAAGCTCGCTGGTAAAAGTCTCAACGTATGTTTGTGCTAACCGAGTTAAGAGGTTAAAGACATGGTGGGATGTGCACGCAATTATCGACGTACCAGTGTTTCCAACTACGTGGGAGTACAGTTCCTAACAAAAACAACAACTCAATATTTATCATATTCGATCACATTAGAGTTGTCCTTACCTTCCAGCGGAAAGCCTTATCCTCATCGCCCATGGTCAATGCGTCGTTGATGGCGTCAGCAACCTCACGAACGTCCCAGGGGTTCACCTGGTAGGTGGATGAGCAACAAATTTTTGAGCAGACAATCTCACTATTACACCACTGATGATACTAACCCTGAGAGCAGCACCAAAGCTTCCATATGTTCCAGCAAACTAACGGTCCATATCAGTGCAATGTCATATCAGAATCAAGCGCATGTGTAGAGTCACCTCACTGATCACGAGCGGCCCATGATGTTCTTCTTGACATACAACTAGATGTAACAGGGAACATATGGTCATGGAAATATTGCGCTGATCGATCAGTAGCTAAGGGTCGTACCATATTCGTGTGACGTTAGGTTCATTCCATCCCGTAGCGACGTAATGACACATGCGTCGGCTAGCTATATATGTAGAAAACAGTAGCATTAGCTCCGATATCATCAAGCGAAATATCACAGCAGTACACACTGTCAATAGTGCCAAATAGTGACTGAAGGATATATCTTGATGCAAATAGACAACGGGCGAATACTCAATGCTTCCGAAGCGAGAATTTATTCTGGCAACCACATCGGACACCCGGCACTCATTCTCATTAGCCTCAGTAGTGGATAAAACCACTTGGATCAAGACAACCTGGTGCCTGTTTTGTAAGGATCATCCTCACTTCGATTAAGTTGTGTTCCCTTACCTTGCCCTGCCATTCAGGATGATCCTTTAGGAATCGCTCAAAAGCTAGCATTTTTTGGCGGACCCCTTTCACGTAATCATTTTTGTCTCTTCCAATAAGGACTTTCATCCCATCGTATTTTTCTCGTAATGACGCAAGGATTTCCGCAACTTCGGGATGGTTTCTAAGAAGCAGTAGACGTTAAGCTGGCGTTCGTAAAAGGAAGTGGTGCAGACGCTCGATACCTCTTTTCATTCAACGCATCTAAATTGATACCTATCGGTATAGGCATCACGGAAACAACCCTATCTTCCAGTTGTACTCCTCGGGGGGTTGATTCCAATGCCAGCAACCGCGTGCACGTCATGAGAAAGTGCCGCATGAAGGGATACGTCTATATTCGACGTTCGTGTCAATTGTCATATAGTCGATTTTAATGTATGCGTACTCGCACCTGAAACCCTATCAAGTCTTGAAGGGCAGATAAAGCATTAGGACACCCACGAGAGCCACGTGGACACAATGGTGCAGATGCTTACCGGCGCCCAGCATTCCTTCCAACACCTGCTTTCGAACTATCACCAGATCTCAGTCATGTTTAAGATATCCACCAGAGTTAAGGCGCCGTTGCACTCACCGTGGAGACAGCGGAATATCTCAGAACTCGGAAACGGGATATGAAGAAAGAAGCCAATGATCGCCCCTGGCACTAGCTGGCGCACCATTGCCGGTACCAACATTAGATGGTAATCGTTGATCCAAACTGTTACGCGGTTAGATAACGGTATGACGATGAGTTTTGACACGATACAAACCAATATCGCCTATTCGATAAGTCTCCGCAATTGCATTGGCAAACTTTTGGTTGACTGCGATGTAGTGCTTCCATGCTTGCTCCTCATATGCTTCTCCTTTGGGATAATCAGGTAGTTGATAATGGAACGGTTTCCACAGAACCTTCAGGAAAGGATCATTAGTGTAGTGTAGTGAAGGCACCGCATTACATCGTTAAGATACGTTGGTCAACAGTAATAACGCTCAGGTGTGATGTACCGGCTGCGCTCCATCATTCATCATTGATGCAGTTGGTCATACCTGCTTGCAAAATTGATTGTAATGCCCTTCAACTTCATCATCTGCAAGAAACACCGGGACACTGCTATATTCGTTCCTTAGCTTGCAGCGTACGCTAGCTCTAGTTTCGTCTGACCAATCTTTCGTGGATACCCCCAGCGATCCAATCCAGATGGGATCGGCCATGCGACTCTGCATGGATTTCAATGCATTTTGTAGCCCAATGTTACCTAATCCAGATGTATCGATATGCCACCAATGAGGATCTGGTCGTAGGCCTCGAGATTCGGACGCTTTTCGCTGACGTTTGAACTCTATTGCACCCACACTTCGTCGCCGTTCAAGTGGTGCGTTTGGCTGTACCGCAGGTGGTGATGGATCGATGGACACGGTGTAAGGAAGAAACAATGACACGACGAGCGTTCGAGCAGTCTGTAACAAGGACGCTGGCTCGTCGGTATATTTTGGTGATCTCGATCCTCCTGGGCTCAATTCCTCCTGGTCACTCCTCTCATCGTCATCTTCCACTAATGCCAATACAGGAAGAATTGGCATGGTATACAACCAGATAGAAAGCAGTTGCATACACCTACTGAAAAAAAGAGGATGGCTGTCCGATGCGGAAGCCATGTCCACTGTCGCTGGATGTAGGGGGTTGATAGATCTGAAGCACAAATTGCTATTTCAAAAAAATATCTATTAAGGGTGCAGGGGTGCAGACTGTTTGTGGTGAGCTTTCAGGTCCCCAAGCTCAGTCCCCACAAACTTGAAGGAGGGATCGGAGGTAATCGACGAGGACGTCAGCAGCGGGATCCGCCGGGGCTGTGTACCTCATTTACCTATTAGTCACGTGCCCCAGTGTGGAGTAAGCCAACTCCCAACTTTCCACTTCCGCTCTTGTGGACCAGATGACTCAAGAAACACAGAGGACGAACACTGGAAATGTCGCTTTGAACATAACGGATGCTCGTAGCCAGTCAGACGCAGCTCTTGTTCCTACTGGCTCGTCATTGAAAAGGTGCACAGTGTGGCGACACTACCCACTGGACGCTGTCACCAACACATGTTGACCAATCCCATAGTCCTTTTTGTCTCCAGTGCGGAGGGACCGAAGATCAGAATGCTTATGGCTTTCCAGAGCAGCTAGTGAGCTGTAGTAATTGTAGTTTGAGTGGTAAGATTGCCCGAAGATTCCTGGGCAAGTGGAGCCGAGCCGTAACACTAGATTTATCAGATCACCCTTCATGTTTACATCTCTCCGTCAAGGCAACGCGAAATGTGATGATCTATCACTGGGAATGTCGAGATTGCAAATGCTGTGTCGTGTGTAAGGAAGTGGGCAACGAGGTTAGAACCCGCTGAAATAGGGAAGGACCAACGTACTGAGGTCGAATCGATTTCTCTTCCACAGTCCATGACCATACTCTGTGATGACTGTGATCGCGGGTTTCATACCTATTGTACCACTCCACCACTAAAGAAAATACCCAAAGGTCTTTGCCTTTCCTTCACGTTGTGGTTCTGCAAAATCTTCACGCTTCTTTTAACAGGAACCTGGAGATGTCATTTGTGTCGGTGACGCAGGGACGCTCGACGCGAGCCACTTTTTCATGCAAAGCCTATACTACATAGACGACGCTTGTGATGACTGAAGTTTCGATTACATGTGCTCGGAGTCATAATGAGAAGAGGCTCATAGGTAGTTGTTATGTTACTTCATGATGGACCACCACAGTCTATTTGATCTAGAGGCCCACCATTCATGCTTAATAAAGGTATACATCCCACTACCCGGGTTTAAACGGCCATGGCACCAGTGATAATGTCAATCTTGGGAAACCTCATGTCAGAATGTGGGTAGCGGCAGAATGCACACAAACCACTTACCAGTTCGTTTGTGATAGTAGCTTGACGAGAGCGGTTGTAGGTCAAAGTCAACTTCTGGATCATCTCGCCTGGAAGAGTACGGCAATTCTTAGTATCAAACCGGTGCAAATACAAGAAATAGAAAAAAAAAGGGTCTCACCAGCATTTTTTGTAGCGTTCTCCATGGCCGTACGCTTGGCCGCCATTTCGGATGCATTCCCCTCAGCAATACCCCAGAAAACGGTGTTGGCCAAAGTAAACTCCTCGTAGTTCTTCAGCACGGGGTCTTCCACCTCGTAGGCAGACAATTTGGCTAACAGCATCGCACCACATGAGAAATTGCCTTTCCAATTTGTTACAACAAATCCCGCCAAACAATGTAAACTTACGAGACTCCAAAAGCGCTTTGTACGAGTGAACAGGAACAATGACGGTGTCAAATGCAATAACAGATTTGAACTTATTGTAAATGATATTGGCAGTCTCGAACTCGATTCCCGTCTTCAAGATCTCATCCGCAATCAGAGCCGCTTCGGTCCACGTAGGCAGGTTCTTTGCGACACTGTCGAAAGTCACAACAATCTGCTGACGGCTGTCACGCTGCAGCTGCGCCTTGGCCTTCTGACCCAAGATTGCTAGCGCAGCCTCGGGATGGGCAGACAAATACTTCCGGGTGGTTTTGGATAATGAACTGTGGATACCTCCACACAATCCACGATCCGAGGATACAACGACGACCAAGGGCTTGCCACTTTCTTCGTTGGTCGACGTACCAGTATGCTGGTAGAGAGCTGTGTTGTCGGGTATTTAGATGAATAACCAACAAGGTGCTTGTGACTGGAATCTAGCCCACCCAACGTTCCGTACCTGTGGCAGAGTTACCGTACACCCGAGCGGTTTCCATCACCCGCTGTGCCTTGGTAACCTTTGTAGAGGCAATCATCTTCATTGACTTTGTAATTTTGGCAATGTTCGACACAGACTTCAATCGAACGGAGACTGTAGAGATGAATGTGGTCAGTAATATTCTTAGACTTCAAAGTCTCTCATATCACTCACTCTCTTTCAAAGTTGCCATGTTACGAGTTTGAACGCCAAACGAAATCGCCGGTTGACTAAAGGTCACAACGACAGCATCGTTAGCAAGCGGTCGTTCGAATGCACCATACTCCCCAGCTATCGACGGAGTAACAAGGGCCATGTTCCAAACATTTCTAACGCTACATCTCTTCCCCAGAGCACCATTGAATGAAAATTTTCCACTCTTGTTCAGGCGGCTCCCGCACTCCTACCAAAACTAATGCGCATCTTTTATCCACTCTCTTACCCAGTAGCGGCACTGGCAACACGGGGGAGTGACCGAACGGCGAGCATGGCGGTAGTTGTTCTGCTGGAATTGTTCCAAATGATGAGAGCCGCGCGTTTGCCTTGCAAGCCTCCCCACCTGCGGGTGCTTGCAAAGTTCAGTTAGCCGGGTTGCCATAGTGATGATTCAAGTGAATCACATGATTTTCCGGCCAGCCAACTAGGAAAAGATGGTCGTTCTACCAGATCGCTAAATGCCCTAAATTCCCGATGGTTGAAACAGCGAATGGGGCATTCCATTATTGGACATCCTCTAAGCATTTAGCAGTCGTTATGCTCTTGGCTGCAGTTTTCGTTAGTTGTGCGGTTTTGGCCACACCGCGATATGGGAAATCACCGTTCAAACGCGGCAAGGGAAGGACAGGGAAAGGCGCGAAACCAATAAAGAAGAAAAAGAAAGGGCCGCTTCTTGGCCCTCGGTGTACGAGAGGCAGAGGGAAACGCGGCAGAGGGAACTTATAACCGAATTAGAGGAACCTATGCTCAAATATTTGGTTTATTGCCGCTGGAAATTCACGTCCTCTCAACCCCTTTTACTACGTGGCGCTTTGACCTGCCTTTCCACATATTCAACTTCCGGAAGGGTTACGAGAACCTGTTCAAGTCGAAGTGGATCCTGTGAAGCGTCATGCGGCCGGAAGATGTAGTGGTTCACTAGTTCTCCTATTTGACCCTGGAAAGAGTAAATATGTGATTGCAGGTCCACCACCACACACAGCCGTCGCAATGTTGTGTACTCACGATGCATACGAAGCCGTGCCTATCAGCAATACATGTAGCATTACTGCCTGGTGTGAGACGAACAGCAAAATCGCCTGGTATTCCAACTGGTCTATAAGATTAAATACGTATTTGAAGTTTAGCATGACCGTCAACTGACCAGCCTCTACTCTAATCGGCTCCCCCATCGTTTGCTCCTTTCCTAAACAAATGTGCTTGGCGTGCCAGACAAATTTTGCTGTGAGTTTGGCGTTCCTATGGCACCTCAATCCAAAAGCCATCCAGCTGATATGGATTGTAATGCGGATGTTGGCTTGTTCCTTGAGGAAGGCTCACCCAAATCAGCCAGGCTGGTTAAGGCTGACGTCTCAAGATGACGACGGCGGGACTGGACGCGTTTGAGGAACATTCACGTGATCCGTACCAGATCTGTGCGAGTTGTGTGGACCGCCTACCGTGCATGCAATGCACTTGACAGAAGATCCAATATATAATAAGACAGAAGGCAAATATGGATATGCAAGTATTTGTATTTTATAGAAATATCTCTATCAACTATATTATGTATACCCTGATATATAGGAGGCATTTTTAATCCACTACAAGATTTATATAACTTGCAAAGATTTGAGTCCATAATATCAGCAGTTATAATGGGATGTGGCATGATGTTGTGATTAATTGCATGGCTAACCTTAATCTAACCAGATACCTCATCAGTGATTAGGGAACTACATAATAATCAGAGTATTACCAGTTATTACTTGCTCTAAAGTAAGAATCTAATAACCAATTGGTTTAAGCTGAGCAAAGAAATATATGCCATAAGGTTATTACAGCAGTTATAGGCTAATAGCCCTCCAAGTGGCATCACTGATAGGCATATTCCACTGTGCCATATGTGTGTATATTTCTTTTTAGCTGCTCCTATATTCCCTAGTGGTTCTTACAATAGTAGACTAGACCTATATAAGAGAATAGCATACTGTAATGATGAGGACGTCTTCGAGAGATCGCGAGTAAGCCCAAATCGGACGCGGGAAGCACGAATCGCGTGACCAACTCCACCGATTGGGTTACCGCGACCAAAAAAACCGGTTCGGAGAATGGCAATTGGCGCATTAGATTTCAGCGTGCCTCGTACAACCTGTGGAGGCTCGAGCCAGTGCAGAAAAGGAAGAGATCGGTACCGCCACCAATAAATCAGTTGCGGTGCAGCGACACCCATTAGTTTAGTTTAGTTTAACAGTTTATCCAAGAATCTTGTATAAAAAGGATGTATTCAATAAAATAAGTCGGGGGCAGAAGCCGTAGCGACACAAAATCCCCATAACTCACTTCTCAACTCCAATCTTAGGTTAACAGGAACCTAACAGAGCGCTTCAACGGCCTGATCACCCGTACCGAAGCCTCTAAATCCTGCTCGGTTCACAACTAACCGACTCTCCTTGCCTCTCGCCCCCAAGTCGCTACCGACGCCCAAAGAAAGGATTCGGAGACTATGATTCCTAGTATGGCCACCCACATAACCTGCTAGGAGACCCAAGTCATCTTTACCGTAGTCTACCAACAAAAAATCCGCTACATGGTGGAGAAGCGCGACGAACCGCCTTCCCCTCTCAAATTCAGCTGAAAACCTTATTTGGTCGTACCAAAACTCTTGCGCAAACCAAGATCCACTCAGGTAGCTACTCGGAAACCTTTTCTCTCATTTCAGAGACAGAACTTCACGAAACCGAGAATGATGCCGGTCGAACGCTCACCAACGCGAGGCCGCTCACCTGTGATCCAGACTCGTAGTCAGGGTCCTGCGGAGGACGTCGAAGTCCCTCCCGCAACATGCCCAAGGCGTTCAGGGACCACTTCCGTCGAACCGGAAGCCCCTAACTTGGCCACAATGGCCTCTGAAGTGGCAGCGTTAAAAGAAGACATTGCCCGCTCGACTGCTGCAATGCAGTTGGCAACTCAAAACCTTACGGAACAGCTTCATAGGCTTTCCGAACGTCAGACAGCGGCGGATGAGCGCCTCGCATGAGCCTTAGAAGCCCTAGCGCATCGCCCGCTGCCTGAACAACCTCCCATAGCACGAGCTACAAGAGAACGGTCCGCAACCCCGTGGGAAACGGCGGACACACCAAGGGAGCGTACCAAACCAAGTTTTTCAGGTGCGGTGCCTCCAATCCAAGTGCCAGCGGCCCCGTGGGCCAGCGACACCAAGGTCGATTCCTTGAAAGCAAAGGACGTACCCGAGTTTATGGGCAGAAGAAACCAAGACATTGAAGAATGGCTTAACAAAGTCCAACTTCTTCAAAACGTTAGCGCAACGTCGGATGCCAGGATGGTACAGCTCCTACCAGCCATGATAGCCGAGAAAACCCCTGCTGACGCTTGGTTTTACACTCTGGAAGCCCAGGAAACTCGCTCATGGACCTGGAAAAGGTGGAAAGAGGAACTGCTTCGAGAGTTCCGAGATCCCCTAACCGAGTCCAAGCGCAAAACCGAATATGTGCGCTGCCATGCGAACCCCAAAGAATTTCGCAGCTTTCTCGTGTTCATCGACCACAAAACTCATCTCCAGCGCCTCGCTTATGGCGACCGGGCAAACATAGAATGTCCCGCTGACCAGCATTTCGACCTAATAGTCGAACAATTGCCCAGCAACATCCAAATCATGGTCAAATCCTGTAACGTCACGAACCTGACCAAATTAAAAGACTTCCTGCGCCTTTATTTCGGCTCTGATGACACCAGAAAATGAGACCCTTGCTACAGCGGTGCTGCAGAAGCTCAGAAGAAGTCACAAAAGACCGGAACCAACAAAGGCCCTAAGCAGACGGCTCCGCATAAAACCGGAAACCCCAAAAAGGGTCACGATGGTCCTCAGAAGATGGTTCCGGACCCCAACAAGGAACCACCGGCACCCTGCAAATTCTGTCAGAAAAAGCATTGGAATGTTTTCTGCTGGCAGAACCCGAACCGAAAAGATCCTGAAGATGGAAAGAAAGGACCATATGGAGCACCCATGCCCTCAGGTTGGAAACCCAAACAGGAATCGAAGAAGGCGTACATAGTGGAGCTGGACTCGACGTCCACTACCACCGAGACTCTTTTTTCGGCTTCGGAACTGGAAAGAACGGAAGCCGCTAATCAAGGATTCCACACCATCGGGTTCTTTCATTCACCCAAGCACTCGGAATCAACAATTTTGATGACCGCACCTCTTTCCAAGGTCACGGTGACCAAGGAAGAGGACCCCCGCACGCCCACGCAGGGCTGGGACCGAGTCTGGGACAACATAGCCATCATCTGGGGTACCCTGCAAGTGGCTCTGATGATGGGCAACAACCCCCGCGCGCTCAGCTTCTTTGCCAAAGAACCGAAGCGAGGCGCCGGGCACCTCGGGAACGACCCCTACGCAGTTGCGTGGAGTTCCCACCACCTCTACATCGCTGCCGCAGCCGAAGCTGACAAGGATCAAATCCTGCGAAAGGTCCGAGAAGACGGTACCCCTCGTTTGATTCTCCTTGCCTGGATAAAGCTCGACGAGTGCGAGAAATTCTTGATGTGGAGCTCTGAAGATCCTGTTATCTTTGAAGCATACGCCAACCTGCAACTGGTGGCATTTCTCCTGACAGGCAATATCGTTCGCTCAGACTATTATTATCATCGCGGAAACCCCAAATTTCGGCACGTTAAAGACCATCCACGTCTCCAAAGACACGAAGAGAGCGAACGGACGCGTATAGTCATGCTGGCTATCGAACAAGTTGCTTGCCAGAATAAAACAACAAAACCACAAAACAACAAAACTAGAGAACACTTTGAGAGTGTGATCAAGGCTACGGAAGCAACAATTAACGACATCGCGCCCCATTTCGAGATCGCGGTGCCTTCTATCAACGCCTTCTACTCAGTAGATTTAGGCGATGTACTCAAAAGCCAGACTAAGACCCAAACGCAGCCTTGCTGGACGCTAGCCGTCATCGCACAGCTCTGGGCACCTGTGGTACTAGACACAGGGGCCTGCGAGTCTCTGATTTCCGACACATACCAAGGCCTTCTGTTCTCCGAAACCGATTTGCAGGATGTGGAAACGATGGCTTTCAATGGCATTGGTGGACGTATCTCATCTACCAAGACAGTATGCCTCGAAACTTCCCTCAGAGGCCGCGGCGGAGAATACCTGACTTTCCGCGCCTACTTTCGGGTCATCGCATACGGGAAACCTCTCATCATCCTAGCCAACGACGTTTTGGGACATTTGAAACTCCAAACCTTGGTTCAGGAACCCCCGTTACCCAGTTTCGTGGTGATGCTCAAGAATCCAGACATCCTTATCCCCTGCTCCATAACAGATGAGCTGGATACCGATCACATGCGCGGCACGCCATACAAAACCAAGCAGGGTGAATTCATGAAGGATGTGTCAATGCCACGGCTGACCAAAGCCAAAGCTCAGAAGTCTAGATTAACCATGTTAATCACGGGACAGACACGCGTGGCAGCCCAAACTTTCCTCATCGAAAACCCTCTTGATGCCACCGCAGCTAGCACAACGGCCCCGTTAGGCCTCAAACTGTCCACCGCGACCCATAATTCGGTCGCGGACCCCGAAGAGAACATTTCCGAAGAAGAATGGCAGACACTTCGGAACAAATGGAACCTCAACTCTACAGAGAAGGCTCCAGGGGCCTTCAAAGCCCAATTAAAAGATGCGGAACGTTTCCACGTCGATCTCAAACAACCCAAACCCGTGGTCTGGGCCCTAATCAACATTCTACAACACTTCCATCAAGCCTTCAGCTATGAGGGTCATCTCATAGGGAACTACACCAAGATTCCTTATGTGCCTCGATTTATCTCGGCTCCGCCACCCCTTTCGAGGCCACGGTCGTACTCTCCATTGGAGCGGACAGCCCTCGAGACGGAGCGAGACACCATGATGGGGCTTCAGAGGTGGAAACGAACCACCGAAGTAACCTTCGCCAGCGATCCTGTTATTATTCGCTACACAGACAAACCCCCGCGGGTAGCCTTCGACTATCGCCGAGCCAACGACTGCATGGCCTGGGATCCATATCCCTTTCCCATCATGCTCGACATCCTGAACTGGATCATCGCAGTCCCATTCCGATACATATCGGGAGGTGACGCAAACAAAGGATTTTACCAAATCGCCATCACTGATACGTCGGTACGCAAATGGCTCGCGATCAGACTCCACGATGGCATCTACAAACCACTTTTCATGCCCTTCGGACCCAAGACTGCCCCCTCGCACTTCTGTCGGGTGATGGACGACACCTTGGGTCCCTCCAAATGGCGAAATATCAACAACTTCGTCAACGATATCCATACACGAGCGGAGACAGCCGCGGAAGCCCTAGATGCCATCGCGGACTGGCTCGACCGCTTTTCCAGGGCCAAACTCACCCTAAGACTCGACAAGTGTCAATGGCTCTTTCACCAGCTCACGGCCCTCGGTTTCGTTGCCTCTTCCCAGGGCCTCGCTACCGATCCAGACAAGGTCGCAACCATAGTCGATTGGCCATGACCTAAATTTATTGGTGACCTATGGTCCTTCGTGGGTCTCCTTGGGTTCTATGCCCAATTCATCCCTCGCTACGCGGAACTCGTCCGACCCCTGCAAGACGCTATCCAAGAGGGCGTTCGTGAATACCGAGACCTTAAAAAGGGTCGCGCTGACCCAAGGAAAGGAGCTGAAAAGCTCAATTCACCATCCATGCTTGACACGGCAGTGGCCCCAACAATCACAGCAACCGGAGCCTGATTTGAGGTTTCGCAACATCTTAAATCTAGCTCCTCAGACCTACCGGCGGTCAATCTACGCCAATCATTGCTGGCCGACTTGCCCATTGACCCCTTTTGTGTCAGACGCCTTGCTCGCAAGCGCCCCGACCAAGGTCTGCACAGATTCGTCGCGAAGCGTGAAGTTTCATGGACCGACTCCCAAAACTCTGCCTTTGCAGCCGCCAAGCAGGCTCTGACAACAGCTCCAGTGCTTGCGGCACCCAGAAAAGGGTTCCCCTACACCCTTCACAGTGACGCTTCCTACACAGCGTTTAATGTCACGCTCGAACAGTTACAGCCGGATGCTTCTAAACGCCCACTGTGCTACCATTCCCGAGGCACCACCACCTCGGAAAAGAAGGCCCCACCTGTCGAACTCGAGGCCGGATGCCTCATTTGGGGCCTCGGAAAACTCCGCCCATACCTCGAAGGCCTGCCTTTCATGGTCATTACCGATCACCGAGCTCTTTTGTGGCTCGCCAAATACAAAGGCGAGAACCGAAAGCTCCTCCGCTGGGCCCTCGATCTTAGTTACTGGTCCGAATGGATGACAATCATACACAAACCAGGATGCTTCCACATAGTTGCTGATACACTTTTGCGGCTACTTGGCGCGGAAACTCTTCTTTGCTCTACCGCGACCGAAATATGGGTGTCGGAACGCAAAGGACGACGGCCGCGCACCCCGCCAGCCGGTCCCGCACCCTCCTCAACACTGGCAGATGCCATCTTTCGTTTGGCGTTACAGCCCGCACTCATCACCGCCATCCATGCTGGCCTCACCGGCCCGCTCCACCCCATCGCCCAACAGGCCCGCACCCTTCTATGGGAGACCAGCCCCGACACGTACACTACCACCGACATGCGCTTTCTTCAGGACTGGCAACGTGCAGATAACCTGCTGTGGCACCGTTTTTCAGTCTCCGAAGACCTTTGGCGCCTTTACGTGCCCCCTGCTTGCACCCCTGAGGTGCGCAAGCTTTTTCATGAGGGGGGAGGACACTTCGGATTCGAAAGAACCTACGCTAGAGCTGCAGCGCAAGTCTGGTGGCCAAAAATGGCACAAGATTTCAGAAAACACTGCGCAGGATGTGAAACCTGTCAACACTCAAAAAGGGTACCGCAACTGATTCCGGGGTTGCTGAAACCCATACCACCAGCTCCGGGACGCTGGACAGTCATCACGACTGACTTCGTAACCAAGCTCCCACTTACTTCCAGAGGGTACGACGCCTTTTGGTTAATAGCATGTAAATGCTCAAAGAGGATCCACGTATGGCCCCTCAAGAGCACTGCGACAGCTATTCAGGTCGCGGAACTCTTTATAGAGCGCTACGCCCCATTGCACGGCATCCCGGAGACCATTATCTCGGACCGCGACTCCAAATTTACGAGTCGATTTTGGCAGGAGGTCTGCAAAAACCTAAAGATTAATCAAGAGCTCACCACAGCCTACCACCCTCAAGGTGATGGACAATCAGAAAGAGACAACGCAACAGTCTTGCAGGTCCTTACCACAATGGTCAACACCCGATTAGACGACTGGGACACCTTTCTTCCAGTTGCGGAATTCATTATCAACGATACAGTACATGAGGCGACAAAAATGACGCGATTCAGAATGGACCTAGGCTATGAGCCCCACAATCCACTGGTGGACATCGTCGAAAGGCCGTCAGAAACCAGAAATGCAGATGCGGAGGAGCTCTGTAAACACCTCGGTGACCTAAACATCCTTATCCGAGATCTGATGATCGAAGCCCAGGATTCGCAGAAAAGATATTATGATTTATCGCGATGACATTTGGAGTTCCGGAGAGGAGATAAGGTGCTTCTGAGCACGAAAAACCTAGCAGGGTATGAGTCCAAGATCGCTCCGAAATGGCTGGGACCAGTCACGGTGACCGACTGTAACCCTCTCCGTGACAACTATGAGTTAAAACTGCCAGACAAGATGAGACGACTTCATCCATGGTTTCACATATCGAAATTACGTCCGTACCAGAAGCCTGTCGACGCCGAAACTGAGGAAAAGGTTGCGGAAGCACAAGCGGAGGATTCTGACGCTTCAGATGGCGAGTTTGAAGTGGAAGCGATAGTAGACCATCGAACCAGGCGCGGAAAACGTCAATTTCGAATACATTGGTCCGGATACCCACCCCATGAGGATACCTGGGAACCAGAGGAAGCCCTAACAGAGGCTTCCGAAGCCTTAGAAGAGTACTGGAGATCCAGAGCTCCCACTAGCACACTAGTAGAGGACTCTTTGGTAGTCAGCCTTGCAGGCGACGCCCTGGAAGATACGGCTTATGCTTCCGACCACCAATGCTTCGCGGTTTATCCGGACGATAGCTCACATGATAATCACGCCCTCTCACCAGAAAGAAAACCAGTTTTGCGTGGCTTACCTCACCAGTCGAGAACGCCACACCAAGCCTCCCGATCACGCTTACGCGCGTCTGAGCTGTCAAAATCAGCCGGCGACAACCTTAAAAGGACGCCCCTGCACGCTCCCCCTCTTTTTTCTTCTTCAACCGCCCACGACCTACTTCCCTTACACACTCACTCTGCTTCGCAAACCCCTTCTATCGACACCGAAACTAAAACTTCCATTTCTAACACAATGAACACCGATCTCAGAGGACAAGCAGGAGTGAGCGTACCCTCCACGTACATGTCCGGCTACCCTTGGGAGGAAGACTCGGGCGACTTCGAGGCCGAGGGCGTGCTGGATTGCCTTGGGGTTGCGATCGCTACCTGGGTTCACTCCTGGGTTCATCAGCTTCGGACCAACCCCAACGTGCCGCTGCAGACTCCAGGGCATGAGTTTTGGCTGGGAGTCGACGCTCCGAAACCTTATGCGGTGGGCCAGCCCCTCACAAACCACATTGCGGACCCCTACAGCAAGGCCACCGATGGTGGTGAAGCAGTGGTTGGAATAGTTGCCGACGCGAAAAAACCCGGAAAAAGAGGGCGCCCAGCTCCGTGCGCCGCTTGGCTTGACCGCGGGGTTCCCCAACACGAGGCGGGAAGCCGAAAAATGGCTCCGTTCACCGATTGGCCGAACGACGACACCCACGAGTTTGCGTCCGCCATCATTGAAGCAGCTAGGACGGTGCTCCTAAGGACGGCGAACGCAGCGGAAGCCTCTGCAAGGCTCACCAGACCCCGACATCACGAGCACGCGGAGTACCATTTCCGCGCGACAAACCTGAAAAGGGCCGCGGAGACCTTTACGGCCCTCTACGTAACCAGAACTGGCCCCGACGTGACCCCGGGTACCATCGTTCGTACCGCAACAGATCAAATCTGGTTTTGTTGCAACGTCGGTGGCCGTGCCAGTATCATCTGGGTCGTGAACCAAGATGCAGATGAAGCGGACCCCACAGATCTGGTACCGACCTGGTAATTGATGTCCCAACACCCCCGCTCGGAGCACCGGTGCGTTGGCTCTTCAAAGGGGGGATGTAACAACGAGGACGTCTTCGAGAGATCGCGAGTAAGCCCAAATCGGACGCGGGAAGCACGAATCGCGTGACCAACTCCACCGATTGGGTTACCGCGACCAAAAAAACTGGTTCGGAGAATGGCAATTGGCGCATTAGATTTCAGCATGCCTTGTACAACCTGTGGAGGCCCGAGCCAGTGCGGAAAAGGAAGAGATTGGTACCGCCACCAATAAATCAGTTGCGGTGCAGCGACACCCATTAGTTTAGTTTAGTTTAACAGTTTATCCAAGAATCTTGTATAAAAAGGATGTATTCAATAAAATAAGTTGGGGGCAGAAGCCGTAGCGACACAAAATCCCCATAACTCGCTTCTCAACTCCAATCTTAGGTTAACAGGAACCTAACAGAGCGCTTCAACGGCCTGATCACCCGTACCGAAGCCTCTAAATCCTGCTCGGTTCACAACTAACTGACTCTCCTTGCCTCTCGCCCCCAAGTCGCTACCGACGCCCAAAGAAAGGATTCGGAGACTATGATTCCTAGTACGGCCACCCACATAACCTGCTAGGAGACCCAAGTCGTCTTTACCGTAGTCTACCAACAAAAAATCCGCTACAATACCCTTATTCCCATTCTGTTTTCTGTATCATTTTCTCAGAAACTCCTCACTAGCTAACACATAGAAGTCCTCAAGTTATTGGAGGAATAACACATAGAAGTCCTCAAGTTATTGGAGGAATAACCATGGTATATTGAGCACCAGCAGATGATGTGGGGAAAAGCTGTGTTGCAGGGAAATATTTTAATAGATAGCTTGATATTCTAAGGCTATTTCTGATACCTTTCCTATATTAAGTATATTGTAATAAAAAGTACACAAATCTGATGAGATAATATCAAATTTAGTAATATAAATGCTGCTATATTTCTGCTATACTGAACAGTGAATAGGTTGTGTAAGTTGTATGGTTGTATCAGAATTATTGTCTGTAATTAAGAATAATACTTATATATATTTGCTGCCCTTTATATACTAAAAAATAAATTTTAATATAATATATAATGTAAGTTGCACATTCTACCTGACCTAATGATGTCCTTTTCTATATATTCAGGACTGATTTCACTTTAATACATATTTATAAAGAAGAACCTAATATATAATATTGTACTCTTTTTAGCTTTACTCCTCTTTCCAAACAGTGACAGGAAACTGAGCACAACTGTGCATTTGAAAAAGTGGGCTGAGCATGCAAACAGTACACAACAGGTTTGGAGTCCTCCATCTTGAGTTTCTTGAGAATCTGAAGCCTGTGCTGCTGCTGAGATAGCCAGCTGATTCTGTTGGCCATGTAGCTACTGATTTGAATACCTAGAAGTATTCCAATTCACCAACATCTGCCATCTTGAACTGGTTCTTGAGTAGCCTCTTGAGTTCTTGATGCTGCTGAACATTGCTTGAAGCCAGAATCAGGTTATCCACAGAGTGGATAAGGTAGATGCCAGTCAGCTTATTGGTGTAGAGTCAATGTGTAACAATAGGCAGCAGGGACAAGAAGACTAGGAAGACTTGGGGAAAACTTGGTTATTCTATTAGAGGGGGGTGTGGGAACACTCCCTTTTTATAGACAAAAATGCCAAGGCTTCAGTTTTATCTCTAACCAATGAAAAGACTTCTAAACTACTGAGTCACAATGTATCCTCCTTATCTTTGCAGCAAAAATTATTTTCTGCAGCTCAGTAAGGGGAATTTGTTTCAGACATGTGTCTCTGACTCACATTTTCCTTTCAGGAGTATGACTTGCCTAATTTAGGTAAATCAACCTTTAGGCCTGCCTCCTTACTAACATTTGTTTCAGAGACATGTGCCTGCCATTTTAAGACTAATGGACTTGCACTGAAAATCTCTAAGTCCAAACTACTACACTACTGATACTACTGACTGACTAACTAAAGACAAAGTAACTAACAGAAGAATTCTGTTACACAATGGTCTGATTCATATCTGTGGAAGTCCATTGCTGGTCAATGACTTTGTTTCAGGCACTTGGAGCCTGCTTCAGACCATACAAACTCTTCTTCAGCTTGCAAGCAAGTCCTCCTGTTGTGGTGAAGCCTTCTGGCTGGTCCACATAGATGTCCTCTCTCCACACATAGATCTCCATGTCCCCCATGGCTGCCAGTGTGAGGGATATCTGGATGGTGGCACACTTAACTACTGGTGTAAATGTCTCCTTGTAGTCCAGTCCCTCAACTTGGGAGTACCCTTTGGCCACCAGGTTTGCCTTGTGCCTCCCTCTTTAATGACCCATGTGAGTTGAGTTTCAGGTTGAGGACCCACTTGCAGCCAACTGTTCATCTCCCCAGAGGTAGTTTGACATATTCCTATATCTGATTCTCAATCAGACATAGCGTTCTAGTGTGACATTGGACCTTCTCTGAGTCTCTCCATCCAGCCCTAGCCCCTCTTGGTTGCCCAAGAATGAAGGCTCCCCTCCCAGAGGAATCTCAATCTTGTCTTCTTGCAGTGATGTCTTCTGTTGCCTTTGAGCTTCCCACATCAAGCTTTCATCAATAATGATGTCCCTTGAAATACTTGGTTTATTTTAGGTACCCACAGTCTGCAGGCCTTACTCTGAGTGCTGTAGCCGACTATGACTGCCTTCTTGGCCTTCTCATCAAGTTTTGACCACTTTTCCTTTGGAATATGAGTGTAGGCCACGCAGCCAAACACTCTGAGGTGCTGGAGATCTGGTTTACCGCCTGTAAACTCTTGGAATGGTGTGGATTGGTTGCTGAGTGCTGCAGTGGGGCTCCTGTTCCTGAGATAGACCGCTGTCATGATTGCCTCGCCCCAGAACTTGTAGCTGAGTCCACTGTGGTGCAGCATGCACCTTCCCATTTCCACCAGCGTTCTGTTCATCCTCTCAGCAACACCATTCTGCTCTGGTGTGTAGGGGGTGCTGAATTGCTGCTGAATTCCCTTCTGCTTGCAGAATTTCTTGAATTCTTCGCCCACATACTCTCCCCCATTGTCTGATCTGAGAGTTTTGATCTTCTGCCCTGTGAAGTTGGTTGCCCAGGCCTCAAACTCCTTGAATATGCTGAGAACCTCACTCTTCTCCTTCAGAAGATAAACTGCCGTCATCCTTGACTTGTCATCAATGAATGTGACAAAGTACTTTGCTCCACCATGACTTGGTGTCTTCATGGGCCCACACACATCACTGTGAACCACCCCCAGCAGTAGAGCTGCTCTAGCTGCTTCTCCCTTTGGAAAGGGACACCTGGTAATCTTTCCAATGGCACAGGCTTCACATGGTGATGTTTCTGTGTGATTCTTGACCTCCAGACTGCTTCCCAGCTGGTTCCTAGCCAAGATTTTGATGCTGTTGATGTTCAGATGTCCTAACCTGTGATGCCAGAGGTCCAAACTCATTCCAGAGGCTATGTTTGCATGTTCTCTTGCATGAAACATGTATAGACCGCCCCCTAGAGTTCCCTGGATTGCCTCCTGGCTGTCTGAAGTCTTGATACAGCATCCCTTGCTGCCAAACTCAACTTTGGCACCATTTTCAGTGGCTCTTTGTAACAGGCTAGCAGGGACAAGAAGACAACAGAAAACTAGGGAAGACTTGGTTACTACTTGTTATTCTTCTTTGAGGGGCCTCAGAGAGGTCCTCTTTTTATAGACAAAGGGGCTGACAAATGCTATATCCTAACTACCCAATCAGATCTCACCCACATCATCCTAAACTATTTGTCAGCCTATTGCACCATTTGCAACCAATCACAACTCATACATGTCATCCTAAACTATTTGTCAGCCTATTGCACCATTTGCAACCAATCAGATCTTATACATATCATCCTAAACTATTTGTCAGCCTATTGCACCATTTATAGCCAATCACAAGTGAGACAAGTCATCCTAAATACACTGTGCCACTTGATTGAAAGGGGCAGATGCCAGTGTGTCAGGATACTCATCTAATTTAGCCAGAAATGGCTAAATCTGCTTATTTATCTAATTCTGGTCCAATGAATGCTGACACCATCAGCAAAGTCATGTGACCACTAGTTTGGAACCACATCTAACCAGTATAACTATAGCACTGACAGAAGAATTCTGTCACACTCCCCCACTTTAAGATTAAGCTCCCTTCTGGGCTAGGAACTCCTTCAAGATTTCTCTGCCATGGGGTAGGAGGCTTTCTTCTGGTTCCCAGGTGTTCTGAGAGGAGGGATAGCCTTTCCACTTGATGAGGTAGAGATTCTTCTTCCTTCTGGTCTTGTGGTCAAGAATCTTCTCAACTTCCCAAAACTCTTCTCCTTGCTGGTAATTGGCTCAGGCTCAGGGGGTACTGGTCTGGTAGGGAACTCCTCTGTGGGGTCCAAGTAAGGCTTGAGGAGTCTCACATGGAACACTGGATGAATCTTCATGGTGCTGGGGAGCTCCAGGGTGTAATTCTGAAATTCATCCTTGGCCTTGATTCTGTAAGGTCCAAGCCAGGGGTGAAGAAGTTTCTGGGCTGGCCTCTGGGCTTCTTCTTCTGGGGTGATACCTTCTCTAGACAGCCAAACTTTGGAGCCTAGGGGGTAGCTTGGGGCCTTGCTGAGAGACTTGTTGGCTTGCTGAACTTGTCTTTCTTGGGCCAGTATCATGTTATCCTTGGCTACTTGAAGCAGTTGCTGAATATACTGGTGGAAGTCTGTTGCTTCAAGATCATTGCTTTCTCCTGGTGGTGTTGCTGGGGTCCTGGGATGCTGGCCATTCTCCAAGTAGAATGGGGTAAAGCCTGTGGTTTCTGAGACACTGTTGTTGTAGGCAAACTCAGCAAAGGGGAGAAGATCTTCCCAATTCTTCATGTTGTACTCCAGGGAAGCTCTGAGGTAGATCTTCAATATCTTGATGGTTCTCTCTGCCTGTCCATTGGTCTGCTGGTGTCTTGCAGTGGCT